CAATCCATCTCCACTTTCATCTTCTGCATATTTGTTCAGCGATAGGTTGTTGGTTGGTTTGTTGCAAGCCAGAGTTCCTTGTTGCTTATTCTTTCTGGCCATCTGATCTGCAGTAACGAGCGTAGGTGGTGGTTGTTGATGAATGCCTGTAGTTTGTTGGAAATGCCTTTCACATGACGCGCCAAGTCTCTGAACCATACAGGAGCAGTGACTTGACGTTGGTGTTGAAAATCCGTATCTTGTTCCACAGAGTGAGTGCAGAAAATCTCCACACTGGTTTCAGGCTAATGAACGCCTGTCTTTCCGATCCTGGCTGCTTTGACGTACTCGTTTGTGCCTGTGTCGCCTGTAGTTGAAACAGTGCTGCCTAGATAGGTGAAGGTGATTGGAGCATTTTATTGGAATGGATCTTTGGAGTGTTACGTCTTTTGAAAATTTTAGACGCTTAATATTGGTATCTTGTAGTGAAGTCAAAGGAGGAGATAGAAGTAAGATGCATAGGTCATTTGAGTTGAACTTTTCATATTATTGGAAGCATGCGGGAGGTTGAAACTTCTCGGCTACCCATACCGAGAAAGTGGTTTCCGCAAGGTACCTGAAAGAGATTTGTGTGATCACACAATAACAAATGGGACATCTACTTGAGGATTATTGGTATGCAATTTGATTGTTTTAACGCCAGACAGAAAAATCCCACACCGTCTGCATCAAAATACTGCAGGACAGGGATCTAAGAGCAAAAATTGTGCCTCTTGGTAGAATGTAATTCCATTTTTATTCACTTATTACACAATGTGGAACAGTATTGTTTACGTCTCGGTCATAATTTATTGCCCATAATCATATCAAGATAACTACACAACTTTGTGATATCATCTATATGGTTGTAATTTCCTCCCCCCCCCTTAGTGATATGGGTACTAAGATCTCCCATATATCCGGAACACGGACTGAATCATTCCTCTTCCTGCATGTATTAGGTGTTGGTTGATTCGGTAAAAAACAAAGATTCAGTTATCAATCTCTCCCTCCACCCTGTTATGTTAGTTTTAAAGATTTTCACCCTGTCACATCCTATTGTGTTGTTGTATAAATGCATGCATAGCTATGACTGAGCCTCCCTTTTCTAAATTCCTTACTTCACTAGGAACTAACAATTTTGATCTAGTTAAATGTTTTGACTGTGGACAGCCTAATTTGACCCTGGTCGACTACTTTTACCTCTCAATCGTTGAAAGCGACTTGGTAAACTAAGTGATTTTGCTTATTTAGAAGTGAATTTGTAGAATGAATACCAATCTAATCCCCATCAACCTTATTGCGAATCCTACCTAGTGCTCCCGAGGCGCCTTCTTTGTATTGTAATACTGTAGAGGTTTTGAATTCTGTCTTTACAGTATTGCTACTATTATTACCACTATTAGTAAATGCGTTATTGATATTTTCCTTGCGATTCCTACGAAACGTATCAATTAACTTTGGAGGATAATTGTTGATGAGTAAGGTGTTTTCAATGTATCTGTTTTCTTGTTTAAAATCTTTTCCTTTAGTAGTAAATTTTCTGACCCTGTTACTCAGACACCTTCCCATGCGAACTGTAAATAACATAAAATGAGACGATTTGAATGTAAAGGTTTTCTGTAGACACTACTGTCTAGACTTTCATCTTGTTTCCGTTTTATTCTCCAATCCAACATCGCTAATTCCTCCTCACTATTTTCTAATTCATAGATGAATTGAATTGCGTTGACTACTGAATTTGTACGCATGAAGAAATTATATATGCGCTGTGATTTCAACACTGTAAACATGTCGTCTACATATCAAAACTATACTCTTAGAAATTGGTAGATCCTAGTAAGGTAAGGAATTTAGAAAAGGGAGGCTCAGTCATAGTTATGCATGCATTTATACAACAACACAATAGGATGTGACAGGGTGAAAATCTTTAAAACTAACATAACAGGGTGGAGGGAGAGATTGATAACTGAATCTTTGTTTTTTACCGAATCAACCAACACCTAATACATGCAGGAAGAGGAATGATTCAGTCCGTGTTCCGGATATATGGAAGATCTTAGTACCCATGTCACTAAGGGGGGGGGGGGGCGAGGAAATTACAACCATATAAATGATATCACAAAGTTGTGTAGTTATCTTGATATGATTATGGACAATAAATTATGACCGAAACGTAAACAAGATAGGGGGGAGTGGGGGACCTTTTTCTAAACCCTCTTTTTGCCAGAAAAATGTGGCATTATTATGGTACTGTTGGTCATCCACGGAAAACACCTCACTGCTATCACATCCTCTTGCAGTCAGCGGTATGATTTCGCCGTCAAACTCCATCATAGCGTGGCAATTTAAACTATACTCCTCGTCTTACCACCATGAAACAGAACTCTTCAACATGTTAAGATATCTAGCCAGTGTAACTCGTTGGTCCATTATGATATACAAGCGAGAGCATCATGTCAAAGTACCAGCTATCGGTCAGGTTCCAGTCAGTAGACGGTACGATGAAGGACATAATAACAACAGACATTTAAAAAAAAGAATTTAACTTTAATCATAAACTAATCGAAACGAAATGCACACAATAAGCACGTACACTTTCGTGAAGTAGGTATTGAGGCATGCCATTTGTATATCAGCTAATAAGACTACTTGCCTGCCCAGATTTCGACAAGTGAAGTTGAAGTCTGTGACCCACTGGTTTGCAGTCGTATGGTTAGACCAATAATGCATAGGTTAATTCATAGCCTCAATACCCATAGGAGATAAAAGCACTCATGAGCAATACATACCAAAGAAGGTAATGAATTGATTTACACTTACTCAAACACAATAATTGGTCACTGGAGAGCAATGAATTGGATGATTTCTAGTCCTATCGACCACTCTGTAATGTGGTTACCGAGCTGGGAGACTCACCATTACGGTACACTTGACTGATGTCAAAGATTTAGTGTTTGTCAGGAAGGCATAGTTGCAGTTTCGAGAGAAATAATGTCTACTCTGAGAGATTAGAACTAATACCATTCAGTTCTACGGTTAGAGACGTTATCAGTGAGCGATTTCAGCCGAAATGAACTGGACATACTAATTAGTTAATAGTGAGTAAGTAACTTTAGGCTAGTCGGTGATAAGGCTGATAAGATTTACACTTGCGATTCTCATAGTGAGATGAGGACTATTTCGCAGTTCGATTACACCTATCCCTATGCTAAACAAGCAATGAGTTTCCTATACACTTGTTATTAGAACTGTTTAGTCGAAAATATTCTACGTATGTTCAATCACCGACTAACTCTTCGTTGAATTAGGTATGAAAATGGTTCAGGACGGTCAAATCAAGATATGAAACCAGTACATGAAGTTTCTGACTGTTAGTTTAAATTTAGTAGACTAACCAGCTGGGATCTCCAAGACCACAGAAACCAATGATTGAAGAGTCTTGGTGACGTGGCTGAAACTCGATCTTAATGATACAGATGTATTCACAATTTGATGTCCTCTAAAACTTAAATGTTTTGACTAACCTTATTCTTTAATTTTCAGTCTTTCTCTATCCACTTATTCCATGCATACTACTGTGAAGTGTATCAACTTGGGTCTATGAGGGTTCTACGTTGATTTCGTCTATTTGTCTAGACTATGATACTAGACACGTAAATATTAAATTGTATTATTCTTAATAATGACGTTATTGCATTTGAATTTTGACGGAGTTGTGAAGATTTGGAATATTTCAAGTTGTTATTCACCGTAGACTGACATCAGTTGGAGGAACAAAGGAAACCTGGGAGCATTGGACAGCTGTTTCGTCCCAGTATGGGACGCCTCAGTAGTGCGCATGCACGACCCCGCCCTCCAAGGATCGAACACGCGACCTTCAGGTTCCATGGCCAGCACGTTACCATTGAGCAACTTGGTCAGAATCTAATGGTCTATATTTCCAACTTCTGTTAGCTCACGATATAGCGCAACCACCACCCAATGTCATCGTTGAGTAACTGTCCTCATGACCATCAGGCATTTCATTTCAGTCAGTTGAAAAATTATCACCTATTCAATCATTTCAACTCCCAATAAGTCAAATAGGCAAAACACAATGACAACACACACACCACTATGATTTGAAATATACAAAAGTATTCCATGTAAAAGAGTTTATCAAAACAAACAATACAACATTGTATACCATTGTACGTTTGATGGACATAATTCATTCAGCACGACGACCATGGTAATGATAATAATAATAACAATAATAATAATAATAAATAATCAAAGTAAAATGAAATATTTTGTTCCTTTAAAATAAATCAAATCAACATTTATGTGTAGGACTAGTTAAGGTCCCAATTAATTGATTATTATGCATCTGTGGAGAGGAGTGTTGCCCACTCACTCACTCACTCACTCACTCACTCACTCACTCACTCACTCACTCACTCACTCACTCACTCACTCACTCACTCACTCACTCACTCACTCACTCACTCACTCACTCACTCACTCACTCACTCACTCACTCACTCACTCACTCACTCACTCACTCACTCACTCACTCACTCACTCACTCACTCACCCACTCACTCACTCACTCACTCACTCACTCACTCACTCACTCACTCACTCACTCACTCACTCACTCACTCACTCACTCACTCACTCACTCACTCACTCACTCACTCACTCACTCACTCACTCACTCACTCACTCACTCACTCACTCACTCACTCACTCACTCACTCACTCACTCACTCACTCACTCACTCACTCACTCACTCACTCACTCACTCACTCACTCACTCACTCACTCACTCACTCACTCACTCACTCACTCACTCACTCACTCACTCACTCACTCACTCACTCACTCACTCACTCACTCACTCACTCACTCACTCACTCACTCACTCACTCACTCACTCACTCACTCACTCACTCACTCACTCACTCACTCACTCACTCACTCACTCACTCACTCACTCACTCACTCACTCACTCACTCATCAGTTTTAAAAGTTCCCTTATATTTAATTAAAAGCAATAGTTGTAGATCACACTGTGCTTGTTGTTCAACCTTAGTTATGCATAGAGACGATAGATAAAAGAAAAATTGGCATTTACGCCTGACTGAGTAAAGTATACACCAATTCATTTTTAAAACATCAAATAAACAATGAAGAAAGTTACTGATAGTAAAAAAAACAAGATGACAAATTATAAAATCTCTTGTTTATTCATTAAATACATTAAGGTACGCATAGCTGCATTCAAGTAAGACAAAGTTTCTTGCAGTCGAGGGATAACACATTCAATCTGTTCCGGTTGATGATAAAAACGAGAAAAAAAACGAAACAAATATAGAAAAATGTAAACAATAACCTAAATATTTGACTAAAAATTATAAAATCATGTAAAGTGGCAATCAAGACATCTACATGATCACTAGTTGTTTGAATATTCATAATTTCCCGTTGATATACTGAATCAAACTGCTCGACTTCTCTTGGTAGATGAACTTCCATCCGTAGGCCTCAATATTGCCCAGATATTCATCATATTGCGGTCTGATTGGTGTATAGCAGTGAAATTGAAGACGAATGTTTCGTCCTATTTAGTATTGATCAGATGTGTAGCTTTCGTGTCCCAGTGGATAACGCAATGGTGCAGGTATGTCCAGCTGACTAGTAAGCCCAAAACAGGAGGAAACATACATTCTAAGTTCCACTGCTAGCCATCAGGCAAATTAAAATCACATGAATAACTTATATTGATTGGCCACGGAAGTGCAATCAATTTCATGTTGTCTAGCCTTCAGTGCAGACCGAATTCTATCGATCATATTTACAATGTGGCAACCAAGCCAAGAAGCTCAGCATTACGGTGCACATTAATAGATGTTAGTTGGTTGGAGGCAATCGGCAGGTGACTTGGGTTCGAATCTCAGGCGGGACATCAGTTCCATCGAGGTTGAAGATACGCCTTGCTGATGATTGCCTATAGGCACGAAACCTAGGTCTAGCAGGGCTTCCTACAGATTGCCTCCAACCAACTAACAATCAATAACTTAAAATTCAGTTGAGTGACCAGTAAACTGGTTAGGGTGACAATAGTCTATTCAGTAGACCGATATCTATGGAAAAAAAGAAAGGATTGAACAAGTGTTTTTTTTTCTTGAACATTCCTCAGTTTAGTCTAATCTTAAGTATGCATAGAAAGTTAACTAGTTTCACTGAGACAATGTGAATGAGTCAACAATCTCATAATGATTAAGACTATTGCAATTTGTAGGATAACTGTTCAGTATATCTTAACCTTCAATGACTCTTTTCAGCTAGCATCAACTCAGAGTAAAAAAACATTTCACACAGAAAAAAATGCTTATTTCAGGTGGTATAGTGATATTATCAATTTCCGACAAAAGTTGTTTACAAAAAGTTTAGTAACTTGAAGTTTTTTCCCCCTGAAACACGATGAATTCTGTTAACAAGTTATCCATAAAAATGATAAGAAATAGCCTGAATAGAAATCAACATTCTAGGTCATCAGTCGTTAAGGTAGAATCTCATTGCACAATTTTATCGTACAACTGACCAATCAGAATAAGCTATTTAATTACTGATCTATTGTTCATGAAAACTATGTAAATGATACATTTTTTTTGTCGAATAAAATATTTTCGTTACTATTCACAGGCTAGTCCTAGCATTCTGATATTTTCGTGGTTAAATGAAGGATTAGGTTTTAAGGAACACTGGTCACTATTCCTTCTATCAAGTTACATATCGTTCACATATTTTTTTATGATTCACTTGGGGTCACTTCAGAAATCCGTAGGTTGGTCTGAGCCAAAAGAATCCATTTCTAGACATATCAAAAAAAGTCTTCAACTATTGATTCTTTTAGTCTTGGGAAGCTGAGCAAGGTGGCTTAAACATCCCCATACTGCTCAAATTTTTTGAACAAATATAAGATCCTGTATTTTTGAGATGAATGGGGATTTTTTTTAACTTTAGAAGTAGTATTCATCATTGACTGACATCAGTTGGGGAACCATTGAAAATCTGGGAGCACTGGACAGCTGTTTCGTCCAACTAGTATGGGACTCCTCAGTAGTACGCACCCACGACTCGGATAGGGGTCGAACTCAGGACCTCCAGGTTTCACGGTGAACGTGTTAGCCATTCAGCCACTGGGTCGGTTTTCAGTGGTTCACAATTTCCAACTTCTGTCAATTCACGGCATAGCGCGACTGCCACCCAAGGTCTTCAGTTAGCATCCACTTCACTTCCGACTGGTTGACCTCACAGGTCACGGCTTCTCATTAGAACTTCCTAACATCCATCTGCTGAGAAGTCCCATACTAGTTGGACGAAACAACTGTCCAGTGCTCCCAGATTTTCAATGGTTCCCCAACTGATGTCAGTCCATGATGAATACTACTTCTAGATTTAAGATACAAACTGTCAACCACTTTATATTTTCTGCTCTCAGCTATTATACCTAGTAAAAGTGCTATAGAAGACCGTCTATTGCACAGTATACTCATTCTCTGATATGTAATCCACCTGTGTTAGATATAGGGTAGGTTAGCAAACGCAAAATAAGCCTTTGGCATCCGCCTTAAGATTTCACTAACAATTATTCGTTTCAAAGTAACTAGATTGAATGATGTGATAGGACTCCACTGGCTACCAAACTTCCTTCAAACTAAATATTACCCTTATACTAAAGTAGTAAATGCTGGACCGATGAAAAGATCCTAGAAGATTTGTATTTCTACAGTGATGATGATTTATCTGTAATGTATTTTATGTAGCACAAACTCGAAGATCAACAGGAGAAAACTAAAAAGTTAGCACAAGAGGCGAGGCAGCGAAGGAAGACAGGACTTTTTTCCAGTGAACACAGAAAAGACATAGGTGATGAAGATAACCAACCAACAACAATCACCATCAACGCTAGAAATCTAAAGGAAGTTGTCTCTTTCTCCTACCTACCTATACAGCATCGATTCAACTACAGACGGCAAAGGCAGTGATATCAAAGCCATGATCAAAAAGACAGCAACACAGGTCTTCCTTCTTTAATCTGAAATCACTGTGCAGATCTACTCTACTCCACTGCACGTCACTCGGCATACAGCGTGAACAAGATACGGATTTTCAACACCAACGTCAAGTCAGTGCTTCTATGTGATGCTTGAGAGACATGGCACGTTACGAAAAGCATTTTCAGCAAACTACAGTTACACATCATCGATAGATGCCGCCTACGTTATCCCACTCGATAGTGAAGATCAGATGACCAGAAAGAATAAGCAAGGAGGAACTCTGGCCTGGCAACGAACCAACCAAGAACCTATCACCCAACACAAATGCAGGAAAAAGTGGAGATGCGTTGGATTGGATTGGACATACACGGAGACAGTTTAGGGATATCACGCACCGGGCCAAACTAGGCCGTCGAGTGGAATCGAAACGAGAAACGACGGGTTGGGGGTCCGAGGGTGCGTGACTTGGAGGAGATCGTGTGAGGAAGAAATTAAAGCTTCTAGGCATTTGTGGAGCCAGGTTCAAAAGATTGTAGAGAGGAGAGTGAAATAGAGACGTGCTACTGAAGCCCTATGTTAAAATAGGAACTTAAGAGACAAATAATAAATGCCAAAAGTAACCAAGTCAATAAATAATGATTGATAAGATGTCTTATAAACTTACACTTGAACGATTTAAAACTTCCCATCGTTTTTCCATGCTATTATAGACTAAATTGTAGGCAGCAAACACCAATGATGCACCACGTATAAACATACTTAAGACAATATCTTTTGGAATTGGTGGATAAAAACATTTCTAAAAGTAGAAAGATAATTATTCAATAAATACACAGTAGAATAACATTCATCTTACTCGACTAGGATTGGTCAAATGCTCTTCAATAGTTTTACGTGGTGGTTGAGTTAAACAATCTTTAGCATCTCGAATGAAATAAAATAATTCGTACAAAAACTGAAAAATAAAACAACAAAAATAGTCGTTAGAAAATGATTTATTGAAATCTACTTCAGCGATTACGTAAGCGTTATTAGAAGAGAGAGTGAGCCAAACCTATTGTATGAAACTATCATTTTGAACCAACTTACTCATGCACGAATGTATATATATATGCAGAAGGAAGTGGAGATGGATTGGGCATGCACTGAGAAGACCGTTCGGTGACATCACGCGCCAGGCCAGTCGCTTGAGTTGAATCCAGATGGGAAACGACGAGTTGGGCGTCCGAGGTGATGGTGACATGGAGATGATGTGAAGAAATGAGAGCTTCTGGGCAGCCGTGGAGCGAGGTTCAAAAGACTTCAGAGAACAGAGTGGAATGGAGACGTGCTACTGAAGCTCTATGTTCCATTAGGAACCCAAGGGACAAATTATATATATATATATATATATATATATATATATATATATATATATATATATATATATATATATATATATATATATATAGGGAGAGAGATGAATGGGGATTTTTAATTCAGAGGTAGTATTCATCATGGACTGACATCAGTTGGGGAACCATTGAAAATGTGGTAGCACTCGTCCTAGTGTGAGATTCCTCAGCAGTACGCACCCACGACTTGGATAGGGATCGAACTCAAGACCTTCAGGTTTCACGGCGAACGCGCTAAGCATTCAACTACTGGGTCGTTTTCCAGTGGTTCAAAATTTCCAACTTCTGTCAATTCACGATATGGCACGACTATCACCCAAGTACTTCAGTTAGCATCCGCTTCACTTACGACTGGTTTAGTTGACCCCACAGGTCACAGTTTCTCATCAGAGCTTCCTAATATCCATCTGGAACCAAGTCACTAATGAGGACTATACAGTAATGTATTTTCGAGATGAATGGGGATTTTTTTTAAATTTAGAAGTAGTATTCATCATGGACTGACATCAGTTGGGGAACCATTGAAAATCTGGGAGCACTGTACAGCACTGGATGCTGACTGGAGAGCTTGGGTGATAGTCGCGCTATATCGTGAATTGAAAGAGGTTGGAAGTTATGAACCACTGAAAACCGACTCACTGGCTGAATGGCTAACACGTTCACCTTGAAACCTGGAGGTCCTGAGTTGAATCCCTATCCGGGTTGTTAATATGTACTGCTGAGAGTCCTATACTAGTTGGACGAAACAGCTGTCCAGTGCTCCCAGATTTCCAATGGTTCCCCAACTGATGTCAGTCCATGATGAATAACAAAATATGAAGTATTATGTCACGACTGAAAATGAATACCGGTTGTGATATGAATAAAGAAGGGTATAAATAGCGTAATAATATAAGAAAATGAATGTTTATCAATATAGAAGAAAGGGATGGGAATTCTCGGTAAGAAAGTTCATAAAGAACGTGTCGAATTAAACAAAGTGGATGTACATATTTCCTGTGAACACAAATAGGTCTAGTTTTCTTGCTTTGATACCTATAGTTTCGGTTATAGATACGATACACAGTGGTGCACCTCTTTAGGGAGATTGCAAGGAACACAGTATATCACAGAAAAGGTATGATTTACCTTTATCTGATGTCCAGAATCTACTAGATGTGATAGGACTGTACTATTGGTGCTCTCTGTCATTCCTTTTGCTAACCAAGCTGCTATATGTTTACGAGAGTCCATCAATAGAACCCTTTAAGTACGACCTATGTAATTAACTCCAATCGAGTAGTTGAAATGGTCATCATTGATAAAACTGAACATTTTAACCTCCTATGCCTTTCTTCTATATTGTCATTACATTGATAAACATTCATTTTCTTGTGTTATTAGTCTTACGCCCTTCTTTATTCATACCACTAGCGGTAGTCACTTTCAACCGTGACGTAATACTTCACATTTGTTATAGTACTCATCACATGATTTTCATCCTACCTAAATATATAACACTCAACACTATATAATTATTATTTGACCCTTAGTATAAAAACAACGCACCACCACCACCAACAACAAACTCCAATCACCGTCAACGGGAGAAACTTAAAGGAAGTAACCTCCTTCACTTATCTAGGAAGCACTGTTTCAACTACAGGCGGGACGGACGAGGATGTCAAAGTCAGAATCGGAAAAGCAAGAGAGGTGTTCATTAGCCTGAAACCAGTGTGGAGATCTTCTGCACTCAGCATGTGGAACAAGATATGGATTTTCAACACAAATTAAGTCAAGTGAGTGCTTCTGTATGGTTGAGAGACTTGGCGCGTCACGAAAGGCATTTCCAATAAACTACAGACATTCATCAACAACTGCTTACGCTGGCTCGCTACTGAAGATCAGATGGCCAGAAAGAATAAGCGACAAGGAACTCTGGGAACGAACCAACCAAGAACCTATCACCCAGCAAATATGCAGGAGGAAGTGGAGATGGATTGGGCATGCACTGAGAAGGCCGACTGAGGACATCACGCGTCAGGCCCTCGAGTGGAATCCCCATGGGAAGCGACGAGTCGGACGTCCGAGGGTGACATGGAGGAGGTTGTGGGAGGAGGAAATGAGAGCTTCTGGGCTGTCGTGGAACCAGGTTGAAAAGATCTCAGAGAACAGAGGTCACTGGAGACGTGCTACTGAAGCCCTATGTTCCACTAGGAACTCAAGGGACTAATAATAATAATAATAATAATAATAATAATAGTATAAGAACAAACACACACACATTCATGCCCCAATAAATGTATATACGTGATTTTCTGATTATCTGAGATAACTGTGGTTTGCAGGACTAGCATTATTACTGGATGATGATTCAATGTGAAACAAAAATTTGAACTGAAGCCGGAATCGAAATAGCGACCGCCGGGGTTTCCAGCCTGATGCTGTACCAACTCAGCTACGAGGTACGTCTAGTGACCAGATTTTTATTTATATAAATGAATCATCATCCGTAGATTTTGTCTCTTCATTTCATAATTGTACTGTCCATATTGATTTCATTGCACAAAGAACACACTAGACTTACAACAACAGTTTCACCATTCCATTCGATTTAATCTCCATTCACCCATCAAAATACTGACTGTTTCATAATGAAGCCTTACTTTGGTGATTGTATTTCATATATTCTCATGGACTAATAATTGTGTAGGGCCTGGAGAAGAAATTATTGAAAACAATTGTTCTTTCAAACTATTCTTGTTCTGAATAATGTATAGAGATGTTTAAATTATTAAACCACAGTAGATGGAGTGGGATATTATTATTATTTATCCCTTGGGTTCCTAGTGGAGCATAGAGCTTCAGTAGCCCGTCTCCATTCCACTCTCTTCTCTGTAATCTTTTAAACTTGGCTCCACAACTGGCCAAAACCTCTCATTTCTTCCTCACACGATCTCCTCTATGCCACCCTCGCCTCGGACGCCCACTCGTCGCTTCCCATCAGGGTTCCACTCGAGCGACTGGCCTGGCGCGTGATGTCCCCAGTCGGCCTTCTCAGTGTATGCCCAGTCCATCTCCACTTCCTTCTGCATATTTTGTGGGCGATACGTTGTTGGTTGGTTCGTTACCAGAGTTCCTCCTTGCTTATTCTTTCTGGCTATCTGATCTTCAGTAACGAGCCAGTGTAGGCAGTTGTTGAAGAATGTCTGTAGTTTGTTGGAAATGCTTATCGTGACGCGCCAAGTTTCTAAAACATATAGAAGCACTGACTTGACGTTGGTGTTGAAAATCCGAATCTTGTTCACGCTTTACGATGAACGCGGTGCAGAAGATCTCCACACTGGTTTCAGGTTGATGAACGCCTGTCTTGCTGTCTTTCCAATCCTGGCTTTGACGTCCTCGTCTGTGCCACCTGTAGTTGAAACGATGCTGCCTAGATGGGTGAAAGAGGCTACTCCCTTTAAGTTTCTCCCATTGATGGTGATTGGAGCTTGTTGTTGGTTGGGTATCATCATGACCTCTGTCTTCTGTAAATTTAGTGCGTGAAATTTGAGTGAGCCACAGCCTCACTAAGGTCGGGAATATATAAGCAGTATCCATGTTAGCAATGTTTAGGTCAGGTGAAGTGTATTAGGCAAGATCAACAAGTCGAATGAGATAGCTTGGACATATACTGAGCATGCCCTATCATCGCCAACCTCCACATGTCATGCTAAACGGAGTAAGATTAGGTTGGAAGAGGGTTTCAGGCGGCTAGACCAAGACCTACCACCAGTCGATGAAGTCTCTAAATATTGGTCTGGGTCGTGTTAGGATGTTTAGACTAGCTGGCTGAGATCCCTGAGACCATAGGAATCAGTGGTTGAGCACTCTTGGTGAAACGACTGGAAACAAGTCATCGTAACAGAAACATATATTCATTTCTGGACATTACCTGAAGCTTGGATATTTGAGCTCACCTCTATCTTGAAATCGCTTGTTCTCACACAACTTCGTCTATTTTGACATCAGTTTTTTTCAATCCACTTGTGTTTCGCATGCTACTGTGAAGAATGACTACTTGAACGCATATTTCATATTGGTTTCATGTTGATTTTGTCTACCTCCTTGATAAGCTTTCTTGGTGGTTACACTGTATAAGGTATTGAAACCAGAGAATAATTCCATGAATACTCAGGCGATGTTATAAGTGTTACACAGCTACAGGTGATCAAAAGCCTTAAGATCATAAGAAAAACTTTCCTAACCCTTTTGCTAGCTGTCATAACCTTATAGTGACTGCTTGATATAACCTCAGATATATATACATATCCCTGGGAGATTTGAATCTCGCCCATGATGATTTATGTCTAATGTCTCACAAACTCGAAGATCTACAGGAGAAAACTAACAAGTTGGTAGAAGAGGCGAGGCAGCGAAGGAAGACGCGACTTCCTTCCAGGGAAAGCAGAAAAGACACATGTGATGAAGATACCCAATCAACAACAACAATCACCAACGGGAGAAATTTAAAAGAAGTTGTCTCTTTCACCTACCTACATACGCAGCATCATCTGAACTATAGGCGGCAGTAGCGGCACAGATGAGGATGTCAAAGACAGGATCCGAAAGACAGCAAGACAGGCCCTCATTCATTAATCTGAAATCATTGTGCAGATCTAATCCACTCCACTGCACTCAGCATAAAGGGTGAATAAGATCCGGGTTTTCAACACAAATGTCAATCAAGTCAGTGCTTCTATATGATGGTTCAGTAAGTTGGCGCATTACGAAGGGCATCTCCAACAAACTACAGACACTCATCCAATAGCTGCCAGTTTATACGTATTTTCGAAGGTCTTGACTATTTCCAAGTCTTTGTAGATACTCTCATCCAAAGTATCAGCAAATCAATCCCCATATTACCAGATTTTATGGATCTAATTTAGTTACTTCAACCTGCGCCACAACAGATCACTAAAGAAGCCTTTTTCAACTAAATCGTTTTATCCTAAAGTTTCGGAGAAAACCACGTGAAACAACGTGTTTATACGAGATTCAATCTAAAGGTTTGTGGAGATTTATTATTTGATTTTAGGCTGGAATTCATCATAGACTGAGATCAATTGGAGAAACATTGGAAACCTGGGCAACTGTTTCATCCTAGTATGGGACTCCTCAGCAGTGAGCACCCATGACCCCGCTGCACAAGGTATCGAACGCAGGACCTTCAGGTTCGGAGGTCAGCAAGTTATCCAATGGTCCATATTTCCTACTCCTGTCAGTTCACCATATAGCACAACTACCACCCAATGTCGTCGTTGAGTAATTGTCCTGATGTTCGACTTGGTTGGTTTTACTGGTCACGACTTCTCATTGGAAATTCTAGAGTCATCAGTGGAGTAAACCAAGTCAAATATGAGGATGGAAGTTGGGCCATATCGTGAGGTGACAAAAGTAGGAAATATGAATCACTGAATTCGGACTCAGTAGCTCAATGGTTATGTGCTGGCCGTGGAATTTGAAGGTTTTGCGCGCGAAGTGCTGAGGAGTTCCATGCCAGGACGAAACAGCCGTCTAGTGCTCCTAGGTTTTCTAAGTTCCTTCGCCTGAATTCAGTCCAGGATGAATTCCAACCCGCAATACGAGATTGGTTGAAGAAGCAAAAATCAACAGGACGTCTAAATCTAGAGAGGCCTTGAAATAGTCAAGGTCATTGTAAATACATATATAAAATGCATACTAAAATAAGCAACAGAAAATCTGATGTAACAATTAGGATGGCAATAGACCATAGAAGTAAATATACTATTGTGATGATCCTAGAGTATTAAACCATTGTGATGTAAGGCAATCTAACGCACCCTAATCCGTTATTTTCCAATTCAACTGTAATTCAACATAATGAACCATATGTCACAGGCGGTTCAGTCAATAAAAGATTTACAATCGCTTCCAAATTTGAAGCCCGATGGGAACAACATCACTCACTGGGAGGCAGGTACATCCAGCTGACGAATGAGTCCCAAATGGGACGAAATCCGCATCGTGGATTCCACTGCTAGCCACTATCCATCCTTACTATATAACTAGAACACAGGTAATATCGAGGCATCCACACAGGAGCCGATATGCCAATAGAGATTAATCGATTCGGTCCAATCAACGACGGTGTAATACAAGCAATAACACTAAAGCTATACCCATCGCACAAGAAGTGGCTATCGTGAATCGGTGGTGTAGTGGATAATCCTCTGGTGTTTGAAGCGATCGCCCCTGAGTTCGAACCCCAGTGGAACAACTTCATTCACTGGGAGGCAGGTACATCCAACTGACGAGTGAGTTCCAGATAGGACGAAGCGCGCATCCTGGATTCCACTGCTAGCGACTATCCATCTTTACAACAGGAGTTTGAATATCATGAAGAGATTATATGAAGAAAGAGAAAAACACAAAACTGTAGAGAATAAATGATGAATCAAAACTGGGTGTGAAAACGACGAAACAGTAAGAATAAGTAGCTAATAAATAACTTCTAAAAAAGGCTGAAAGTGCTTATACAAGCGTTAAAGGATGATCGCATCTCTGTTTAGTGGGGTTAGCGAAAACTTTCAATCTTATCGTAATATGCTTAAAAAAATATTACATTTGAAAAATATGTATGAAAATATAAGCAAGGCGGAAAATCAGCATCATCATCATGAATATCAACATAGGACCAGGCATTACTGCGTAACAGTCCGAGTTACCACACCTTATATCAGTACATCAAGTAAAAAGGCAGTGAGGTGCAAGATGAAGATAAAAGAATCCAGTCAAAAGAATTGTAAAGTAAGAGAAGAAAGAAAGGAAGAATGACAAAATGGTGAGATTCGGCATAGCGTCCTTAAGATGGGGATAATGTATGCATACATCTACGCCATATCACCTAGAGTCTCCAACCACTGGTTCCTCTTGTCCCGCCAACCCCAACCACCTAGTCTGCATCGCCCAACATCGCTCAAACAGACAGTCAGAGACTTCATACATTGGTGCCATGTTTTAGTGTGGCCACCTCGGGCCTTTTTCCAGCCTGGACCCACCTCAGCCAACATTGTGCGACGAGTTAATCGGTGACTAGGCATACGTAGTACGTGTCCCAACCATCTCAGTCGATGAAGGTTCATAACTTTGTCAGCCGATTTACCTCTACTCCTGACTTCTGCATTACTCACGTGGTGATACCATGGAATACGGTGTGTGCTACGAAGGTAACGGTGGTCAAACACTTGAAACCTTCTACTATCTTCCACCTTCAATGACCATGTTTCACAGCCACAGTACATGCGACCGTTAATAGACAATCAGATATCACAGCGGCGCCATAGGTGGCGTAAGTGGGCAAAAGCCAATCGAGTCTTTTGTATCCGTGCAGAGATTTCATCGGCAAGTGACCCACCGGGGCTGATCCTACTTACCAGGTAATTGAACTTCTCGACACACTCAACCAATTCACTTTATTGTTAGCCGTGGGTACCACTGGAGACCAATCCTGGAGGAAAAATTTGCATTTGGATGGTGAGAACCGCGTCCCAAACATTCTCAAATTCCCACTCAAAGTGTTCAAAAGACTCTGCATCTTGTCAGCATCAGCACCTTCATATGATAACCCTTAGTTGATAGTGGATATATAGATACAGAAGATTTATTTGTATTAGTCTTCCTCTTTTCCCTTCTAGATCCTAATGGTTACCACCAAACTCACACTGCTCTACATGCCTCCCTTGAACAACGTACCTATCTACAGGCTAGACGAAAATGTATCAACTGCTGGTTATTACATTTTCATGTCGGAGGTGGAATCCGGCTCGCTTATGATCAGACCAAAGTGTACTCAATGATAGCCAACCCTTTAATGTAATTTGCACCAGCTTTACACACCATACCTAGCGTCATTCAGGTACAACCAGGCACTGAGGACAGTGCCTCCAAAGAAAAGGAGAGTAGTGTAACGCATTCGGAATCTTAATCATTCACCTCCCAGTTTCAATTTCTTGACTGTTTCACTTCTTCGTTGTCAAGCTATAACACTTATCAGTTATCTTTTCATACTAAATGTAAGTACATCCTATGTACTTGTGGAGTCGTCAGCTCATCTTTCTCTCTTCCTCTTTTCCTTCACTAAACTTACATTACTCTACGCGCCCATTGTAACAATATACTTACCTACAGGCTAAACGAAAACGTATCAATAGGTGGTCGTTACAAGTGTACAAAGTACATACATTGACTGGTCATCACTGGAACGACAATTAATTTCATATTTTCATCTAGTCCTGACTGCTAACTGAATTCTATCGATTATTTTTTGTAATGTAGTCAACGACCTACAAGGCTCATCACAGCAGTGCAATTTTGGTGGGTGTCAGTTGCTTAGAGGTGGCTCTGTTCAACTTAGGTTTATCTCAGTTGTAATGTCGCTAAACACAACACTAAATGACGTCGGTTCAAATCTCAAGATATTGGTTCCTATGAAGTTGAACATACGGCCTGTTTACCATTACCAAAACGATCGTATAGGATTCCCACCGATAACCCCCGAGAGAGATCGAACCCAGAACCTTAAGATTTCACGACCAGAATGTTATCGTTGAGCTAATGAGTCATAAGTAAATGGTCAACATTTCAAATCAATAAATAAATTCCTCATAAGCCTCAAAAGTGAACTATTTTATTACTTATGATGTAATTTACATTTCTGTATTCTTTCCTTAACCTTAACCTACTGAAAAATTATTGATAGACAAATACCCATAGTTATTGCCATTGAATGTATATACTCTAATTATGTATAGAATGTGGTTGTATACAGCTTTTGGGGCTGATATCACTCAGCTCTTTCTTCTCGAAAGATTATTTACTTCTTCCAAAACGTAGTTTAATCAACTTACCATGCGACTTTCAATCATTTCATCTAAACTGTTCGTAGTTTTGGCTGATTCTATCATATCAAGACATCTTGTAGTATAATTTAGACAATCTTGAATCTATTGGATGAAAAAGAAGAGAAAAACAGATTATACAATACAAAGAAAAAAAGTAATTAGGTACAGTAACTTAGTGAGTAGTTAACGCTCTGGCGCTTGAAGTGATCGATCACGGGTTCATATTATAACAGTAACAAACACTATTCACTGGGAGGCAGGTACATTCAACTGAGACATTTCACCCTGCTCCACAGTCTTCTGGTTTCAGGGGTATGGGCTCTCTTTATCCCGCATTAGTAGAAGTAAATCTTAAAACAGCATCTCACAAAAGGTCTCAAGTAGATGTCTAATGGGCTCTGATGTCAAACAGATCTATTCACCTTTCAGGTACCCTAAGAAGAAATAGCCTTCCACTATGTGTGTAACCGGGAAGTGTCAACTGCCCAGTCAAATATAACCTTTCCTCCTTTGCTTTCACCTTCTGATACGAATATTAAGTCTCTCACACCTTTCCTAACCTCTTATTCAGTGACCATTGGAGAAGATCAAAACCATTGAAACCTCATTTCTAGTCCTCAAAAACCACATAATCCAACTCATATTGGAGCTTTCAACGTCCCCAATCTATGTCAAGTTACTCGAGATGATGATGTTCTTTGTATACTACTGTGAAGTGTGGCAACTTGAGCAGACGCAAAGTTCTACGTTGATTATTCCGTCAGCTTTTTTCGCAAGTATATCACCATCACCCGGTAGTCTGATAGTACTATTACTCTTAAACCTTATACTGACTCAAGATATCAGCCGAACACCTAGATAATTAACCACACAGTAATGATGGAAAGTGGCTAGCAGTGGAATCCAGGATGTACATTTCGTCCTATTTGGTAATCGCTCGTCAGATAGATGTACCTGACTCCCAGTGAGCGATGCTGTTCCCACCACGATTTGAACTCGCGATCGATCGCTTCAAACTCTACAGCGTTATCCACTACACTACAGAGCCATGACGACTGAGTCATAAATAGGATGAAATGTGCATCCTGGATTCCACTGCTATCCACTACCCCACTATCTATCTTTACTATAACTAAAACTACACAGGTATATGGAAGCCCCTGCGCAGGAGCCCATATACCAATAGAGATCGATCAATTCAGTTCAATAAACGACGGTATAATACAAGCAATAACACTAAATTCTTAATAACTAGATTTCCCTTCGGTATAAGTTGTACACTTGTTCGTCTATTCATGATTGAGAAAATAAATATATAATCAACTAACCTGTTGAAGTTTATAAGGTGATCCATAATTATCTTTTATAATGGAATGATATGGTGTTGATGAATTAGTACGATTAACTTTTAGCTCCTAATTAATAAAAGTAAAGAAAAAGTAAAAAAAAGAATTATTTTTAGATAGTTTAATTAGAAGATGAAGTTTATCTGAACATGTTATATCATTCTACCAAGAAAAGGCAGTGAAAACGGAACTTCAAGTGAATGTAGAGAAGACAGAGGTGATGAAGGTACCCAACCAACAACACCAACAACAAGAAACAATCACCATTAACGGGAGAAACCTAAAGGAAGTTGTCTCTTTCACCTACCCAGGTAAGACAGCATCGTTTCAACTACAGGTGGCGGCACAGACGAGGATTGGACAGACAGTAAGACAGGCTTTCATGAGTCTAAAACCAGTATGAAGATCTACTGCACTCAGCACAAAGAACAACACTAATATCAAGTCAATGCTTCTATGTGATGGTTTAGAAACTTGGTGGGTCATGAAAAGCACTTCCAACAAACTATAGACATTCATCAGCAGCTACCGCATACGCTCACTTGATACTGAAGATCAGATGGCCAGAATAATAAGAATAAGCAACAAGGAACTCTGGCTGGCAACGAACCAACAAAGAACCTATCACTCAACAAATATGCAGAAGAAAGTGGAGATAGATTGGACATACACTGAGAAGGCCGAATGGGGACATCACACGTCAGGCCAGGTCGTCGACTGGAATCCAAAAGAGAAACGATGAGTTGGGCGTCCGAGGAGATGGTGATATAGAGGAGATCATGTGTGGAAGAAATGAAAGCTTCCGAGTTGTCATAGTGCCGGATTGAAAAGATTGCAGAGAAGAGAGTGGAATGGAGTCGTGCTATTGAAGCTCTATGTCCCACTATGAACCAAATGATAAATTAATACAGAGAGAAGCTGAAAAGCAGAATTTTATGATGTAGGCTAACATTAATCATCAAGCTTATCATTTGAACAATATGCAAGAACAAAGGGATTTAGAGAATAAAATGAGCTCATTTAATTCCACCGCTTACGCTCGCTGCTGAAGATCAGATGGCCAGAAAAAATAAGCAACAAGGAACTCTGGGAACGAACCAACCAAGAACCTATCACGCAGCAAATATGCAGGAGGAAGTGGAGATGGATTGGCCATGCACTGAGAAGGCCGACTGAGGACATCACGCGTCAGGCCAGCACTCGAGTGGAATCCCCATGGGAAGCGACAAGTTGGACGTCCGAGGGTGACATGGAGGAGGTTGTGGGAGGAGGAAATGAGAGCTTCTGGGCTGTCGTGGGACCAGGTTCAAAAGATCTCAGAGAATAGAGGTCACTGGAGGCGTGCTACTGAAGCCCTATGTTCCACTAGGAACCCAAGGGACTAATAATAATAATAATAATAATTTAATTCCACCACCTTTCATCAGTTGCAAACAGCCTACAACTGAAATGATGTATTAGTATTGGTAATTACATAATATACATCTAAATGAACATTCGAGATCCAGGATTAACAAAAAGGTAGTGAGTGAATCGACGAAACACAGGATTAATCATCATAAATCTTAGTCAGAAACAACAGTAGTTTATATCGGATGAGATCAAAAAATTCTGTAGTTGTAGAAATGTGTGTGTGTGTAGGGGGGGGGCAACAAACAGATAGGAGTATAAAAGAAGGGGGTTATTAAAGAGCTAGTAGGTTACGTAACTGGGTGAAAAACAACTTGAAAACCGTTAGGTTGGGTGATTAACAGTCAGAAATTAATTCATGCAGAGATGATACAATCAACAACAAAAAAAGAGTTTCTCTCTGACTACATAAGTCAGGTTGAAAATGTTTGATGGCAAGAGCTTCTGCAAACTGTAATACACATGGTATTCATTAGTTGTTGATTATCCTGAAAGATTGAGAAACATATATTTCTAGAAAAGACAAACCTAAACACTATACCAGTGATTACGTCACATCCCGCTGTGTTTACCAATTTACATATATGTGTCTGGTCACATATACATACAGGGACAGGTAACTGAGTCATGGCAGTTGAGGGTGGAAGAACATGTACTTAAATGGCTTCAAAAATAAATGGAGTGTGAAACAGTGGCGAACGCTGGTGGGGGTCAGCCCCTATTCATCTATAGCTAAACATTTTATAGAAGTAGGTCACAAAATGAATTAATTAATTAACAGACTTCAAAGTTCTAGGTACAGAAACAGTCATGTATTGATTGGTCACGGCATTGCAACCAATTTCATGTTGTCTAGTCCTGAGTGCAGACCGAATCTTATCGATCATATTTGCAATGTGGAAACCAAGCTAGGAAGCTCAGCATCGCGGTGCACATTAATAGATGTTAGTTGGTTGGGGGCAATCGGCAGGAAGCCCTGGACCTGGGTTTCGGGCTTTTTGGCATTCGTCAGCAAAGCGTATCTGCAACCTCGACAGGAATAATGTCCCATCTGACCACGACACTGGGTGACGCAGGTTCGAATCTCAGGCGGGACATCAGTTCTGTCGAGGTTGCAGATATGCCTTGCTGATGAGTGCCAAAAAGCACGAAACCTAAGTCTAGCAGGGCTCCCTGCCGATTGCCTCCAACCAACTAACAGAAACAGTCAGGAATCCATGCCAAGATTTGCGGAAGCGATAGTCACACACCAATTCAAACAATCTTTGTGTCCAAGATATCACTCTGTCCTTACACTACATCCATCCTGGTACACATTGTTTTTTTTCGATAGCGTAATTAGAAGACGAAGTTTATCTGAGAAATGTGATGCATTTGTGCAATACATTTCGAACAATCTGATCACACACACACACACCTGTCTCAAGTGAATATATATTAAACCGAGGACTCGGGGGTTGAGGGGGGGGACAAATACAACAGTTAACACAATAGGGGATTAAAATTAACAAAGATGAGAAAAAACAGGGAGTGACATAGTTGGTCCTAATCTTGGTAAGAAAAAGTTTACCAAAGTAGGTGTAGTGTAAGAACAAACTGTTGACGTACACAAAAACGTGGTTTAAATTTGTGTACGGCTATGGCTTCCGCAAATCTCAGAATACGTCCCTGACTGTTTCCATACCAAAATTTGAAAGGTGTTTGAACTTTGTGACCCCTTTCTCTGATATGTTTAGCTATAGATGAAGAGGGTCGTCTCCCACCAGCGTTTTTTTTACTAAGATTAGAATCGAGTACATTACTTCCTGTTAGTTCTCAGCTTTCTTGGCTATATAATCCCATATGACGTTAGTTAGTTAGACACAGACAGACAGACACAGACGAGGCGTAACGGTTTTAGTCACCAAATGTCATATTAGCGCATCAAGTGTGAATACTTTGACAAAGATGATAAAGAAAACGATAATAAAGTAGTGAAAATTGGTAGAAAGTCATCAAGAGAAAGAAAGTAGCAATGAGGCAATAATGAAATCCTTTAGGATGATTCACAGACTAGGAATGTACGCAAAAAACTGGTCAAGATCAGGTCAGTGGGTAGAAATCAGTTAATGAGCAAAATAAAGAAATGTACTGGTCACAGAACCTCAAAATCCTGACTTCAAGCCCTCACGCGGCCACTTGGTGAGTGCACACTACTCAGGAGTCTCATACTAACACAAAACAGCTACTTCCCAGTACTCCAATCCCAGGTTTCCAATGTTCCTCCAATTGATATATTTATCACTGCATGATGAATTCCAATCTAAAATCAATTATCATTTGACTATCTGAGATAACCGTAGTTCAGCAGACCAGTGTATTTATACTGAGTGACGATCGATGGTGAGACGAAAATTTGAACTGCAACCCAACTCAGACCAGCAACCAACGGGTTTCTGACCAGTATAAATACTAGTCTGACAAACTACGGCCACCTCAGATAGTCAAATGATAAGCAATATGATGCTCCTCCTCTCCAATTCACTTACATTTCGATTGAGATGAAAAGTCCTGAATAGGCAGCAGCCAGTGTGAATACGATCAAGTAATGGTAACACATCACAAATTCAAATGGTAGTCGAAGAAACCCCATTTGGTGATTGAAGTGAAATTAAAAATGTGGTCAGTAGTCGGACTGTACAACTCAGTTTGTAGAACACGGGGTCGGAAACCCATTGGTCACTGGTTCAAATCCGGTCACCGTCCAAATCTCCATCTCACCTTCAGTCATCACCCAGTTTAACATCAACTAATAAATCTGCACAAATCTCACTCAGATTAACTCCGATTGTACAGTTATGGCTCATTGATCTAGAGAGTTGACTTTTAACTAATGGGTGATGGGTTCCAATACTACTCCATCCACCCAGATTTGGGAAGCCAGACAGTAAGTACCACTGCCTTTAACTCAATATGCATGGTTACTCATCATCATCATCATCATCATCATCATGTGATCATGCATAGAATGATAGTTAGGATGTGAATAAATTAAATTCCAATCTTGATTGCCTTTGTGACAATTTCATTGAGATAGACTCTGCATCATATCGCCTAGAGTCTCCAACCGCTGGTCTCCACTGTAACGCGGACTCGAAGTAGCACCCAATGTTTGTGTTTTTTTTTGCCTACGAAGAGACTTGGTAGCAATAAACAGACTTGTACACTAAGGTTACGAGGAGCGCACACAACGACACATATACACACACAGACTATATAAGGTTGTGTAATTGTATCTGACTACACGAAGCCCAGTAGGTTGAATGAGGTTCGTTCTCAAGACTGAAACGGTTGAAAAGCAAGTGTTAACCTCCAATGAGCAACAAATCTACCATTATACAAGATAGAAAGACAAAACAGAGAAATGGAGGAAGAATTTGATCACAATTTGTAGAAAATCACAAGAAACGAGGAAAAAACGATGAAACAAGTAATAGAATGTCATATTGTGTGGATATATATATGTCCCAATATGATGGATCTTAAGCTAAATATAAAATACAGTTGCCTAGAATCGACTCCCGTTGTCACCCAGATACCAAAACGGAAGTCCGCATTTATCTATACAGCTCAAACGAAGCATCAGTTGTCTGATGTACATTTACGTGTGACTAAATAAAATCGCTTGACGTTTAGCCAACCAATATAGGAGGAAAAGTTGGGCATTGTGGTCACCCAGTTTAAATTTAAATTTGCTATCGATGATACTCTTGAGGCAACTTTGAAGGAAGTCCGTGATGGTGCTGTAGATCTACTACCCGGAGAACGTCTATTCAACCTTAAGTATGCGGACGATATCGTCTTACTGCGAGATAACAAATAGGTTGCTCAAGTCACACTTAATCAGTTGGTGATTAGTGTCCGTAAGTATGGTTAGTGCTTTGTATCATTAAGGTGCAAAGTGCTCTTGAATTATTGGAAGGAGCCTGTGCCTGCGCTCACCCTCGGTGCAAAACCGATGGAAGTAGTCAAAAAGTTCGTGTATCTAGGTTGCATGAGTGCTGGTGGAGGTATGAGAGGTGAAATTTCCAACCACGTGTTGAAAGCCAGATTGGTATACATCAATCTGCGTTACCTTTAGCGCCGTCTCTAGGTACGACACTGTGTGTCTGGGCATGATGGAGATCATCATTCAATAAGCGAAGTCACCTGGAAACACCGTTGGCTTGAACATGTGTTATGCATGTCATCCTAATGGCTTCCACTCCGTTCATTGTTTGCTAACCTTGAGACTGAATGGAAGAAGCAGAGGTGTGGTCATTGTATGACATGGTGCCGTGAGACGAAGGGTAGTTGTATCGGGTTTGCATCCGCTGGTGCAGCACGACTAGCAAGGAGGAGTCGGAGTATATCACGCAACTTAGTAGCTGAACAGCGTTGAACAGAAGCTATTTCGTCCTATTACGGGACTTCTCAGCAGGGCTCAGCCATAGGCTCCACCAAGGATAGAATCCAGGAGTACAGTGGTACACATTTCTTACTTCTACCAGTTCACGATTTAGCGCAACCTCCATTCATTGTTGTCATTCAGTAACTGTCGTCACATCCAACTTCGTTGACCTCATGGGGTGACACAATAACAACTTGGAGTCAAATAAGTCCTCACAAACTGCCACATTGAAGTCTTTTCACATGTTAACTGACAAACAGGTTTGCCAAAAAAAAGCCTACTCATAGCTTTCTTTAACAATGCACAGCTGAACTCACTGACTGACTAACAAAATAACCGTAGAACCTCGTACACATTAGTGCATCGGTGCCACACTTCACAGTAGTACACAAAGAACAGGTGGATAGAAAAAAGAGAACAAAGAAAAGTGTGACTATTCAAGATTTAGAAGATGTCAAGGAGTGAATACATCTGTGCCACTGTGACCAAGTTAAGTCATGTCATCGAAAATCCACAACCATTGATTCCTATCATCTCGGGAACCCAAACCACGCAGTCTATGTCTCCCTCTAAACGGCTCACATCAATAATCAAAGACTTTGTAAACTAGTGCTATAACTTGGTATAGGCACCTTGAATCGTCTTCCAATCTTAATCCAGATTCTCTTGGTATGCTACATTAAGGTAGGGAGTGACTTCACATGACCCACTGTACATGTCCAAGTTTTCTCAGTCGACTAAGATTCACAACTTTGTTGATCAACTTGCTTGTCATGGCCTAGTGTCTTTTGCTTACATTGCTCACACGGAAATTCTATAACATACATATTCGTTTCCATATTAGATTTGTTTATTTGATTTATAACACACTGTGGTGATTTCATATTATTTTACTTGATGACATTTCGAGCATAAATCAGCATTGCTTATAATCATATCAATGTAACCATACTCCACTTTCAACATTTGATTTTTATAGTTACGTCACCTTGTTTTTATTGGTAGCGAAATTTTTCTTATCTCTGGAATGGAGGTGTTGCATCATTTCTATTACATGTGTTGGCTGGGTGTTGATTCGATGAACAGTGATACAGTAATTAATCTCTTTCTCTCTCTCCACCTAGCTATATTAGACTTAAGTACAGTGGTTTTATCCCACCCACCCTATTGTGTGGTTGTGTGTTAATGAATGTAATGCAATGGCCAAGTGTTTTTCTAGATTATTGATCTTATTGGGGTCTGCCGTTCTATGTTTAGCTAAATTCCTATGTTCTGCTAATCTAACTGACTCCGACCGGCTAGTTTGACCTATGTATTTGACTTCACAGTCATTACATAGAATTTGGTAGATTATATTATTTTGCTGAATTGGTTCTATCGGATGCTTAAGCCAGCCGACAAAGCTTACCTCTAAGTGAGTTTGTTGGTTTAAATGCCACCCTATTTCCAACCTTGTTGAGAATCCTACGTATGGTTTCTGATGTTCCTTCCTTGTATGGTATCACAATAGAGGCGTTGATTTCCTTTCTACTTATGTTGTCACTATTATTTGTATTTTTATTAGTGTTATTATTTTGCTTCTTATGTGTCCGTGTGAATTTCTTAATAAAATGATGGGGATAATTATTGATTATTAACGCTTCTTTTATGTGTTTCAATTCCTTTTTTAAGTCTTTACAATGACTAGTGAGTTTCTCAGCTCTGTTATTTAGACATTTGACTAAACCCGCTTTAACTTAACGAAACTGGAAAATGCAGCTTTAAACAATCTACGAAAGGATAATAGTATAGTAATTGCTAAATCTGACAAAGGTAACTCAACAGTAGTTATGAACAAATTATCTTAAAAAAATGGATGAACATATCCAAACAGGGCCATATGAAGAGATTAAGAAACCTATAGATACTGTCATGAATAAAATTAAGAAATCTACAACAGATCTGATACGCCGAGTGAAGCCATCTCTAGGTAAGTCAGAATGGTTTACTTTAATGCCAAAAACTAAAAATCCTAGCAGAATTTACGGTACTATTAAGGTTCATAAAGCAGATTATCCCATTAGGCCGATAGTTGACTTCCGGAACACACCAACATATGAGATATCAAAGTATTTAGCATCAGTATTACGTCCTGTTAGAGACCGTTTCAACTCTAGACTAGTAAATTCTTACGAGTTGAAACAAAAACTTAATGACCTGCACATAGAAGAGAATGAAAAAATGGTTAGTTTTGACGTAACAAGTCTTTATACTAAAATACCAATCAATATGGCACTGGAGGCAGTCAGAAATCAACTAGATACTGACTCACAACTTACTCAAAGAACCAGCTATATGTAAAACTGTACCTCCAGTATCCTTACTGAGACTTGAAGTCTATACCCATCCTTTCAAACACTAAAGTGTTATCCACTAGACAAGTACTGAAGTACAAGAGTCACTTATTTTCTACAAAAGGAAATTACATGTATCAACAGATTATTAAAATTAATCTGTGAAGATTAATAATTCTTTTCCAATATCTATCTTAGTGCTGAAAAAAGTAGAAATGTAACTTACTCATCACCGACACTTATACTTTTGCAGTAAGCAATGAGTTATACATATTTAATGAGGATTAATGATATTCTTTGGCTTTCTAGACCTAAGTACCTTCATTGAAGTTCGAAACAAAGATCTATTGATTGAAAGCTGTATGTACAAATCAATGAGGCATAGTGTTGCATGGTATGGTATAGGTGTTGCATCATTTCTATTACATGTGTTGGCTGGGTGTTGATTCGATGAACAGTGATTCAGTAATCACCTAATTATATTGGACTTAAGTACAGTGGTTTTATCCCACCCTATCGTATGGTTATGTGTTAATGTATGCATAGCAATAGCCGAGTTTTTCTCTAGATTATTGATCTTATTCTATATTTAGTTGAATTTCTATACTCGGCTATTGTAACTGACCCTGACCGACTAGTTTGACCTAAATACTTGACGACCTCACAGGCATTCCATGGAATTTAATGGGTCAGATTATTTTGCTTAATTGGTTCTATCGGATCCTTAAGCCAGCCGACAAAGTTTATCTCTGAGTGAGTTTGTAGGTTTAACTGTCACCCTAATTCCAGCTCTGTTGAGGATTCTACATAAAGTTTCTGAGGTACCCTCCTTATAGGGTAATACAATGGAGGCTGCGAACTCCTTTTTTCTCGTGTTTTCGTCATTAGTCGAAAGCGTGTGACTTATTTTTTGTTTTTTATGTGTCCACAAAAATTTCGGAATCAAACTGTGCAGGATAATTATTTACTATTAGCGCCTCTTTTACATGTTTCAATTCTTTGTTTAGGTTCTTGCGCTGACTAATCAGTTTTCTAGCTCTATCATTTAGGCATTTGACTAATCCTGCCTTAACTGATATTGGATGGCATGATTTGAAGTCTAGATACCTATTGGAATGTGTAAGTTTTCTGTAGACAGTAGTATCCAAGCCACCGTCTGTTCTTCGTTTCATTCTGCAATCTAACATAGGTAATTCTCCTTGTTCATTTTCTACCTCGTCAAGTGTGGATATTATTCGCTCTGTGTGTGTGTATATATGTGTGCTTCTCAGTGAACAAACAATCCCGGTGTCAAGTTAGACATCATAATCCGTCACAGTTGTATAACACACCTTATATACGTCATTTCATAATAAACAAACAATGAACGAAAAAAAAATCGAATCTTACAGCTTCGTATACTAAATCCCCATAGACGGAAAGGACTGCATTGATTTGTGAATATGAACTAGAATATGTAAGATAAAAGATAAACAATAAAACAGATAATATTAACTAGTCAAACCACTGAGACTACATGAATGTAATGAATTCGAGTTCTCAATTAAATAAAGCACAATTATAATTGAAAAATGACAAACTATTAAACTATACTACTGAATGAAATCAGTAGTTGAATATTACACATACATACATAGATTAAATAAGTTATATAAGAAAGGAATCTAAGCGTTATATTTCAACAGTTAGTACAGTGTTAGGCTTCCTTTTATCATCAGCGACACAGAGGGGAGATATTGATCGGTACACTATAGACAACCAAATCATGTTGAATGGAACTGTTGCACAATGGTCCATGCAAATTGACTTTTATCCAATAAATTACAGATTCGAACACCGTCGCATCTACAATGGTTTAGGCGTCTAATAGGTAGTCAAACTAACTACATCATACAATAAGTGTGGTTCATTGCCAATTGTAGGCTGTTGATAACATATCGAAATCATTTTGTCTAACAATGAGAAATTGATTAATTTATTGTGACAATAAAATTGTGTGATATCAGTGTATCTTTTTAAACAGAGAAATTTTCAACCAGAAACTTGTTGACAACGGTATCATTTTGTTGTATGAAGTAACTTAAAGGTAAAATTCTTCTTAAAATGTCTTAAACTGGCTTGTAAACGTTAGTCATATAACATACTTACAGCATAGTCAACAGGCAACAAAAAATCGTAGTTAGTAGTCAGTTTCAATGTTTGTTTTACCAATCAGTAAGACTTAGCCAGCACTGTTATAATTTTATTATTTGTCCCTTGGATTTCTGGTGGAACATAGGGCTTCAGTAGCACGTCTCCATTTCACTCTCTTCTCTGCAGTCTTCCCAAACTGGCTCTATCAACGCCTATAACAGTTCATTTCCTCCTCATACACCATCTCTTCTATGTCACCCTCATACGCCAAACTCGTCACTGCCCACGCAGGATCCACTTAACGACCTGGCGTATGATGTCCCTCCTCAAAACGGTCTTCTCAGTGTATGTCCAATCCAATTCATCTCCACTTCCCTCTGCATATTTGCTATGCGATAGGTTCCTGGTTGGTTTGTTGTCGGATCAGAGTTCCTCCTTGCTTAATCTTCATCGCCTTCTGATCTGATCTTCAGTATCGAGTGAGCGAGCGTAGGCGATAGCTGTTGATGTATGTCTGCAGTTTGTTTGAAGTTCTTTTCGCAAGGCGCCAAGTTTTTGAACCATCGCATAGAAGCACTGGCTTGACATTACTGTTAAAAATCAGGCAGGATCTTGTTCACGCTTTATGCTGAGTGCAGTGGAGTGAAGTAGGTCTTCTATAGTCGAAACGATGCTGCATAGGTAAGTAGGTGAAAGAAAAAACTTCCTTTACGTTTTTCTTGTTCACGGTGATTGGTGTTGTAGTTGGTTGGGTATCTTCGTCACTTCTGTTTTTTCTACGTTCATCTGAAGGAAGTCCCGTCTTCGCTGCCTAGCCTCTTCAGCCGACTTAATAGTTTTCGTCTGTAGACTTTCGAGTTTGTGTAACAATGGACATAAATTATCATCACGGGCGAAATCCGGATCTTCTAGGGTATATTCATCCGTCAAACAGCGTGTTCCCATTTTCTTGCTCCTCACAGTTGGTTGCATGATCCAGTCCACTACAACCATTAAGATCATTGATGATGGTAGGGAACTTTGTCTTACTTTTTACAAGCGATTTCATTATGAGTCTACATACAGTTGTTAATCGACATGACCATCTGGTAAAGTCAGTGTACAGTGTTCACAGTTAAAAGTGATAATTTTTCTACAGCAGCTTATCACAGTCTGAAATCGACCACTGAAATGTGACAAAAAAGATACACAAATACGCTATGCTATTAAACTTTTGAAGAGGTTTGGTAAGTTGAAATTGTCACAAAGGCAATCAGGATTGGAATTTAATTTACTCACATTCTAATTATCATTCTATGCATGATCCCATGATGATGAGTAACCATGCATATTGAGTTAAAGGTAGTGGTACTTACTGTCTGGCTTCCCAAATCTGGGTGGATGGAGTAGTATTCGAACCCATCACCCATTAGTTAAAAGTCAACTCTCTAAATCAATGAGCCGTAACTGTACAATCGGAGTTAATCTGAGTGAGATTTGTACAGATTTATTAGTTGATGTTAAACTGGGTGATGACTGAAGGTGAGATGGAGATTTGGACGGTGACCGGATTCGGACCAGTCACCAATGGGTTTCCGACCCCGTGTTCTACAAACTGAGTTGTACAGTCCGACTACTGACCACATTTTTAATTTCACTTCAATCACCAAATGGGGTTTCTTCGACTACCATTTGAATTTGTGATGTGTTACCATTACTTGATCGTATTCACACTGGCTGCTGCCTATTCAGGACTTTTCATCTCAATCGAAATGTAAGTGAATTGGAGAGGAGGAGCATCATATTGCTTATCATTTGACTATCTGAGGTGGCCGTAGTTTGTCAGACTAGTATTTATACTGGTCAGAAACCCGTTGGTTGCTGGTCTGAGTTGGGTTGCAGTTCAAATTTTCGTCTCACCATCGATCGTCACTCAGTATAAATACACTAGTCTGCTGAACTGTGGTTATCTCAGATAGTCAAATGATAATTGATTTTAGATTGGAATTCATCATGCAGTGATATATATACATCAATTGGAGGAACATTGGAAACCTGGGATTGGAGTACTGGGAAGTAGCTGTTTTGTGTTAGTATGAGACTCCTGAGTAGTGTGCACCCACCAAGTGGCCGCGTGAGGGCTCGAAGTCAGGATTTGAGGTTCTGTGACCAGTACATTTCTTTAGTTTGCTCATTTACTGATTTCTACCCACTGATGTGATCTTGACCAGTTTTTACGTATATTCCTAGTCTCTGGGTCACGATAGTAAATGATGAAATAACCGATTACGTTTCTCTATTTCATAAAAATACCACCCTACCGTAGGGAATACCGAAACCTGATTGGTTATTTTCGCAGCTGCTGAGCTGACCGTTAGAGTCATTTCATAGATGCACAATTTATGATTTTCGGCTTTCTCGATATTTTCAACTAATTACCTATGTTTACACTTGAAATAGCTGGGCGGATATGTCTGATAGAATAACATGAGATGATAGGAGAACGCTTCTAACGCAATGAGATACTTATATTAGATAGGACCTGATTCTTCCCTGATCTGCGAAAATAAGAAGAGAAAGACCACAACGTGGGAAAAGAAACATCGTTTAGATACAGTTTACTCTTAGAAAATAAAGCCATTAGGTCGCAAGTTGGATAGTTATTTAGATTGGTCAGTTGAAGGGAAAAAATTCATGCAATAAGGTTTTCCTGCCAACACAGTAACATGAAAGCAAGGTTGAATATTCGTTGTCAGTTTTAGTGTTTGAGATAGCTGTGGGTTCAGTAGACTTGTATTATTCACAATCAGTGATATGATTGAAGGTGAAATGAAAATATTCATCTCAATAGGATTTGAACTAACTCAGGCCTCTGTGAGCTATCAAGTCGGCGCTCTACAAATCTGTCAAATCACCACTACCTCACTCAGAAAGTCAAACTGATGTTTCCCTACTCTAATTTAGCTCCATTTGAATTGGAATGAGATGTGACTAGGCAATCAATATGAATACGACGAATGGATGATAACGCGTCATGAATTTATATGACAGTCGGGCCTTCGTGACTGAAGTGGGATTACGATAGCTGGTCAGCAGTTCATTCTTGTAGCACAGTTGGTAGACTGCTAGCCCCATAATCCAATCGTAGCTGGTCTGGATCCCGTTGTGATCCAAAATTTCACTTCACCTTAGATCATGATCACTTTGTATGGAAGATTCTATCCCGTAAATCTAGTTGCCCATGCTTTATCCAAACTTTCGTTTTATTGCAATAGACTTTATGACAAAACAGGGCCGAAACATTTTCCTATGAAAAAACAAATAGGAAACGTTGTTCACTTGATTTAATCAATATGAAATATGCAACAAGATCGTATACTTCCAACAAAATTTCAATATCGAACCTGAGGAATAAAACATGAGTAGTAAACTTCGACTTATGCGACTTCACAAAGAAGAATTAGTGATAGGTAAACTGCGGATATTTGAAGACAACAAAAACTGAGTTATATTGATCTTGGTGACTAGCAGAGGAAGCCAGGACATACGTTTCACTCTATATGGGACCCGTCAGCTGGACGTGCCTGCAACCTAGTAAGGTTTGAACCCAGTACCCTTCGCTCCAAACGCCAGTGTTATCCACTAAGCCACTGGGGTCCTGTATAGCAGCAGGAAATTGTGAGTATCATTACAACAACTGACACCAGTTGCAGAAGGAGTGGCTTCGTGGATAACGCTCTGGCGTTTGAAGCGAACGGTGATGAGTTCGGGCGTCACTGAGAATAACATCACTCATTGGGGTGCAAGTAAATCGAGCTAACGAGTCCCAAGTAAAACGAAACGCACGTTTTGGATCCTTCTGCTAGTCGCCAAGACCAATATAACATCACAAATATCCAGCAGTATCGAGGTATACACATAAAAGCCCACATCTGCCAACAGGACTCGAGCAATTCGGCCCTGCATAGCAAGTGGAATTTGCAAGTATCATCACCACAAAAACTAAGAGATTAACAAGGAAACCCATGATGATTAAAGTTTGCTTAAACAAGAAAAACTTACTTAGGTGAGCCTAGAATGAAACGTTCAGCTGCCTCTGGAATAGCCTTCACTTTCAATTGATCATGACATAAGACCAAACAAGATTCGACATACGATAAGAAATGAGCCTGAAAAAAGGTTCATTTTATTAGATAACAAACAACACAAAAACAGGGAAAAGAAATCATCTTTATAGAACATCAATGCATAACATATAATATACAAAGGTAGGTACAATGCTTCATAAAATTAACAATATTTACCAGCAAAAACTGCATTTTTGTAAATAGAAACATATAAACGTTTATTTCTACACGTCAGAGGGTCTAAAGAATTCCAAAAATAAGAGATTATGAAAATCTGTGTGTAATTACCTAATACAGGATGAATCTATGATAGTCAAGGCTTTATGATGGTCATGGCAAACAGAAACATTGGATGTAGCTTTTTTAGATGCATAACATTGGTTTGAATTTCTGGATCGCTAGTACTTCAGCTTTAAACAAACGCCTGAATATTATTTCATTCGAGTGATTTAATGGAACCCTGTAGTGGATTTTGAATGAGCTCTGAAAATAAGCTGAGCGGCTTGAATTCACAAGATATTCTGTTATTGAAGTGAAGATACATTTCCGTTCTCCCTTTGTCACCTAGGCTGGATAGTGTTCGTGGATGCCATGGTACGGCCGATTTATTCAGCTCCACAAAAGCAAGTAGACTGGAAAATACGTAGAGGGTATTGTTGACGGTGAACTGCAAATACTTCGGTGAAATCTAAAGGAAAACGGTTTCCCACTGAGATTCGTAAATAAGAACGTAAAGCTAAAGAACGCAACTGAATGAGCGCATTTTGTGCTGATAATCTTGAACTCAAAAATGATATTGCTGCAAACATCCCAAGGAAACGACCATCGAAATCTTTGAATAGGACATCCTTCACCGTCAACTTTTGAATTATTTTCTCCTGCAAGAAACGTTTTGGTCAATGTGCGAAAGATAAGCCAATGCATTAGGCTACATTAATGTGTGTATGCCAGTTAACTTGCTTTTATGGAGCTGAGTAAATCGGTCGTACCATGCGTCCGCGAACACATTCAACTTCTCTTAAGATTGGACATTAAGGTACGTAGGGGTTCAGCATTTGGAATACACGCGTAAACCATCTCAGTCACTTAAGATTTACAGTCTTATTGACTGACTTTACCTTCTTGTTCAGTATCTTCCGCCTAACCCTTACAATAATCACACAGTGACTTCGCCACACATGAATATTTGTAACACTAACTTCTAGAAAGTTATTCAATACTGAACACAGGAGGAGGAGGAGGAGGACGGCAATATTTCATCTGATATAACATTAGGACGTTTCTTTCTAAATTGACAATAAATACCTAAACAGTATCTAAATCATATTGTCTAGCTATATGACATCAATGACAAAATGTGAAGTGTATTTGGAAACCCATCACAAAAAACTAAAGCACTTTTATCTGTTTTCAGTTTAACAAAAAAAACAAAATCAATTCAAACAGCGTAAGAATAACAAATGTAGCAGGATAGTACGAGGTTATCTCCATTATTTCAAGGATTCTTCACAACTGGTATTGTGAAATGTGGCACCTTGAGATGACCCACTTCTCTATGACGTCCTAAGTTGATCTTGTCTGTTGAGCATAACTTCATGAAATTGACAAGATCAACCACTAACACGGGCGATAAATGATGCCAATAGTTAAAGTAGTGGAGGTCGTTACAAATATGATAAGAAGATTGGTGATATTCATCAGCATTTTATGATTATAATTATTTATCGCTTGGGTTCCTAGTGGAACACGGGGCTTCAGTAGCACAATTCCATTTCACTCTCTTCTCTACAATCTTATGGACTTGGCTCCACGAATGCCCACAACCTCTCATTTCTACCTTACACGATCTCCTCCATGTCACCCCAACACGCACAACTCGTCGTTTCCTATGCAGTATCCACTCGATGGCCTGGCGCGTGATGTCCCCTACCGTCTTCTCAGTGTGTGTCCAATCCAATCTAGCTCCACTTTCTTCTTCTGCGTATTTTTTATGCGATAGGTTGCTGGTTGGTTCGCTGCTAGCCAGAATTCCTCCTTGCTTATTCTTTCTGCCCCTCTGATCTGATCTTCAGTATTGAGTGTACGCGGCAGTTGTCGATGTATGTCTGCAATTTGTTCGAAAGGCTTTTCGTAACGCATCACGTTTCTCAACCATTACACAGAAGCACTGACTTGACTGAAATTAGTGTTGAAAATCCGGATCTGATAGAATTCATCCATTATTATCATTTGTCCCTTGGGTTGCTAGTGGAATATGGGGCTTCACAGCTGCACATCTCCATTTCACTCTGTTCTCTGCAGTCTTTTGAAAGTGGCTCAGCGACTGCCTATAAATTTTCATTTCTTCTTTGCACGATCTCCTTCATTTATCAGCATTATTACATGAATAATGTAGAAGGAGAAAGTTCCGCAATCAAGAGAAAATCCTTCCATGCGAAGAATACGCAAAACAACTCAAGCCTATTACGTTTTGTAGAAGTAATGGTTATCGATAAACCTGAAGCAAATCTACGTCTTCACAAAAACATCAATTCTATGTACACATTCTTGTGTCATTTTTCAAAGACTAATTTTTTTTAATCTAAACAATGCTTAGCTAGCTTACTCTATAAACTCTGGTGAATTGAAAACATTTTTGTAGTTACACAGTTTATCATAGTTATTTTATAAAAAAAAAGACTGATTGAGCGAAGAAACATATTCCTTTTCAATTAGGTCTTCATCTTGGGCTCTACACTAACATACAGGTTCCCAGTTTAATCAAATTACCAATCAGTTGGTGGTGACGTATCGGAAATAATGGTGTCAGTAATCAACCGAGTTACTAAAATAGGAAATATGAATATTGATAGAAACAAGAGGGAGAAGAGGTGTACAAAGTAAACTTAGAAGTTACATAATATTAACAGCCATGGTAATGAAAGTGGTCAAACAAACTTTTTTCTGGATACAAAGGCTAGGGTTTGTGAAGGTGGATTGCAATCGCCTCTGCTATGTGAAGTAACCGAGTGCGTAATCCATGCAGTAAATTAATTGGAATCTGATGGATGATTTTGATGGCTTTTTCAGTAACCACTTGATGTCCTGTGTCAACTAAGTGTGCAAGTATGGAGCTCTTTATAGTTCTAATTTGTGCCTTGTTCAACCATGATGGGTGGTGCTCAGAAATTCGACGATGGAACTGCCTCATTGTACGCCCAATGTAACCAGCTCCAAAAGAACAGTTGAATCCAACTCTGAAACTTCTCCTTCAACAATATTCACATAATAATCTTATAATTTGTCAATTTTCCTGTCATATTACCAATGATTAAGGTAACATTCATCATGAAATGATATCAGTTGGGAGCAATATACAGCTTTTTCAAGTCGTGGGTTTGTATTGCTGAAGAGTTCCCTACATAATGTCACTCCATGATGAAGGCCACCTTAGCTCATTATTTATGTTACTAATTGATGCTGACAATCATACTTCTTTTCAACTTGATGAAAGTTGTTCAATTTTTCTTCGTTTAATGTGAACTATTTTGATGATATTATTGCTTACATATGTAAACAGTTGAGGAGAATCATCAGGATAATAATCAAAATGAGACATCTTTGTTTTTCTTACACTGTTCAGTTGTTTTTTATGTTCCGTTTCATTTGCTTCCCTAGTATGATACGAAGTATAAACACTGTAAGCATTTCATCATCATCATTAGAAACAACAGAATTTCTTAAACATCACACGTACTCCATGCAATCATACACAGGAAGTACAAAATTTTGGCTGGATGAAATTTGAAGGCATAAGGATATTGAAATGATCGGAATATGTTTTACACAGATACACACACAGTAACCACTTATTTCAAGACTATACCAAGTTAAGTCATAACACAAACACTAGTATGCAATAATGAATACAATTAGATTGGTATGAAAGGTGTTGGAAGTGGTGACTTGCTTTGAGATGAAATGCCCTAAGTTCTAATAAGAAGTCATCACCAGTGGGGCAAACCAAGTCGTACATAAAGACACTTACTCAACAACGGCATTTTATGAAGGTCGCACTATAACGTGAACAACTGGATTTTCACCACATGACTCAGTAGTAACGTGCTCACGTGGCGGGGTCATGGGTACACACTTCTGAGGACTCCTATACTAAGAATAGCTGTAGACACACTTAATTCTGCTCCAAAAGTATGCTTTCATTGAGTAAGCGGCACGTTTACAGTGTTGAAATCGAAGCACACACATAATTTCTCCGCAAATATAGTCAATGCAATCCAATTCACTTATAAATTAGAAAATGGTGAAGATGAATTAGTGATCTTGGGTTACAGAATAAAACGGAAACAAAATGGAAGTTTAGACAGTAGTGTCTACAGAAAACCTTCAAATTCAAATTGTTACTCAGACTTCAAATCATCTCACTCTATGTGACTTAAAGTTGACTTGATAAAGTGCCTAAGTAACAGGGCCAGAAAACTTACTAGTAAAACAAAAGATCTAGGACAAGAAACCAGATACATAAAAGACACTTTACAGATCAACAATTACCCTCCTTAGTTAATTAGCAAGTTCTTTAGAAATCGTAGGAAAAATATTACTAATATTAGCAATACAGGTGTTATTATTAGTGATAATAATACTGGCAATACTGTAAAACCTCTACAGTATTAGAATACGAAGAAGGCACATCACAAAGATATTACGTAAGATTCTCAATATGGCTGGATGGGAGGGGATTAGAATGGTATTTAAACCTACAAACTCACTTAGAAATAGGCTTAGTCGGTTAAAAGATCCTATCGACTCATTTAGGCATATTAATTTAGTTTACCTAACCTCGCATGGTTAACTAGTTCACTAGTTACTAGCAGGTCCTAAGCCCGGGTAAAGAGGGAAGGTTGCGCATACGGCTAGCAACCCTACCCCGTAAAACCGATCCAACCGCTAAAGAAACTTCAAAGCACAAACAAAGTATAAAAAATAGTAACCAAATTATTCCTCGCTGGGATCGGGGAGACGAAACGACGCCGGTTGGTGGAAGACTTCAGGAAGCCGATTGGCCAATGTGTCTTCTCCTTCTCGATGAAAGCAAAAGTAAGGTTGGGGACATGGAATGTCCGCAAAATGTTTGGACCTACCAAGGCTGCCTAGATTGCAAACGAGATGAGAACGTATAGTAATGATATGCTTGGAATCTGCGAAAGCAGATGGAATGGAAGTGGACTCTTCAAACTGTCAACTGGAGAGTCAATAATCTACTCCGATATTGTCACCCAGACGACAACCACGAACACACTGACTTTTCCAGTAACCATGATGATGTCCCCCTCCTAAGAGCAGTGGGAACCAATCTCCTCCAGGATCATAAGGAAGTGGAGATGGATTGGGCATACACTGAGAAGATCATTCGGAGACATCATGCGACAGGCCAGTCGATCGAGTGGAACCCCGATGGGGAACGACGAGTTGAGCGTCCGAGGGTGATATGGGGAAGATTGTGTGAGGAAGAAATGAGAGCTCCTGAGCAGTCGTGGAGCCAGGTTCAAAAAATTGCAGAGAACAGAGTGCACTGGAGACGTGCTACTGAAGCCCTGTGTTCCACTAGGAACCCAAGGGACAAATAATAATAATAATAATTTAGCTTACCAAATCGCTTCCAACGATTGTCATTTCAAGTACATAAGCCAGAGTAGTCGACCAGAGTCAATCAGGTTATCTGACTACGGCTATAGGTATGCACCATCCGATAGGATGGGACAGGGTAAAAATTCTTAAAACTAACGTAGTGAGCGGCGGGGGGGGTGTGTGAAGAGAGATAACTGAAACTTTGTTGATCGAATCAATACCTAGAATAATTCAGCACATTTCAGAGATACATAGAGAATTCTACTCCTATTATTATAAAATAGAGAGAGACTCAGAACTATATAAACTTTGTTATCTTATATGACTATGGAAAGTAAATTATGTCGAAAATGCTATCCAGTAAACAGACTACAATGGAATTATAATCAATCGCAGTATCCAAGTTTTACTCTTCTCTTCGACTTTCAGTAGACAATCACCGAAAAAACCTAGCTGAACATTATGTTAAATGAGCAGAATAGACAAATAACAGTAGCAAAGACAATATCATCATCAACAACAACAACAACTGAGGTAAAAACACACTCAGAACCAGTAACACTATAAACAAGATTTATTGATATAAATACATTAGAAAACAAGCGAATAAAACAAGTACACATAGAAACGAATAGATAATTTATAGTGAATACATGATTGACTGACAATACTGAAAAAAGGAAGCAGTAACTGGTGGAAGAAAATTATGAACCTAAGAGAGAAAGAGAGAGAGAGTGGGGGGGATGCATCATGACTTTACAGAAAAGGCGATTCATTCTTGTGGATATCCTATATACTGCAACAAGTAAACATGCATGCACACACACACACAGGATGGAATGTAGTGAATGAACCACTATGATGATAAAATGAATCAAAGAAGTTGGTTGAGTTTTATAAAAAGAAAATTAGAGAAAAATAATAATAATCGATTTACTAGGAGCTGGGATAAATGCAAAAAAATATTCAACTATTCGCCTATTATATCATTTGTTAATTATTGTTCTCCTGTATCAATATATTTTGACAGATCAAAGGTGAGAACACGGCTGACAAGACAATTGTTCTCCTAGAATAACAAAACAAACAGGGATAAGTAATAATAACAACATGAACGGTGATTACAATCATAATGGTAATAATAATAATAATGATAACTCAGATTTTACTCGATTGCATATATCAAACAGCCTAAAATATTTTGGAGATGAATGGGGATTTTTTTAAATTTAGAAGTAGTATTCATCATGGACTGACATCAGTTGGGGAGCCACTGAAAATATGGGAGCACTGGACAACTATTTCGTCCAACTAGTATGAGACTCCTCCACGGTACACACATTAACAAACCCGTGTTAGCCATTCAGCCAGTGGGTCGGTTTTCAGTAGTTCATAATTTCCAACCTCTTTCAATTCACGATATAGTGCGACTATCATCCAAGCTCTCCAGTTAGCATCCAGTGCTGTACAGTGCTCCCAGATTTTCAATGGTTCCCCAACTGATGTCAGTCCATGATGAATACTACTTCTAGCCTAAAATATATTTTTTGAAACTTGTAACTTCTCGTTGCTATACAGCACCGAATTCGACGACCTCTTTATGGAGAGATGGACTCCTGTAGAAGGTGCTAGATACTGGCGGATTTTCATGATAATATATTCATTTTGAAGACTTGTAGTGGAATCCAGGACGCGCATTTCGTCTTATTCAAACAACAACAAATGATAACCGTTGTACAAGTGGTGGCTCTTGTTTCACAGTGGCTTGGAGAATAACGGCATGGGAACAATATCACTCATGGGTGCAGGTATATCCAGCTGACAAGTCCTAAACAGGAAGAAACGCACGTTCCAATTTCCACTGCGAATCACCAAGATGAATAAAATAGTCTTAATTATGTACACAGGATTTAGAATCAAGACATTCTTTAGGCGTTCTGTTACCTCACAGTTGATTGAAGAACAAACATTCAAACTGCTTGTACATGCCACATCACCTCTTCTCTGTAATTATAAATTTTTATCGAATTCTTTCATTTCTGTCTTCAGATATTTGTAAAATGTAATGTCTTGATTTCAGTGATGCTAAGTGAGATAACCTTGGTTTTAGAAGACTGCTGTTATTGATACTGAGTGACAGTTGAAAGTGAAATGAACAACTGGGTAGTGCAGGGTTTGAAGCAAGTGACCTTTGGTTTAGCAACGCGAAGATCTAAGACCAATTAAAATTAGAACCTAATCAGCAGCTCGGTGCCATAGTTCTTTTGGTCGAATATCACCAACTTGGCAACCTAGTCGACAACGATATGAATCCTTCAATATGCAGGTGTTTATTTCACCGTCAGCTATCACTCAGCAAAAATAACAACAGTCTTCCATACCATGACTATCTCAAATAGTTTTAATGTTATTACTTCTAGTATACCGTCGTGGATTGGACCGAATTGATCGGTGTCTATTGCCATATAGGCTCCTGTGCGGATGCCTTGATATACCTGTGTATAGTTATAGTAAGGATGGATAGTGGCTACCATCACTCACTGGAAGGCAGGTACATTCAGCTGACGAGTCCCAAATAGGTCAGAATCTGCATCCTGGATACCACTGCTAACCACTATCCATCTTTACCAGAACTGGAACTACACAGGTATAGCGAGGCATCCATACAGGAGCCTCTATATGCCAATAGACACCAATCAATTCGTTCCAATCAACGACGGTATAATAGAAGCAATAACATTAAAACTATACTCGTCTCACAAGAAGTGGCTATCGTGACTCAGTGGTGTAGTGGATAACGCTATGGTTTTTGAAGCGATCGCTCCTGATTTCGAATTCCGGTAAGAACTACATCATTCACTGGGAGGCAGGTACATCCAACTGACGAGTGAGTTCGAAATAGGACAAAATGTGCATCCTGGATTCCACTGCTAGCCACTATCCATTATTACTATCTTAAATAGTATCACTAAAACCAAGATGACAAGTCGTACAAATGTCTTTGGGGAGAAATGAAAGAATCTGACAAAAATTTACGATTAGAAAAGAGAGAGGAAGTGTGTGTTGAGGCGTTATGCACAAACGGTTCGGAAGTTGACTTTTTAAAAAGCTGACGTGCTTACACTCAGGAATATTTAAAGACAAATAGTTATAGCTTATGTTGTCTGAAGTCTTCTCTGATGAGGGAAGACAGCTACTGAAAATTGAAATCTTTACTCATTAAACTGTTGAATATTTTCACCCTATGATGACTGTTGACATAATTTACCTCTAACCAACCCACTGCCTTTCGGTTTGTGATATCTTTGCTTTGGTTGGCTTCTGCTCCAAAAAGGACATTCTCAATACTACGGAGTTTCATATTGTTATATAACTGCTTATCTGTACTATGGAACGAAATGAAACAAGAAACGAAATCCACTCAGCAACCTTGTGCATATTCGTAAAGTAGGCAATGAGATAAACCTTGTACGTGAGACCTACACAGCTGTTCAAATCTCAGTAGGTGTGAAGCGGGATTCGAACCTATGGACAACTTAGTCGAAAGTCAGAGCACTAAACCAATGATTCATAATGAGACCAAAATGATATTCATATGTGGTAATGATAAAGTGATATAAAAAATGAGTTCACAATTCATTACAGTCAATCATACTTTACTATTTTGACTTTGAGATAGCAATAGTTTGTCAGACCAGGTATTTATATTGAATGATGATTAAAGGTGAAATGAAAATTTGTACCATGGAGGGATTTGAATCAGTTCAAATATTTATCTTACCTTTAATCATCACCCAGTATCAATGATATTTTAACAAACAGTAAAGTAATCAGTCATATACTTACAATATCCGGATAAATACCAATTAAACTATCTGCACGACTATAGAATTCTTCTTTCAATGAAATAACAATTATTTGTGCTCGAGCTGAAGCATATTCACGAATAAAACTAGCAACCTAAAGAAATGAAAAACAAAATAAAGTAGAAGTATTTGTCTTAACATTTCATTTTTAGACTGTTTATTCTCTTAAACTACTTTGTCGACCTTGATATCACTCCCTCTTTCTATTCATCTATTCTTTACATACTTCAGTGAAATGTCGTAAACTTGAGCTGATGAACTCCTGTACGAGGTTCGATGATAATTTCCTCTGTGTCTGTCATTAATTCACACAATATGAAAGTTTCATCTCAAGCTACACAACAAAGAACCAGATAACTCTTAAATACCAATAAGAAAATGAAGCTTTGTTGAATCAATACAGGAATACTTATTATTATTCGCTCCTTAGGTTTCCAGTGAAACATAAGACTTCAGTAGCATGTCACAATTTCACCCTCTTCTCCACAGTCTCCTTAACATGGCTCCCCCACTCCCCATAAACTTTTATTTCTTCCTCATACCATGTCCTCCATGTACCCAACACACGCCCAACTCGTCGTTTCCCAAGCGGATTCCACTCGAAGGCCTTGCCTGGTGTGTGATGTCCCTTCTCAAACGGCTATCTCAGTGAATATGTATTCAGCAACCTTATGCAGCTTCATAAAGCAGATAATGAGCAAAACCTGTTGTATTACAGCTAATGATGCTAGGTGGCTGTCTAGACATCAGCAGGTGTGGAGTAGGATTCGAACCGTGACCCATTGGTCAAAAGTCATACCCCCATAAACCAAACAACCAATACTTCATAGATGAACAAACAATGAAAGCATTCATCGACTTTGTAAAAGGCCTTCGATAGCGTCAACTACGCATCATCATAGAAAAGAGCATAGAATACCAGTCAACTCTTTACCTTACCTCAACTTCATCGACTTTGAAAAAGGCCTTCGATAGCATCAACTGAGAAGTAATTCTAAAACTGCTTCAAAACTACAGTTTTAATGCAACATCTCATTATCAACCACATTCAACAGCAGCCACATGCTGTACATAATGCTGCATGCCAAATGATTCACAATGGAATGCTCAGTGATGCCTTTCGAGTGGAAGTGAAGACAGCAGTAAGACAAGGTTGCCGTCTACTATCACACATGGTCTCCCTGATTCTGGTCCACTCAACTGGACTGAACTGGACTGGACTGGACTAGACTGGATTATGCAAAAAACTCTGACGACCGACAACATCGGCATACACCCGCTGGACCAATAAAAAGACACCAGAACAAGATTTCCATTTCGCTAACGATGATGATTCATGTCCAATAGCTCCTCGCACAAACTCAAAGATCCACAGACAAAAACTAACAAGTTAGCAGAAGAGGAGAGGCAGCGAACACGAGACCTCATTCGGGTGAACGTAGACAAGACACAGCTGATGAAGATAACCAACCAACCAACCAACCAACAACAATCACCATCAATGCCACGAATATAAAGGAAGTTGTCTCTTCCAACTACCTACCTACCTACCCTATCTACGCAGCATCCTTTCAACTACAAGCAGCACAGGCACACACATGATGATGTCAAAGCCACAATCAGAAAGACACCAACACAGGACTTCCTTCATTAATCTTAAATCAGTGTGGAGATCTTGTGCACTGCACTGCACTGCACTGCACTGCACTCCACTCCACTCCACTCAGCATTAAGCATGAAACAACATCAGGATTTTCAACATTCATCTCAGTCAAGTCAGTGCTTCCATGTGATGGCGTGTTACGATAAGCATTTCCAACAAACTGCATACATACATCACATCAACAGTTGCCGCCTACACTCACTCACTCACTCACTCCATATTGAAGATCAGATCAGATTAGAAGGTCAGAAAGAATAAGCAACAAGGAACTCTAACTGGCCCCACAACCAACCAACTAAGAAATTGTCGACCAACAAATATGCATAGGAAGAAAGTGGATATGGATTGGATTGGGCATCCACTGAGAAGACTGTTTGAGGAGGGACATCAAGCGCCAGGCAAAGCCCTCGAGTGGGATTCACATGGGAAACGACGAGTTGGGTGTGCGACAGGGACATGGAGGAGATGGTATGTGAGGAAGAAATGAAAGGTTATGGGGAGTGAGGAACCAGGTTTCACTAGGAATCCAAGGGACAAATAATAATCATATAATACAGTAAAAACCACAAGAATAAAGTGGTAGAATTAACTCACCTTGCCAATATTTGTATTGTCTAGTGCAGCGTCGATTTCATCTAATACAAAAAATGGTGATGGATTATATCGATGCATAGCGAATAGAAGAGCTAATGCTGCTATTGTCTTCTCTCCACCAGAAAGACTATCCATTTGTTGAAAACGTTTACCTGGTGCAACACACTGAAATTGTATTTCTTCTAGATATGGCTCTTCAGGATTAGTTGGCAACAAACTCGCCTACATATAAAAATATACATATCAGGAAGTTGAGTTTCTTTTAAAATGAACAAATAAATAAATTTTGAAATCTTCAATAACGTGAATAGTAGTCTGGTTAATCTTGAGTATATTAAGAGTAGTTCAATGAGAAGGGCAATAGTCAAGTGAAGAGAACAAGAATTCACAAACGAAGATGAAAGGACTTGAAAACCGCTATTTTTTGAAAGTAAGCCGTTAACTACCAAAGTAACAAAAATCTTCAAAAGCTTTACAGACTAGTGTTATACCTCCCTCGACTCCTACTGCAATCAACTACTAAACTTCAATAGTAGAAGACCCAACGGTTTTTAAAATAATATCTTTCCTATAACAGAAGTAATCATATGGATTGCATACAGATCACAAGATGAAGTTGCCTATCATTACAGTAAGATTTTTGCTCAATTTGTATCAAAACACAATGGAATTGATAAAACAACACATAAAATGAACAATTTTTAAATGATTTACGAATTGCATGGTCCATTTGTCACAGCTGATGAGCACAGCTCCAAACGGACGAAACGACTATCCGGTGTTTAAATCACTATGATGTGGCTGATGAAATACTACAGATTAGCGAGAGTAGTTTCTTACTACTCAATTTGTTTAGAAGTGGTATATTTTGTCAATAAAACAACGCATAGATATCGTCGGATAATTCATCACATAGATATTTTACTGGGAATGAATAAACAATACAGGTGAAAATCAACAAAATATACAACGTGCAGGTAGCAACATGATAAAATGAACACCCTTAACGTTTATAACAACTATTACTAGCTTGAATTGCAACAAACAAATGTGGTGGCCAATCAGTCCCAACTAAGGTCAGTCTATGATGAATATCAATTTGAAGGATCACTAAATCCCCACAAATCCCCCCAATTCAAATGAACTACCGCGCATTGGTGACTAGATTCGAGAGGAGATTCCTGAAGTTCCAATGAAAAGTCGTGACAGGAAAGGCAAACCTGGTGGCCGTGAGGTCAAATACTCAACGATAACATTGAGTCATGGTCACGCAATGTCATAAAATGACAGAAGTTAGAAATATGGACAACTGGATTCACACCCAGTAGCTCAATGGTGATGTGCTGGCCACGGGGCCTGTAGGTGGCCGGGTTCCATGCCAGACGGGGTGGGGATGCTGAAGAGTCTCATACTGGTGCGAAACAGCTGTTGTCCAGTGACCCAGGTTTCCAATTTTCCTCCAGTTGATGTCAGTCGATGATGAATACCAACTGGAACAATGTTCAACAGCTAAATGATACTGTATTGGGCGTTGCTGATGAGAATGGAGATCAGTAATATATGTTGAGAAGGTGGCAGAAATCATAGGGTAAAGATTCTGCCAGGAGAAATGCGAGAGACAACGAGGACGCATGAAGCACAAATCAATAGAGAAATAGAAGAGAAAATAGAGCACATTTTGCAAATGACTGTCTTTGTGCAAGATGTAGGGCATTTAACAACTACCGTACCGCATGTTGATAATAAACATTCCTTTCTTCGGTTGTCTTCTCGTTTCCGTCACTTGGTATCGTTGATTCTAGATGTGATGAAGATTCCGCAGACTGTTGTGTTCGAGGATGAAGACATCAAAGCCTTCGTCAGGGACTTTCAGTCGGTCGCGGAGCAGGTGGGTGTCCGGGATCCGGGAGCGAAGGTTGTGGTACTTGGCACGTTGCTGAGTGGTAGAGCGAAATACACCATATGACGGCGTGGAACGTGGGGATGGGAAGGAGACTTGGCAGTGAATGGTTGAACGACTGGAGGTGGAGTTTGACAGCCCAGCAGACAGAAAACTGGCGATGCACCAGTTCCTAAGCACGAAATTTGCAATAGATGAAGATCAGCTGGTATTGGCTGTGAAGTTGACTACACTACTTATATCCATTCTTATCAGCAACATCCACTATAATACTACCTGGCTGCATAGAACTTCCAATCAAATGGCGTTCGAGTCAATAAAATGCCTCGTAAAGCAAATGTGTGATCAGATTGTTCAAAATCTGTGGTTCAGATACATCATACACTTTTCAGATAGACCACCACGTTGTCTCATTAATTTATACAAATTTTAAAAATTAAATCGCCAGTTCAATGAGTAACTATGCTAACGTACTAAGTATCATAAAGATTACAGTATAGTTGGATAGTGGCTAGCAGTGGAATCCACGATGCGCATTTCGTCCTATTTCGGACTCATTCGTCAGCTGGATGTACCTGCCTCCCAGTGAATGATGTAGTTCCCGCCGGGATTCGAACCCAGGAGCGAACGCTTCAAACACCAGAGCGTTATCCACTACACTAAAATTATACCCATCGCACAAGAAGTGGCTATCGCGGCTCAGTGGTGTAGTGGATAACGCTCTGGCGTTTGAAAGGATCGCTCCCGAGTTCGAACCCCGACGGAAACAATACCACTCACTGGGAGGCAGGTACATCCAGATGATAGGTCCCAAATAGGATGAAATGCCCACCCACTGCTACCCACTATCTATCTTTAATAGAACTACACAGGTATAGCGAGGCATCCGCACGGGAGCCCATATGCAATAGCGACCGATCAATTCGGTCCAATCAACGACGGTATACTACAAGCAATTACACTATCATGACGATTATATCTAAACAGTTCAGTTGACAAAATCTAACAGATGAATAGTTTATTTGAAATACAAATCTTGACATTGTTCATAGATAAATGAGTTAGGCTAAGGCTAACAATTGACCTGGTTGTGGCTAACAGAGGAAACAGGGAGGTATGTTTTATCCCAGTTGGGGATCGTCAGCTGAGTGCATTGACAGCACAGTGAGTGACGTTCTTCTGATTGAGACTTAGATCTCATACCCATAGCTTCAAACGCCACGCCATTATCGACTAGGCCACTGAGGTATGACAACTATCCCTAGTACAAAGGATATTAGTTATTATTATTTCGGGTTGGTATTTATCATGGACTGACATCAGTTGGGGAGCTATTAGAAACCTGGGAGCATTGGATAGCAGCTGCTTCGATCTAGTATGGGAATCCTCAGCAGTGCGCATCCATGACCCCGCCTCACAAGAGATCGAACCGAGGATCTTCAGTTTTCTTGGCCAACATGTTACCAGTGAGCCACTGGGTCGGTAGTTAGTGGTCCACATTTCCTGTATCTATCAGTTCACGATATACCGCAACCACCACCCAATATCATCGTTGAATAACTGTCCTAGTGTTTGACTTGGTTGACTCCGCTGTTCACTCTCGATTGTTATACCGGATCGAATCGATTGACTTCTGTTAGCATATAAGTTCCTAGGCGATAAATATTCAGGCAATATCAAGGCATCTGCATGTGAGCCCATATGCTTACATATGTCGATCGATTCGATCTAGTATAACAACGGAGAATTGCAAGCATATCAATAAATAACAAAGATCGAGCCAGGTATTCTGGTTAGAACAGTTGTCTGCTGAAGTCCTACAGTTCAAGAAAGGTTTGTTGGGTAGTAGTGGTTAAGTAACATCATTGCGAAAACCACCAGGTTATGACACGAGTGCATTGGCTCAAGTTGCCACACCAGTGAAATACAAAAAGAACAGGCGGATAGAAAGAGTGACATCAAAGTAGACAAAGTTGTGTCAGACAATCAACCATTTAAAGATAGAGCTTAGTGTGAATATTAAAGGTTAAGATGTTAAGGAGTGAAATACATCTGCGCCATTGTGAAAAATTTCAGCCATTTCACCTAGAGTCCCCAATCACTGATTCCTATTATCTCGCGAATCGCAGACAGGCATTCTACGTCTCCCCACACGACTCGCACAAACAGCCAACAACTTCATCTACTGGTCCCACGTCTTGGTTCGACCACCCTGAACCCTCTTCCAACCTAATCCAACTTTCCCTAGCATGCTATGTTGAGGTAGGCTGTAGCTCAGCACGTACACCAGTACATATCCAAACCATCTCAGTCGACCAAGGGTTCACAACTTCATCAATCGGCTTATCTGTATTGTCTGGTACACTTTGCCTGACTTCAGCATTGTTCACACGGTGATTCCACCACACACGAGCAGTAGTGCGAAGACACATATGCTCATAGCTCTGCAACCGCTTTATGTCGTCCATATCTCGTGGCCGTTCAACAGGATAGAATGTACTGTAGCGAAGTATATTCGACATCTGATAGAAAGCCGGATATCTCACAGACACCACAGGTGACGCAAGTTGGAAAATGCCAAACGGGTCTTCTGTATCCGAGCTAAGATTGCGTTGGCAACAAAACCGTTCAGGCTGATGCAACTCCCCAAGTAACTGAAGTAGTTGACACATTTCACGACTTCACTGCCTATCGTTAAGCTGTGAGTCGTTTCATACCAGTCCTGGAGCATTATCTTACATGTGACAGTTGCGAAACGCATCCCATACTAAGATTTCTGCTCAACACGTTCAGAAGACCTTGTGTTTCGTCAACGTCTTCGCCTACTAGGGCAATATTGTCTGCATATTCCAAGTACACTAGATGATCTCTAGAGAGTAGGTTATTCAATGTGAAGTTAGACGTACTTAAGGATAAGTCCATTAGTACGTCTATGACGAAGTGAAATGAGTACAGTGACAGTGAACGTCCCAGCCAGAGACCACTAGTCGTTAACTCACTTTACAACTGTCCATAAGCCCTGACATTGCTGCCTGAGGTAGAGAGCTTTGATAGGCGTCATATACTTGCTCGGTACTCGTTTAACAGTCACACACTACCACAATATCTCATGATTGATTGAGTCAAATGTCGCATTCAAGTGAACAAATATGGTAACTGTCGGATGCACGTAGATATGCCTGTGTTCCAGAACTTGTCGAAGAGTGAAGATATGATCGATGCACCCTCGTCCAGGTCTGAAACCTGTCTGGTTTTCTCGAGCTCAAGTTGGGCGTCGGATAACTATGGACCCTGGGATCTTAAGCCCAATGTCAATCAAGCTAATTTCCCCCATGGTTGTCATCAGAAGATTTCTCCCGCCGTCTTGCATACTAGGGTTTTCAATGAACCAGACCAGTCTTCCGGGACTGCCTCTGATTCTCATACACTACCTAGTACCTTCATCACTCTTATAAGCAACCTTCTACCCCTATCCTTGAAAAATTCAGGTGGCAAACTGTCATGTCCTGCTGCTTTACATCTTTTCAGGTTCAATTCAGTTTCCTCAACTTCAAGGAGAGTTGGAGGACAGACATCTACATCCCATTCAGGTTCAGACTGGATGTTGATCAACCGAAGCGTTGTTGAGGAACAGTTGAACAGTGCTTCAAAGTGTTCAGCCCTCAGAGGAACTCAAAACTTTGGTTAGATGCTGTGCGACAGTAGTAGGACGTCTCCCTTAGGAGGACCAGCAGTCCATAACTATGCTACCTCCCAACCTTATGGAGAATGAGCAGGGTTAGAAAGGGTCGACTCCCAAAATAGCACCCTCCACTCTGCTCGTTAGCTTTCCGTAAGGCATGGACATAGCGCTAGTTACTACTTGTGAATAACGGTACAAGGATGCTAACGATCAAAAACCTGTATTTTTCTCAAACCTTAAAGCAGTCGAGTAGGAGTGAGAAAACTACAGTGAACTTTGATAGGTTGTCGGTCAGAGCTGGTTAAGATTAGCATACTCTAAAAGGGTCTCTTATATGCAAACAAAGTAACCAAACCATCAAAGTTGTTGGACGTAACCTCAACCAAAGCGTGCATTACGCTAATACTCTATTCTAGGAGCGAGTTAACAAGCTTAGAAGTAGGTTTCCATTGAAAGCTGCCTTTTACGTACATAGGAACATAACAATTTGTCTGACAATTAAAAGTAGTCAAATCAACCTTTGGATACAAGATATGTGAATAAGATTTCATGGTCAGCCTTTTCTCGCTGCATAGAAATAAAATAAAACTTAACCTTAAAAAATAAAAGGAAAACAGTATAACCTATAAACACTACACTGGACAAAGAAATAAAGAAGAGTGGGCGGAAAAACAAAGGACACTTCAACGAAACACTTGCAAGGAAAGAAAAAGAGGCTGAAGGCAGGAGGGACCTGACAAACCTATATATAATAACCAGGTCAAAATCTAGGAGGGCAGAGATCAACACACATGAAAACAATGCTCCTATCCCGGTCCAACCAAAAGAAATTTTAAGCCACATCATCACACACAGACTAGACTACAAAACTACAACCGGAACAGGTTGACTGGCTTCAGGAAAAACAAAGCATATCCCCATCTAATTGAAATGCTACACTACGCATCATCATAGAAAAGAGCATAGAATGCCAGTCAACTCTTTACCTTACCTCAACTTCATCGACTTTGAAAAAGGCCTTCGATAGCATCAACTGAGAAGTAATTCTAAAACTGCTTCAAAACTACAGTTTTAATGCAACATCTCATTATCAACCACATTCAACAGCAGCCACATGCTGTACATAATGCTGCATGCCAAATGATTCACAATGGAATGCTCAGTGATGCCTTTCGAGTGGAAGTGAAGACAGCAGTAAGACAAGGTTGCCGTCTACTATCACACATGGTCTCCCTGATTCTGGTCCACTCAACTGGACTGAACTGGACTGGACTGGACTAGACTGGATTATGCAAAAAACTCTGACGACCGACAACATCGGCATACACCCGCTGGACCAATAAAAAGACACCAGAACAAGATTTCCATTTCGCTAACGATGATGATTCATGTCCAATAGCTCCTCGCACAAACTCAAAGATCCACAGACAAAAACTAACAAGTTAGCAGAAGAGGAGAGGCAGCGAACACGAGACCTCATTCGGGTGAACGTAGACAAGACACAGCTGATGAAGATAACCAACCAACCAACCAACCAACAACAATCACCATCAATGCCACGAATATAAAGGAAGTTGTCTCTTCCAACTACCTACCTACCTACCCTATCTACGCAGCATCCTTTCAACTACAAGCAGCACAGGCACACACATGATGATGTCAAAGCCACAATCAGAAAGACACCAACACAGGACTTCCTTCATTAATCTTAAATCAGTGTGGAGATCTTGTGCACTGCACTGCACTGCACTGCACTGCACTCCACTCCACTCCACTCAGCATTAAGCATGAAACAACATCAGGATTTTCAACATTCATCTCAGTCAAGTCAGTGCTTCCATGTGATGGCGTGTTACGATAAGCATTTCCAACAAACTGCATACATACATCACATCAACAGTTGCCGCCTACACTCACTCACTCACTCACTCCATATTGAAGATCAGATCAGATTAGAAGGTCAGAAAGAATAAGCAACAAGGAACTCTAACTGGCCCCACAACCAACCAACTAAGAAATTGTCGACCAACAAATATGCATAGGAAGAAAGTGGATATGGATTGGATTGGGCATCCACTGAGAAGACTGTTTGAGGAGGGACATCAAGCGCCAGGCAAAGCCCTCGAGTGGGATTCACATGGGAAACGACGAGTTGGGTGTGCGACAGGGACATGGAGGAGATGGTATGTGAGGAAGAAATGAAAGGTTATGGGGAGTGAGGAGCTAGGTTAAGGAGACTGTAGAGAAGAAAGTGAAATGATGACGTGCTGTAGAAGTTTTATGTTTCACTAGGAACCCAAGGGACAAATAAAAAATATAAAATAAAACTTTATAAAATGAACACTGAGATATCGCCTAGTTACAGTTTAAAAAGTATCGTATAAAATCAATTCATACATATCAAGCTATTCAGTGGAACTTATCACTAAAATAGTTATTAGTACATTAACTCACTTGAGCACCAGGATTTCTTGATAAACTTTTATAAATTGGATCAATATTATCAGCGATTGCATTGAAACAAGTCATAAAAGCATTATAGCGTAAACGTCGTACACGTTCAAATCTAGCTTTAGCACGTTTAGCTCTACGACGTGTATCTTCAAATTCTGCTTCAGTTGATCTTAAACGTTCTTCAACACTGCCTAATTTATCACCAGCACGTAAATTCGGTGCTTGTATTCGTGCTAAACTATTTAACATTGAATCAACTTGATTTTGCATTTCTTCAGCTCTATAAGAGATAATAATTTTTAGAGACAATAATTAATAATAAAATTAGTCTTTTTGAAGAAATAATTACTTCTAGGGATAGATACTGAACCAAGAACCTATCGGTTAGCAAATATGCAGAAGGAAGTAGAGATGGAATGGACATGCATTGAGAAGGCCAACTGGGGACATTACACGCCAGGCCAGGCACTCCAGTGGAACCCCGATAGGAAACGACGAGTTGGGCGTCCGAGGTGAGGGTGAGATGCAAGAGATCGTATGAGGAAGGAATGAGAGGTTGTGGACTGTCGTGGAACGAGGTTCAAACGTTTGCAAAGAACAGAGCGCGCTGGAGACGTGCTACTGAAACCCTATGTTCCATTAGGAACCCAAGGGACAAATATTAAATAATAAAGGGATAGATATTAATCACACAATGAAATTATCTGGATAACTATTGAATAATTTGAACGTTTGTGAAGATTTATATATCGATTTCCGATTGATATTCACCATGGACTGACATCAGTTCGAGAACCATTAAAAACCTTGGAGCACTGGATATAAATTTCATTCTCGGGTGAGACTCCTCAGTGATGCGCGACCATGAATGCTAGCATTCTGGCAACGAAACTTCAAGGTATTGGGGGACCGATCACATTTGGGGTCACGGGTGATCACTTCTGAGTGATCGCATACCGGGACGAAAAAGCTGTCCAGTGTTCCCAGGTAGTCCGTCGTTTCCAAATCAAGTAAATCTGTTGCATGACTTCGTCCAGTCCAGTGCAAAACAATCAGGAAGATCATGTGTGATAGTAGACGGCAACCTTGTCTTACTGCTGTCTTCACTTCCACTCGAAAGGCATCACTGAGCATTCCATTGTGAATCATTTGGCATGTAGCATTATATATAGCATGTAGCTGCTGTTGAATGTGGTTGATAAAGATTTGTTGCATTGAAACGGTAGTTTTGAAGCAGTTTTAGAATTACTTCTCAGTTGATGCTGTCGAAGGCATTTTTCAAAGTCGATGAAGTTGAGGTAAGGTAAAGAGTTGACTGGCATTCTATGCTCTTTTCTATGATGATGCGTAGTGTAGCATTTCAATTAGATGGGGATATGCTTTGTTTTTCCTGAAGCCAGTCAACCTGTTCCGGTTGTAGTTTTGTAGTTTAGTCTGTGTGTGATGATGTGGCTTAAAATTTCTTTTGGTTGGACAGGGATAGGAGCATAATTCCATGCGAAATCTTGCAAAGACTTAGGTCGACCTTCTTTGAGAGTTTGACAAGGTAGTGAACAACACTTTTAAGTATATAATTATAAGTAAGTCATCAAGGTGATATATTTGAGAAATCAAGATTTAAGTAAGCAATAGGAGTTATAACAATGTGGAACAGGTACGTTCTTACATAAATTACACAGAATCGGCTAAAGAAGGTAGTGTTTTTTCTCAAGGGGTCAGAATAAAAAATCATGTAGGATATTGGTGGAACAAGAGGGGTGTGCAAAGTTACATCAAATTGATGGCCATACTAATGCGAAGAGTCGAATAAACACTATTGGAATACGAAGGTAGATTGTAATAGCCTCTGGTATGTGAAGTAAGCGAATGTATAATCCATGGGGTAAATAAATGGTATAAGATGAATGGTTCTTTTAAATATTTTGCTAACAGCCACTTGATATCCATTGTCAACTAAGTATACAAGTATGGAGCTCTTCATTGTTCGAATCTGTCACTTATTCTACCATGATGGATGGTCCTTAGAAATTTGACGATGTGAAATAGTGGTAGCTCTCCCACAAGCAGCTGAACTGATACTATAAGGGAAGAGTTTGTCACCAACCACAATCTGTTTAGCAGGAATGGTAATCCAGAAAAGTTTTTAACAAAAGCATATAAATGTTACGAAGACAAGAATGCCAACAGTCCCTAAGAAGTAAATCTTCTAGAAGCTTGAAATCACGAGTGACATAGTCAGTGGGGTCACCAGACAACGCATAAAAATAGCCCTGCAAACAGTAATCCCAGCTGTTAAATTATGTCCCTTATTCTACATCCAATCGATTCAATGTGAAAGCGATAAAGGTCGACTGCCTTATTCTGCCATCTCCATGTGCATTTATGAGTTGAACTACTCCTGGAAAGCTAGTGACAGTGCATATTTGTCAACTTTCTGAGCACCATTCACCATGGTCGAATAAGGGACAGATTCGAAGAAATAAACACCTACTCACTACCACACTTATTTGACACTGAACATCAAGTGGCTACTAGTAAAGCATTAAAAATAATTTTTGACCGCATACAAATTAATTTACCACATGGATTACGCATTCGCTTACTTCACACAGCAGAGGCCATCGGCATCCAGTCTCTCTCTCTCTCTCTCTCTCTCTCTCTCTCTCTCTATATATATATATATATATATATATATATATATATATATATATATATATATATAACCCTCAAAATATTACTGTACATGCTTCGAGATGAATATTCCGAAGTTCTAATGAAAAGTTATGACGTGGCGTCAGCTAATCAGTGGAATATGAAACGGATGCCAACTGAATACTTTGATGGGAAGTCACATAATATCGCGAATTGACAGGAGTAGGTAACTGTGAACCATTAAACTCTAACCCAGTGGCTGACACACTCTACGTGAAACCTGAAGGTCTTGAGTTCGACCCCTGGTAGGTTGGATCATGATTGTGTACTGCCGTGGAGTCCTATACTCCTGTCCAGTGCTCTCAGTTTTTGATCGTTCTTCAATTGATCTCGTTCCATGACGTATGAATAAGCGATTACGAAATGAGGGATAGTGTAGTCTGTTATTGACACAAACACTTCATATACAAGAGATTTTAGGCAACCATTGATTTTTACGAATACAGACAAAAAAAATAACACCTAATTTACAACTACTATTTAAAGAACCATAGCAAAGATTACAGGTCAAAAGGCTTTTCAACACAGAATTGTAAAACCTAACTAACTAATTACACCTGTATAAGTCAACAGAGAGAAAGGGGGGAGGGGAACATGAGGAGATAAGGTAGAGCTAGAATAACTTACAAACCTAGCCATGCGTCTGTTAAACTGTAGACTTAAAGTAGCTCACATCAGTCTATTGTATAAGACAACAACCTTAACCAACTCATACCATAATAAATACACGGCGGTGAGATGAACCACACGTAAACATAACGACCAAATGATACTTATAACACCATGTGGTGCTCACTTATGACTCTCATAGAGAGCTTCATAAGGATCATGTTAACACTGTCCACACGTTCAATTTGGTTCACCTTACTAGTGAAGAATTCTTATCATAATCATAGTCATGGGAAATCTCATATCGAGGTAGGTCACTAGTCAGTACGACTGGACAGTAATTCAATTTTGTGACTTGTGGAGGTTTTGATGTAGATATTACAGGTAATAGTAAACTATAACATAGAAACAAAAAAGGAGCCTACTTTCTGTTGACTTCTCTTTCATCAGTTATTTGTCGTAAAGGTTTATCAAGTTGCTTGAAATCAATTGGTAAACGAGCCTCTAATTCATAAATACGAGCCATTTCTTCTGAAGTAGGATCTATATTATTTTCACTGTCTGTCAGCTGACTATTCAATTCAGGTATAGAACTAGAGCCTGGTTTCAATGGAAATTCTAAATCTTCCATCTAAAATAGAAAACATTGAAGAAGCAAACAAAAAAAAAAGGAATCTCATCAGACAAGCGAATCAATATAGAAATTGATGAAGACGGTGAACACTTTGTATAGAAATCTGAATAGTTCTGGTATCCCCCATACATCTCTCTCGAATGTAAGTAAAATGACGCTCCAGGATTTGTGTACAACTAATTCCCAGCTTAAGGATAGAGAATGTAGTGGTAGAATGCGTTCATCATTTCATTTAAATGGGGAGTTGCATTAGACAATGTCTGGTTGCCAGAAGGCTCGTTTGCCAATTTATGCTATCTCTGCCACCAGCTAACAAGATATCTGACTACTTATCTAAGGATGAGTATACTGTGTTGCAGTTTGCTGTCCTGTTATACGGTTATAAGATCTGGTTGTTAAAAGGAGAGTATATAGAGAGACTACATGTGTCTTTGTAACACTGCTCACCTATAGAGGAAACACCACGTGAGCAAAGTAGAAGAGAGGTGGAAGGTACCACGGTAAAAATGTCTGTATTGTTGGAAACCGATAGACAAAGACTTTATCGGCTGATGCCAAGTTCTGGCTTGAACAACCCCAAACCTTTTAAACCATTCTTGTCATTGTTAAACACTAAAAGAATTGTTAATGAATTATTGCTAATAGATTTTCTAGTGAGAACCAAAGCAAATTTGGACCGTATACTACTTATAGAAAAATATTTTCATCGAATCGAATCGAAAGATATGGCAGAAAGCAGCCTAAATGGAAATCAAGTCATCAGCCACAATGGTAGTACAATTTTTCTTTCATGTTACTACTGTGTGGTTACGAAAAACCTTATTGGACAATTTTGACCTGTAGCCGACCAATGTTATGAGGCCCCGGTCTTCCATAAAGCATTACGATTCATCTAAATACTTTGAACTTGTCATTTTCACACCATTTTTTATAGCATGACTAGTAGTTTATTTTTTGCCCACATTTTCAAGGTGATTCGCTGATTGATCAATTTTTATTCTATGTTAATGCCTCAATTTGAGGATAAAGATCATATTTTATGTGCATACTTGTTCACGTATGTTTGGATCAATTTAATTGGTGATAGTTATTGTTGTGATGCCCAAGTTTTGCATAAAACATTGTTATTGATCTGAACATTTTAACGTGTGGTTCACACACCATTTTTACGGTATGACTAATAGTCTATTTTCTGCCTCCATTGTAATGTAAATCGCTAATTGGTTAATCTCTACACTTACTGTACAAATGACTCAAATTGAGGACAAGGTCATTTTCATGTGCGTACTTATTCACGTGTTTTGGGATTGATTTTATTATTATATTCTACGAGTAAACCCTCGAATCATCCAGCTTCGGTCTTCTTCTCTATTCGTCCCGGGGTGGCAGTCGGTGGCTCTTGGGGTACGACGTTAGTTATCAGTTAAGCATGCATATTATATCCGTTCGGAATATATAACAACCAATCAGAGTAAGTTACTTAACTTTTGACCTTGTGGACTTAAATATTTATGAAAGTTGTATGTAAATGAAGTCTTCCTTACAATCGCAGACCGGTGTGTTTACCTTCTGATTTTCGCAGCTTAGTGGAGTACAAAAGTTCTGAGTGAGAACATCATATCGTTCACACATTTATCTTGGTCACTTCAAAATATAACTTGTAACTTATATTTTAAAGGAAAATGCCCACTGAACTTACTTTAGCCGCCTGTATAAGGGAATGTCGTTCAGCTCGCCTAGATTCTAATTTTGCTTCAGCTTGATTTAAATCTTTTTGAAGTTTTTGAATATCACGTTGTTTAGCGACTAAACGTCTACGTACTTCAGCTAGCTCACTATCTAATGCTTCTGCACGACGTTTCAATTGACTAACTTGTGATTCAATTTCTGATTTTTTATTCTCTTCTTGTTCCATTTCTTCTTTAATCTTTTTCTCTTGTTTTTTACATTTATCCATTTCAGCTCTTTCCGCTGCAACTGTCTCTTCCCAACGCTTAACATTAGCTATAGTGAAAGAAAGAAAATTGACTAGTGAAATGGTCATCATACAGAAAACACTAGTGAAGTTACGTATGAAAGTAGGTGCAGGTATTAAGTAAGACAAATTAGGTAACTGATGTAGATATCTAGTTGCTAACGCTTGGCGTTGATTCAAGCTTATTAGTAACATTTGCAACACGGTCGTGTGACACTGCAGAAGAGTTAGATGTTGAGAGTCAATCGGCAGAATGGACAGTGGTTAGCAGTGGAATCCAGGATGTGCATTTCATCCTATTTAGAACTCGTCAGCTGGATGTGCTTACTTCCCAGTGAGTGATGTTGTTCACACCGGGATTCGGATTCCGGAGCGATCGCTTTAAACGCCAGGGCGTGGCTATTTTAGATAGTCAAATGATAAAGATTATTTTATGACAATCACTGATACTACTATGTTTATTACTAGTAGCACAGAAATTCCTAATGAATCTACGGAAAACATTTTAAGAGTCATCGAGTGACAAGTATGACTTTTGTGATATCCTGCATTTTCGATTTACCGAACAATACTAACCATGATAAAATCTTAACTAAAGATGAGCCTCCAAATGTTCTGGTATGTGTTCACACTCTCTACCAGAGAAGTTCTATTCACTGCATTCCAAGTGGCGGCAGTTCTTACAGATGCCATAGTGGGCAAGTGAATGTCCGGTGCTTATCACCGGATTGGTGGATACTGACGGTCCTGAGCTTCAGGTTCCAGATGAAACAAATGGTGTATAAAACTATTTTAGTCAGCGGCAACCATGAGAATGTAGCTCATGATGGTGCTCCATTTCCTTGTGAATTAGGCTTTAAAAGTGAGAGGCATGATGAGTGGTCCGGGAATGAATCGGTCTGGGCTCTCAGGAGGTATCCAAGCCTTCATAAAAAAAAATATGAATGTTTAGTATGAAATGAAGAGTTCAAAGCAATGAACCAACCTTTCTGCGAATACTCAAGCTTCCTGAACTGCGATCTTTATAACCGAGTACTTAATTTATCGCTATAGTATTATTATTATTTTTAAATATGAATTGTATTTCTTCATTACTATCATTTTCGCCTTTGTCTAGATCTTCAATTTACTCAACCGCTCCACATCGCTTAAACTTCTGGTCTATCTTTACCGTTTTAAGTCGCTAAACAGTTTCCCCTACACCATGGAACTCGGTGGCTTAAGACGACATTATTAGATATGGCTCGTAATAGAAACCAGTGGCGATCATACTGTAGCTTCCTTCTATCTTATGCTGCTGAGATGTATCTTACTGGACTGCACCTCCTCCGGTCATGTTGTTTCTATTCTTTTTCTTTCTTACTTATTCACTTCCCTTCGCTTTATGTCTTCATAATATTGTTATATTATTTTGTGTGGTGCATTTCTTGGTGACCTTCCTGTATCATGTTTGTGCTCTAATAATAATAATAATAATAATAATAATAATAATAATAATAATAACAAATAATGGCAATAATAATAATACTATACGATACGCTTAAACTGAAGAAAGTGTGATAACACACTTAGTCCACTTCTTTTGAAACATAATAATATATCTTATCTTCAGAGTAAATAATCTCGATAGTCAAGATGTGAATATCCGATAAAGTTTTGTAATATACATGAACAGTTTCGAATAAATGAACCTTCTAGCTTAAAATATATATTCGAATGTATCAGTGCTGAAGCAGCATACATCCATAATTTTGCATAACTTTTGCCTGATGTTTTGCTAGCGACCTTGAAATAATCTACATGGATATTTTCACACCTTTACTAGTTTATCTTCTCTCTCCTCTCAGTGTTGAAATCTCGTTGGTTGTTAACTAATTTTATCTACATAAGGATTCAGCGTTTCTCAAGATGATGACTTATCATTATAATTATTCCCTTGGGGCTTCAGTAGCACGTTTCCATTCCACTTTGTTCTCTGCAGTCTTTTCAACCTGGCTCCACGACTGCCTACCAGCTTTCATTTCTTCCTCACATGATCTCTTCCATGTCGCCCTCACAAACACAACTCGTCGTTTCCCATCTAGGTTCTACTCAAGTGACTGACCTGGCGTGTGATGTTCCCAGTCGGTCTTCTCAGTGTATGCCAAATCCAATCCATCTCCACTTTCTTCTCCATATTTGTTGAGCGATAGGTTTTTGATTGGTTCGTTGCCAGCCAGCCAAAGTTAGTGTTTTGCTGCTTATGTTTTCTGGTCAACTGATCTTCAGTAACGAGCTCAGGTGGCAGCTGTTGATGAATGTCTGTAGTTTGTTGGAAACGCTTTTCGTGACTCACCAAGTTTGTGAACTACATAGCAGCACTGACTCGACTGAATTTGTGTTGAAAATCCGGATCTTGTTCTTTGTGCTGAATGCAGTAAGATGATGATTAAGAAACGTATTTATTCAGTATCACTCTCGGCTGTTTTAACCGTCGTTGAGTCAATAGGAAGCTCCCTATCAACGGTCTGTCTTCTCTTCTTGTCTTCGCACGTCGGTGGCATCGTTGTTGTGGTGGTGGTGCTTGACGTTGCGTTAGAGTCGATTCGTTTCCAAGTTAGGTTCAAATTGTTCGTAGTCTACTAGGCTTGTATAGCTTGTAGAATGTTAGGTCGTACTACCGGTCATAATCAGTCACAGTAAGTGATATTGAATAGGAGGACTTTACCGATCACTAGTGAAGAAGAAGCCACGTCAATCATAAGATGAATAAAGATAATATTACCACTGACACAGCGAGTCCATTTACAGTGGAATTCCAGGAACTTTAAAACACATGAAGAATGATAGAAGTTGAAGGCAAATCGATTAACTCAAATCCACACCAACATTTTGAAAAACCTTCGGCCACTTCATCAATAAAGATAGTATAAAGTCTGTGTGAATGATGGGAGTGCAAAAAGTTGGCAATACTCAATATTCTATCTGGAGGTTTGTGGAGATTTATTAATTGATTTTAGGAATTTGAAATTCATCATGGACTGACATTAGAGGGAGGAACATTGGAAATGTGGGAGCACTGGACAGCAGCTGCTTCGTCGTAGTATGGAAATCTTCGCTAGTGCGTATCCATGACATCACCGGGGATCAAATTCATGACCTTCAGAAACCTCCGAAGAGAATTAATCTGGGGCTCATTGGTGACTAACTTCCAGAGGTGATGCCCAAAGTTCCAACGATATTCGTGACCGGTGAAGTCAACCAAGTCGAACATGAGGACAGTTACTCAACGATGATATTGCGTGATGGTTGCGCTATGTCGTGAACTGATAGAAGGAAGAAACCTGGACCACCAGATTTCGACCAACTGACTCAATGGTAACGTACTGGCCACGGAATTTGAAGGTCGAGGGTGCGTACTACTGAGGAGTCCCACACTAGGACGAAACATTTACCATCCAGTGCTCCTAGGCTTCCAATGTTCCTCCAACTGATGTCAGTCCATGATGAATTTCAATCTAAAATACTCAGTATTCCAAGATGATCATCCATGCAGACTCAACACCACCTAACTTCAGTGATCGGACGAGAACTGATATTTTCATCGTGGTATGCTTAATGACAACTTCACTCATATTAACACACACGACAAAGTACCATGCACTCAGTCACACACATAAACAAGCAAGCACATTGTAGCATATCTAGAAATCACGCTTTATAACACAAGCCCCTAACGCAACTCAACTTAGTATGATATATTATAGTCAAAGATCATCAGATATTCCAAGAGTAAGGAGTAACAATACATCAGTGCAACATACCCTCTGTATCACGTGATCGTTCATACTCTAATTGATTATTGATTCGTTGAAGTTGATTAGTAAACTCAATTCGTTTACGATCACGTTCACGAGCAACACGCAACTCTCGATCTTCATATTGTCTAGAAATGAGGGAGAAAAAACGTGAATAGAAAAATCTAACATACCAATACGAAAATTACTTACTGAAGAATTTACTTTGTTTAATTATCTATTGTTCAGTTGTTATTCGATGTAGGATAAGTGCAACATATCATAAGATATCACTGGTTAAAATACCTATGATGATAGTGAAACGTTCAACACACAAAGCCAAAACATAAGACCATTGGATTGTATCCCGGTGAATCGATGGTAACATCATTAGTAGGTAAAGTCGATGATGATTACTGATTGACTTTGAAGCTGATACATTAAACAAAGGTGTAGATCAGTACCATTCATAACTTGAATCAGAAGGATGGATTACTTATCTGGAACCTAACAGTTTCTCCCCAATCCTATGAATTTGTTGAATGCTAACTGATAAACTTGAAGAAATATCTCAATTAAAAGATGTTTGGCTGAAGCATTTATAAGTTTTAGAACGGTACAGTATATCAGGACAAATAACAAAATAGACAAATATATTGTATTATTCCTCAACATTTAGATCTTGTTAGGAAGGATCCTTTCCTTCACAGCGTATGAATCTGACATTAAGTTTTCAGGTTAATATTCAAGTTTTGGTACAGACGGTGGTAACCTTTACAATCATCCAATTACATAGTGATATGGAGCAAAGATCGATGTAATACAGCTGAGGGAACAAGCAAGTCGGTCAGTGAGGGTTTTTTTTTCAGTTGTGCGAGTAAGGTGGAACAAAAATAGGGTGGGAAAACTTTTTTAGCTTATCTATGAAAAGTACAATGAGGTCATGAGACATTAAGGGTGAGAAAGAATAGGCTAGTTCGTTTGGAAGGATGAATATTTGAAGGTCAGAAAGTATATGATAAATAAATAAGTGAGTAATAATGACGATAAATGTACTTTTGAAGAATGAGTGATAGCAAAACGGTTTTTTTGAGGGAGTTGTGGAGATCTGGAAATATTCCAAGTTGTTATTTATCGTAGACTGACATCACTTGGAGGAACAAAGGAAACCTGGGGGCAATGGACAGCAGCTGTTTCGTCCTGGCATGGGACTCCTCAGCAGAGCGCATGCACGACCCCGAACTTCAGGGATCGAACCCGCGACCTTCAGGTTCCGTGACCAGCACGTTATCATTGAGCCACTGTGGTCAGAATCCAATGGTCCATATTTCCAACTTCTATTAGCTCATGATATAGCGCAACCGCCACCCAATGTCATCGTTGAGTAACTGTCCTCACGACCATCAGGCTTTGACTCCGCGATGGCCGCGGAACATGAAGGTTGTGGGTTCAGTCCCTGGCGGGTTCGTGGGTGCCCACTGCTGAGGACGAAACAGCTGTCCAGCGCTCCCAGGTTTCCTTTGTCCCTCCAACTGATGTCAGTCTACGGTGAATAACAACTTGAAATATTTCCAAATCCCCACAACTCCCTCAAAATTCAATTGAACTGGTGCTCATTAGTGACTAGCTTCGAGAGGTATTCCCGAAGTTCCAATGAGAAGTCGTGACCGGTGGAATCAAAGCCTAATAGTCGTGAGGACAGTTACTCAACGATGACATTGGGTGGCGATTGCACTATATCGTAAGCTAACAGAAGTTGGAAAATATGGACCAAAATGGATTATGTTATGGTTTTTCGAATGTATATAACTCAGAAAGCAGCGTAAAATTGATGCAAATAGTAGATCAATAAACTGCTATGTAATAGGACTAGACAAGCTGTTAAAATGCAACCAATTTCTTTATTCTCCCCTTTTTCCTTGTGGTCAAAACGATTAGAAGAAATAACATAGGAAACTATTCAAACAAGAGTGAATTCGGAATAAATAAATCATATGGAGAATGAAATTGTGTTCTACCTTCTCTTCAGATATTATTTACAACTGTCTAGGCGAGTCATTAATGTTTGCCATATTAATGAGATGTCTAACTCATCTTTTCTGTTGATTGAAGAAGGATATGAACAGATATGTAAAGCTTATGCAATGATCCGGTTTTTTTTTAAGAAAACCCTTTTACAGAACTTTTGTCTGTTCAAATGATATTTTATGACCTGAATATAGGGCATGAGCCAGGATAGCAGAGCTGTTTTCAAGTTCTTCTAGATCATCGGTCACTTATCCTAGTATATATTCCCTGTTCAAATCGTTTTAAATCAATGTTATGAGAATGTATATAGGCCTATAATATTAATAGATATTGGTGTATACTACTTAAAACAGAATTTATACTAACCTGATATTTTCTACACTGATTTGTACACAGAAATCATGAAACACGGTATCTTCAACAGTATCCATTTTCGCTTTCTCTGCATTCACTGAGATTTGGAGTTCTTGCATCTTAGTTTGACAACGTCCTAAACTCTCCTATACACACACAAGAAAGAATGATGATATGGAATCAGAATAGACTAACAATGATGGATAGTGGCTAGCAGTGGAATGCAGGATGCACATCTTGTCCTATTTTTGACTCACTCGTTAGTTGGATGTACCTGCCTCCCAGTGAGTGACGTTTTTCCCACCGGGGCTCGAACCCGGGACCGATTACTTCAAACGCCAGAACGTAAGCCACTAGGCCACCCAGACACGATAGCCACTTCTTGTGCGATGAGTATGGATTTGGTGTTATTGCTTGTATTATACGGTTGTCGACTAGACTGAATTGGGCTACTGTGCGGATGCCTCGATACTGCCTGTTTTTCAGTCACAAGAAGTGGCTATCGTAGCTCGGGGGTATAGCCGATAACTTCCTGGCGTTTGAAGTGATTTGTCCCGAGTTCGAATCGCGATGGGAAAAACATCACAGGCAGGTACATCCAGCTGACGAGTCCGAAATAAGGCGAAATGTGCATCCTGGATTCCAGTGCTAGCCACTATCTATCATTACCAAATAGTAGTTATTTCTTAATAGAGTTTATATATATGTTCACAAAATGTCCAAAACTAGCTTCATAAACCTGTTTTCCAAATGCTTCTCGATGCACTAAGTCACTTCAGAAAATTCCATACCATACGCACTACTGTTTGTTCTGTTCATCGTCAGTAACCTCCTTGAACCTTTCCAGCAGATATGGTCGTCATATCAAATTCCTCCATTTCAGTTTGTTTCAATCGATCAATTATGTTTTCAAAACGTATCGCGTATGCATGAGAATTTTTATGTATCTAGGATAGTCGTTTATGGAAGTTGTAACAAAACAAAAGGGAAATGTCACATTAATCGGAAATGAATGCACAGGAAAACACATCGGATTTCTTTTCTTCGGATAACCATCTCGAATCGTACATTATTCTACCGGTAAACACCATAGGCTAATCCAGCACAAACCATTTTCTTCACATTACGATCTCTTATATTCTTATTATGAACATCATTCAGATACAGTTACCACTTTATTTGAAAATGTTGTTTAGGAGGTGAATTTGCTAAATGATCAATTACATGTTGAAAATTTCATACTGTATCAAACATACTGTTTGGAATAAAGCCATTATTATTATCATTATTATTACTATCAATGGGTTCGATTGCTTTCCGCCCTCACTTTCCTTTTACCTTTTTTCTGAAGTTCGTCTCTAAAGTATCCATTATAGTGTAGCATATACCGCATCATGTGTTCAAAGCTGAAGCATATTACATACACCAGATATGTAGATAATAAGTTATACGAATGTTGACTGTGCGATAGTATCTCAGATATCGGAACGACACCATTCAGTGTTCATATGTTAGATGGAATAGGTGATTTCTCATAGTTTTACAGTCACATTTAAAAGTGTTTTTTTTTTGTTAGCAGACTTGAAACAGTCAACAACGCCCTTCAACCGAAGTTGCAATCAGTAAATTCTAGTCACAACTGAAGACTAAACAGGCAATCAATTTTCGTAGCATTTTTTTAAACCTCAATTGTATTGTGTTCTCTGAATTGCGTTGTCTAGACATGGAGCTTTCATTGTGCTTCTTCTCGACAATGTCATCAGTATTAACTTCAATATGAAGTGAGCTGTCAATATCTCTCCATCAGGAATTCAGTGGCTTCCCTGACCAAAGTGGTTTGTGATTGGTTGTTTCCTTCGATTGTTGTATCATTGACTGTATAGATTTTCCTGTTAGCTGTTCCCCTACATCACCTCTGACCTCTCCAACGTTATCATTCATCTCATTGGTTGATAGATTGCCTCTAGGCCTATAAGTCTGTTGACTGACTGACTGATCTGAATGCCAAGCTTCCAAGAATTTTCTGATATTTTTTACGTTTCCCCTCTCCAAAATTTCTACATTGTCAAAATTGAACTCAATTTCATAGTTATTCCCAGGAATTGGAAAGAACAATGAAACTGGTATTTATGTAAACGAAGGTGACCACTTTGTCTAATGTAGTACCGATAGCAGTTGTTGGAGTTGGTTTTGTAAGTAATACTTGGTTTGTCTCCTTTCGCTGTTGCATCCTCATGTCTATACAATATGCTTTGAAAGGGATTTGTTGGGGGAAACGAAGAAAATTACTTGATGTCTATCCTAAAGAAGGACGGCTACCCACGAAACTCTATCAGAAGGTGCCTGTCCCGTACATCATCAACTACAAAGTCATCAACAGAAATCAATAAACGCATCATTCTACCATACATGAAAAATATATCAGAAATCACGACAAGATTATTGAGACCACTTGGAATTGGTGTGGCGCCTCATAAACCAACAAATCGCCTCCAAACACTATTATGCAGACCAAAGGATGCAACAACCGAAGAAGACAAATCGAACATCATTTACAAAAGCAACTTCAATAACTGTAGTCAACACTACATTGGACAAAGTGGTCAGCCTCTTCACCTTCGTTTAAACGAACACCAATTGGCTATTAAACGACGTCACTGATTCCAATCCGCGTGAATAACAACTATGGACATGAATTAAATTTTGACAGTCTAGAAATCTTGAACGGAGAGAGGGAACACAAAGAATATGGGAGAATTCCTAGAAACTTGGCATTCAGGTCAGTCAGTAAGTCAGCCATCAACAGATGTATAGACATAGACCCAATCTATTACCCAATGAGAAAAATGATAAACAACAGAAAGGTCAGAGGTGAAGTAGGGTAACATCCAATGAGAAAGTCTATACAGTCAATGATACAACAATCGAAGGAAACAACCAATCACAAACCAGTTGGTCAGAGCAAGCTACTGAATCACTGACGAAGAGATATTGACAGCTCACGTCAAACTGAAGTTATTGCTGATAATGTCGTCTAGAAGGAAGATGATGAAAGCTTCACGATTAAACAACCCAGCTCCGTTCATTTTGCAGTGTCATCGGTCACTAAGTTAGGGGATTCCTCAACGAGTGTGAACTTACTTAAATGATCGGCTGAGCACGGTTACACTATTTGAAATTAATTGCTCTCTTCAGTGACCAGCGCTACAAGAAGTCAACTGTGAATAGTAATAATCATGAGACTAAAGGTCAAGAAGGATTTCTTGTCGATTACCTCCAGTAACTTTACACGAAGAAGAGTTGATTACATCGATTTTCAGCCATCTCACTAGGAGTCATTAATCACTGATTCCTTTCATCTTAGCAACATTAACCATGTAGTCGATATTTCCCTCATATGGCTCAAACCAACAGTCAAGGAGTTCATCCACCGATGTCACATCTTGGTCTCATCACCTAAACCTTCTTCCAACCTAATCAACTCCCCTAAGCATTGAATGTCGAAGCAAATGATAGCTCGACATATGCTACACATGTCCAAACCACCTCAGACGATGAAGCGTTACAACTATATCGATCGATTTGCTTGTCTTGCCTGGTATCTCTCATAGATAACAAAATCGAATTATATACTAGGGAATACAAGAATAAAAGGATTATACTTGTGAAAAAGCTTTTAAAAAAAAACACACATTCTACCTACTTCAACTTCTTCTAATTCACGGGCGATTTGATTCATTTCCTCTTCATTTGTGCTAAGAAGTTTCTCCTCCTGTAAAGTAAACAAACCATAATCATGAATATCATTCGCCTAATGTTTAATACCTTTTATCCTTCTTTAAAACATCAAATCTCAACAATCTGCGATTAATGAATGTTATCGCGCCTTATATCAAAGATGTCAAGAAGTTAACACAAAGACGGAAACACACACATAACAATAATATCAGTAGTGTTTAGATTGAATTGTACTCTGAGTTGATATTTCGATTATCGAACGTTTCAAATTCAACATAGACAACATCATCATTGGTTCATCAGTCAAGAAAACGACTGAGTGGACTGAACTCTAAAAAGAAAATAACCAAATGACTTAAATCTGTCTTTAAAAAAAAAAAAGCCGCGGGTTTACCAACCGACCATACAATCATCGAACGATTAGTCAAGTTATAAATAACTACTTCAGTTAATTCCAAAAAGCTAGTGATGATACCTAGCACAACGGTGAAATGTTTGCCAAATAAAAAACCTCTATCATATAGGATAGAGATATTCTCCACCATTTTTAGTATCAGCAATCCATACAAGTCATAGAATAAGAAGAAAAAGAGATAAAGAGGATGAAGAAATAATTTGTGAAATGATTCATATGAAGAATGGATCTTTGCAAATGTATAGGGATCATTAAAATACACATTTCAGTTGTTTCATAAACATTAACTAAATATGCGTTACATTTGAAAAAAAAAAATCTCAGTGTGAAGAAAAATAAGAAATTCCAACGTTTCATACTAAAGTCTAGTCCAAACTTCATCAATCTAGAACATCACACTTTTGTCCCTTAAGTTCCAAGAGGAACATAGGGTTTCAGCAGCAAATCTCCATTTCATTCTCTTCCCCACAGTTTTTCAAACCTAGATTCACCACTGCTTAGAAGCTTCCATTTCTTTCTTACACACCATCTCCCCATGTCACCCTCCCATCGGAGGCCCAACATGTAGTTTACCATGCGCGATTAACTCAACGACCTGAATTGGCAAGTGATGTCTCCGAATGGTTTTCTCAGGGTATGCCTAATCCAAACCATCTCCACTTCCGTCTGCATATTTGTTCAGTGATAACTTGTTGGTTGGCACGTTGTCAGCTCACAGTTCCTCCTTCCTCATTCTTTATCACCTTCTAATATGATCTTCAGAATACACTGAATGAGCATAGGCCACAGCTGGTGAAGCGTCTCCGCAGTTTGTTCAAAATACTCTTCGTAACCGGCTGCCAAGTCTCTCAACAATCACATACAAGCATTCACTTCACTCACATCAGTGTTGAAAATCCGGATCCTCTTCACATTTTATGCTGAGTGTACTGAAGTGGAGTGGAGTGGAGTGGAGTGGAATGGAGTACAGTAGAGTAGAGTAGAGTAGATCTCCACACCGATTTCACACTAATCAACGAAGGCCTGTCTTCCTGTCTTTCCCATCCTGGACTTCGATATCTTCATCTGTACCGCCCTCTGCACTTGAAACAATGCTGCATTGCATAGGCACGTCAAAGAGACAACTTCATTTACGTTTCTCCCCTTCATGGTGATTACTGCCACTTCTCATTCTTGTTGGTTGGGTATCTTCATCACCTCCATCTTCTCTTAGTTCACCTGAAGCAAGTACCATCTGCCTTTGCTGCCTCGTCTCTTCTGACGACTTATTAATTTGTGCATGTAGATCTTCGAGTTTGTGTGACACTACACACTGGACATAAATCATCATCATCATCGGTGGAATACAAATCTTCTTGCCGAGTCTCTTCATCGCTCCACACAATGTATACCCATCTTATCGCTCCTCACAGCTGACTGTGGCATCATCCATTTCAGTAGAGTCAACCACAATCAGCAAGATCAGTGGTGATAGTAGGCAGCGAACTTATATTACTCTTGTCTTCACTTCAAAGGCATCGTTCAGCTTTCCACCCATTAGTTTTATTCTCTTAATTCAACAAACTACAAACGGAAATGCACTACAACACAGAGGTTAAATTCTATTCTTATATTGCAGGTTTAACCTGACGAATCTATATCAGTTGTATACACTACACTGACTTCAACTGGATAGTGTCTCCAACTGGAAATTAGCTGGACGTGAGTTAAACTATTTCAAAATATGGTTCACCTAACTAAGGAATCCCTTCCACCCGCTTTATAAATTGATCACTGTCAACAGTTTTTCATTAACCCTCAACTTTTTAATACCAATCGATTTGAAAAGTTTAAATACTACACACCACTGATGACAGTCATAAACTCTTAGATAACGTGTATTAAAGCCTCTATTTATTCTTAGTGTATCCAAAGTATGAAGGAATGAGCTGAAATGCAATGTTTGATCTAAAAAAAAAAAAGATACCCAGATAAGCAACATTCTTTTTTGATCGTGATCGAATTCATCGCTGTTAGCGTATGAGCTGAGATGCGGATGCACCCCGTTCCCTTAAGATTCATTATGATGTAATCTGCTTAATGGTGGTTAGCAGTAGAATCCATTAAGGACTCATTAGCCCGATGCACTTTCAACACAATGAGTCCATGACTAAGGGAAATCAGCCCGACTTCAAGGCCTATAGATATTTGAGTGGAGTTGGGGAATAGAGTACCCGAGAAAATCAGATAGGCTTCAGAATTGACGGTGGCGGTGTCGACCAAATATCTACACTCTCCTATGTTGCGGAACACAAGAAGACTTAGCAACACCCGAAAATGGTTGTATTTCTCGACTCGAAGACAGTGTTCGACTTCATCAATCCAGAGGTCTTATAGCATTGTCTTTTACCGGAAAAGATGCCGAGTAAGTACATCACTCTGTTGAAGGTTCTTTACTCGGACATTCGTGGGACGTTAGAGGCTGTGATGAGTTGTCGGGTGTGATGTCCAGCAAGGGTGTCTACTCACACCAATCTTATTGAATTTCTTTATAGACGCCATATGGAGGTTTAAATCTCGTCAGCTGACTTTACAGGAATTGATCTAATCACAGAAGAATCAATGGTATATCTAGAATATGCAGATAACAAAACTCTATTTGTTGAGGAGCTGGAGTGCCAGTTTGAGAACGTTTGTGATGAGTTTCTCGTCACTCTAAAACTGGTGCTCACTGGGATCCTGTCTAACAATAGGGAGTGAAACGGTTGAGCATGTTGATTACTCCACTTATCCAGGAAGTCAGATCAGCCCAACTTACACCATCTGTAGCACCACTACGATAGGTGGTTGTCAATCGAGTGTACTTTACTAAGGTATGGTGTGGTATTGTTGCATGAAATCTTTGACTTTTTTTTGAGGCATGTAGAGAAATGCATACTTCTCGGTTGGGATCCACTTGATAAGATAAACAAGTGGTTGGAGGCTGTATGTGAAGGGGCGCCAAATCGATATCAGTGGCACAGACGTATTCACACGTTAACTTGATCTTCCTAATGAATTTCAGTATTTTCCCATTTCATTTTGTTCTCTTTTCACTGCTTTCATGTCGACTACCTAATCTCAGTGCTTCTTCGCTTCATGTAATGATTATTATGAAGTCTGGTAACTTTTGATCCTACCACTCAGTAGGGCTACTTCTTGTTAACAACTCATACCCGTTGAACAAGAGGTAACAATAATGTTTCAGTAGCCTGATAGATAATCTTGTAGAGGTCAGAGCGATAGGTACTAAGTCCAATCCAGTCTCAATGGGAACACTATCACTCCGTGATATGCAGGTATATCGTAAATAGGACAATGAAATGTGTGTGCCAGATTTCACTGGTAGCCATCAGCAACCAACATTGATTATTAAGTGTCTACCCACTTCCTCATGGAATACATCATGAACGTTGCTAAGCATACGAGATTACAATTACTTACTAGTTTCAAGTTGTTATTCATCGTAGACTGACATCAGTTGGAGGAACAAAGGAAACCTGGGAACATTGGACAGCTGTTTCGTCCTAGTATGGGACTCCTCAGCAGTGCGTACCCACGACCCCACCAGCAGGGATCGAACCCGCGACCTTCAGGCTCCGCGGCCAGCGCGTTACATTGAGCTAGCCATTTAGGTCAGAATCCAATGGTCCATATTTCCAACTTCTGTTAGCTCACGATATAGCACAACCACCACCCAATGTCACCGTTGACCACGGAATCTGAAGGTCATAGGTGCGCACTGCTGAGGAGTCCCATACTAGGACGAAACAGGTGTCCATTGCTCCAGGTTTCCTTTGTTCCTCCAACTGATGTCAGTCTACGATGAATAACAACATGGAATATTTCCAAATCTTCACAACTCCCTCAAAAATACTTACTAGTTATCAAATAATCACACTTTTCAAACTTATATTCACGTTAGTTCAGTTGATTTGATGTAGCACATAGACATCATGGGTAAATATCAGTAAATGATCCCGCATCGCTATGCGCTATACCATATAAACTAATCCATTTAATAACGACTCATTTATATGCTTGTAGAGTCATTGGATAACTCTTTGAAGGTTAACGATCCAATAAACTAGTCCAAGTCACACTCATAGTGTTACCTCTATCCAGATTGCTAGATTATCGATGGATTTTTAAGCTGGTTGTTATTTAGTCAAATATATTAAACACTGATTATTTTTAATGAAGCAGTGAACAATAGGAAGAAAAAAAAAGGGACGACTTCATCTAAACTCCACATGTATACCCAGATGATGAGTCCTAAATAGGACGAAATATATGTTTTAGTTTCTATTGTTAGAATAAGATTTATCAAAAAGAACAGCTTGATAATATACTTACTGTACTATCTTTATCTTTTAATGTATACTTTAGTCTAGTATCTAGTCCTTTGATTTGTGATTGAATAGTTCTCAGTTCAGCTTCTTTACGTTTACGCTTCAATTGTTCTTTCAATTCATTCTGTAAAGCATCTCGTTTGACATTAATGTACTGATCTGTTTTTCATCCCAACGACGTGCACGAGCTTTTAAATCACTGATAATAGTATAAAACAAAAAAGATTAGTATGTGTGATTGAGTATTATGATTTAATAAGAAATCAGCTTAACTTCACAGGGAAATACAATCCATCGGAACATTAAGTACTCAGATTATACATTAATATTATCCAATGAAATCTATAAGTTTACTTTAATGTTTACTTAATGTTTACTTAATGTTTACTTTAATAGAAACATACATGTTTATGTAAAAAGCTATGAGGCGTATATTTTTGTGTAAGGGTTTAACATACTCTATATACCCTATTCGATTTATCGATTCTATATAGCGGCGCATAATGATAAAGTTTTAGGGTCAGTTCCCATTATGTAAATTACAACAAAATATATAAGAGAACAATACACGTTTCATAAACAACTTTATCATTCAGATTTTTCTCCATCCCTTTCTTATTCTCCTGTTTCATATACTTATTATATTTCAATGCTGAGGGAGTTGTGGAGATTCGGAAATATTCCAAGTTGTTATTCATCGTAGACTGACATCAGTTGGAGAAACAAAGGAAACTGGGAGCACTGGACAGTTGTTTTGTCCCACTAGTATGGGACTCTTTAGCAGTGCGCACCCACGAACCCGCCCACGATCGCAAGCTAACAGAAGTTGGAAATATGGACCATTGGATTCTGAGCCAGTGGCTCAATGGTAACGTGCTGGCTACGGAACCTAAAGGTTACGGATTCATCCCTGGCGGGGTCGTGAGTGTGCACTGCAGAGGAGTCCCATACTGAGACGAAACGGCTGACCAATGCTCTCAGGTTTTCCAACCATTGCCAGAACGTGGTGAATACTACCTTGAAAACCATATATATCTTCTTCCGATTAACAGTATCATTTAGTCGGTGAAGTATCCAGCTTAAGTTATTGTTCACAACCACGTCAAAGTAATCATGCAACTCGAGACATCTGGTTTTTATACTTCTATCATATCATATTTTAGTGGTAGTAAACACTTTTCCACTCTTCTCATATAGGTGTTGTGTTATTCTTGTTACGTGTGATGGGTGTTGATTCGATGAACAAAGATTCGGTAATCGGTATCTCCATCCACTTAAGTATACTGCAATTAAGTATACAGGTTTCATCCTACTCTATTGTGTGATACCCAACCAACAACAACAAGCTCCAATCACCATCAACGGAAGAAACTTGAAGGAAGTAGCCTCTTTCATCTATCTAAGCAGCACCGTTTCAACTACAGGCGACACAGACGAAGACATCAAAGCCAGAAAGATAGCAAGACAGGCGTTCATTATCCTGAAACCAGTGTGGACATCTACTGCACTGCACTCAGCATAAAGCATCAACAACATCCGGATTTTCAACACCAATTCAGTCAAGTCAGTGCTTCCGTATGGCTCACAGACTTGGCGACGCGTTACGAAAGGCATTTCCAACAAACTACAGACATTCATCAACAACTGCCACCCACACTGGCTCGTTACTGAAGATCAGATGGCCAGAATAATAAGAATAAACAACAAGGAACTCTGGCTGGCTGGCTGGCAACGAACCAACCAACAACCTATCGCTCAACAAGTATGGAGAAGAAGGAAGTGGAGATGGTTTGGATTGGGCATACACTGAGAAGGCCAACTGGGGACATCACCGCGCCAGGCCAGTCACTTGAGTGGAACCCAGATGGGAAACGACAAGTTGGGCGTCCGAGGGTGACATAGAGAAGATCGTGTGAGGAATAAACGAGAGCTTCCGGACTGTCGTGGAACCAGGTTCAAAAGTTTGCAGAGAAGAGAGTGCACTGGAGACATGCTATTGAAGCCCTATGTTCCACTAAGAACCCAAGGGACAAATAATAATAATAATAATAATAATAATATTGGTTACATCAGTTACTAGAAGAATGAAAGCACTGAAATCGTAGTCAACCATAAGTACTAACCTTGCACCACCAGATATAACACCAGAACGTTGAAACAGAGTACCTTCTAGTGATACAGTCTATTGAAATGCAACAAAAAAAAAAAACAAAAGAGAAGTGATGCAATGCAATTAAATTAAACATCATACAATTGAGTAAATAACAAAATAAATTCAGATTAAGGTGTTCCCAAAGCTGAGGGAGTTTATCACAGTTGGTAAATGTTTCCATGTCATACTAGATATCATAATCAGTGGATTAGAATTTCGCAAGGACTTCTTTATGAAATTACAAATCAATGGGAAAATTCAATCTGAACAGTTTAAAATACACTGAGGTAATAAAAATCTTCTCCATAAATACATCGAACGATGTACATAGACAGTGACCGAAATCACTGAGAGAAGAGGGTAAGCCAAATATCAATCTCATTTCAAATATACAGGTTATGAATTATGTGTATAGGGCTTTAACCGTTAGTTTGAAGTCTTCAAATCCCCACATCACACAATAACAGATCCCAAATCAATTGTATATATATTTCAATTAAGATTTCGACATTGTTTTTTAAAGCATCTAAAAACAGACATAATTATCATAAAGTATTTACGCACAAAATATTCATTTTTTTCATCTACTTATTCGTATGAACTTCATGATCGAAGTGAACACAGCTCCTATTGGGTTAGTTGATAACGCTTTAACGTTTGAAACGATGAGTACGGGTTTCAAGTCTCATTAGGAACAGCATCATTCCTTGCGGTGTAGGTACATTCAGCTGACGAGTACCAACTGGGACGAGATGCATGCCCTAGCTTCCATTCCAGGACATGAAGATTAATACACAAAGAACATGGTGAATAGACTTCCTTTGAACTTATAATCAAAATCAATTAGAAAACAATGAAATTCAGTACATATCGTAGTTATTTAACTGGAGTAACAAACCTCTGAAACGAGTGATGCCGACCATTGCTTATTTCATGAATGCTTTCTGAAGCGAATTTTCGGACTACTTATTACTATATTTTGTCCTCTGGGTTCCTAGTTCAACATAAAGCTTCAATAGCATGTCTCCAAGTCGCTCTCTTCTCTGAAGTCTTTTCAACTTGGCTCAATGACTGCCCACAAGCTATCATTTCTTCCTCATACATCATCTCAATGTTAACCACATACGCCAAACTCGCCGTTTCTCATTTCAGTCCCACTCGACGGCCTCGCCTGGCACGTAATGACACCAAACCGTCTTCTCGCTGCATTCCCAACCCATCTCTACTTCCGTCTGCATATTTGTTCAGTGATAACTTGTTGGTTGGTACGTTGCCGGCTCACAGTTCCTCCTTCCTCATTCTTTATCACCTTCTAACATGATCTTCAGAATACACTGAATGAGCGCAGGCCACAGCTGGTGAAGCGTGTCTGCAGTTTGTTCAAAATACTCTTCGTAACCGGCTGCCAAGTCTCTCAACAATCACATACAAGCATTCACTTCACTCACATCAGTGTTGAAAATCCGGATCCTCTTCACATTTTATGCTGAGTGTACTGAAGTGGAGTGCAGTGGAATGGAGTACAGTAGAGTAGAGTAGAGTAGATCTCCACACCGATTTCACACTAATCAACGAAGGCCTGTCTTCCTGTCTTTCCCATCCTGGACTTCGATATCTTCATCTGTGCCGCCCCCTGCACATGAAACAATGCTGCCTTGCATAGGCACGTCAAAGAGACAACTTCATTTACGTTTCTACCCTTCATGGTAATTACTGCCACTTCTCATTCTTCTTGTTGGTTGGTTCGTTGGGTATCTTCATCACCTCCGTCTTCTCTTAGTTCACCTGAAGCAAGTACCATCTGCCTTTGCTGCCTCGTCTCCTTCGACAACTTATTAGTTTGTGCATGTAGATCTTCGAGTTTATGCGACACTACACATTGGACATAAATCATCATCATCATCGGTGGAATACAAATCTTCTTTTCGAGTCTCTTCATCGCTCCACACAATGTATACCCATCTTATCGCTCCTCACAGCTGACTGTGGCATCATCCATTTCAGTAGAGTCAACCACAATCAGCAAGATCAGTGGTGATAGTAGGCAGCGAACTTATATTACTCTTGTCTTCACTTCAAAGGCATCGTTCAGCTTTCCATCCATTAGTTTTATTCTCTTAATTCAACAAACTACAAACGGAAATGCACTACAACACAGAGGTTAAATTCTACTTTTATATTGCAGGTTTAACCTGACGAATCTATATCAGCTGTATACACTACACTGACTTCAACTTGATAGTGTCTCCAACTGAAAGTACGAAAAGAGAGAAAGGAAGAATGAGAAAATGGTGAGATTCGGTATAGCGTCGTTAAGTTGAGGATAATGTGTGCATGCATCTGCGCCACTGACATCGGTTTTCAGCCATATCGCCTAGAATCTCCAATCACTAATTTCTCTTGTCTAGCAGACCCCAACTACGAAGTCTGCATCATGCTACATGGCTCAAATCAACATTCAAACACTTTGATGTCATGTTTTAGTATGGCCGAGAGCCAAGAGCCTTCTCCTAGCCTGAACCTACTTTGGCCAACACCGTGTGATGAGGCAAACAACGACTGGGTACCATTTAACAGAACTATAAATATCAATAGAGAAAGATAGTGACTCGAAAAGAACACAGTCTAGTATACTTGAAAATAAGTTTATTCTATTTTATAAGGATCAATGACTACACCAGGCAAAATGGGTTTTGAACACGAGTATAACTAAGCGAATACTTCACTAAATCACATCTGATAGGACTACTTACAATAGGCAGCTTATTTTCTATATTTGTCAGTTGAAACTTCTCATTTAATCAAGAACAAGACAGTCAAGCAAGGCAATTAGCCTCTCTCACTAGCTGTAATAAAATGATCCTAACATATGAAAATGTGTATAGTCAAAGGATGAATTCAGTTCACATTGTCAACCAGAAAGTGTGAATAAACTGAGTTAAGTAAAAATTTCATATTTTTATATATATTAGGTGTTTCTTGAAGTGGTCATTAAGAAACTGTTCATTCGTTTCTACAGTTGACTTTCAACTAGTGCTTCACGGATTCGAACACAATAAGCGTGCTTCGTTGCATATTTGCATCAAAGTGTATAAAGTTTTCTTCAGATAAAAAGATATTCCTAATTAGATTACAATTATGAAATTAAAATGTTTATATTAACTGTTTGAGAGGGTTATCTGCTTCCTGGTTAACAGGGGAATCCAAGAAGCACGTTTCGTCCTATTTAGCACTCATCAGCTGGATGTACCTGTCTTCTAGTGAGCGATACTGCCTCCCACTGAGACTCGAACCAAGGGTATTCTATGCTGAATAGAATTTAACAATTCATTATCGACAATCTCTTAGAATATTACTCGTATATGTTTGCAGTTATTGGGAGGGGGGAAAACTGATAAAAAGCGGCGTAAAAGGAGATCAACATTTTTGAGTCATCAACCTCCAAGGTTACTGTGTAGTCAAGAAAAATCTGATTGGACAATTTTGTCCTACAGTTGACCAATCAAAATGAGCTATTTAACTTTTGACCTAGTGGTTTTATATGATCATGAAAACTGTAAATATATGAATGATGCATTTTTGTCGGAAAACGTATCTTTCTTACAGTTACAGGCTGATTTCTACCCTATGATATTTATAGCTCAGTGAAATAAAAGGAGGAACCGATGAAGAAAAATCGCTATTGATAAACAGTCCAAGAAGCTTATCAATTTGTTATCATTCGCGTATTTATTATTATTCACTCGGTCACTTAGAAAATAAATCGATGATCAAGACTATTTCCAGTCTGAAGAAATAAAATCCAAAAGTACACGAGTTTCTTTTACAATCCCCTCCCCCTCTATGTGTACTAGGATGGTGAAAATGCAATACGAAAAAAAAGAGAGAAAAAAATCATAAAAACTCTTCTTGACATTACCTTTTTTCTATCTCCCATATGATAGGCAACATAGCGAGCATGTTCAACAGTTTCACAAACTAATGCATTACCACATGCAAAGGTTAACGCCTTCTTTACAATGATTGGATCACATTGGATAACATCAATTACTAAGTGAACATTTGGTGGTTCACTGATTTCACTATTCAACAAGAGTATAGAGAAGCAAAGAAAATTATCATTATAAAGGCGTTATACTAATCAAAATATACTCAATTTATTTCACGTATTGAAGTCTGTCCTAGTACACGGGTATTTTGATTTCCTCTGTAGGGAATCCACTCAACAACCTTGTCTAGCATATTCGAGCGCTAAGCGAACAGCAACACACTTCTTGTATGATGTCTAATGATATTATCTGGGGTTGTTCAGACATTAGTAGGCAGAGCGGGACTCGAACCCATGCCCTTATGGTTAAGACTCAATGACTCAATGAACCACAGCTATTTGTTTATAATATCACAATAGTGGTAGTGATAATTCAGCTGAATAACACTACACAATTTTGTGCATTAGACTATGTGGTACACTCAGTGTCTAACATCTCACCATATTACCACCCAGCGAAAATGGTTGAAGTAACCGGCATTGTGATAAAATGTAGTTCCATTTTAGTCTGTTTATTAGATATGTCATACACTGAAGGAACAGTATCTTTCACTGGATAACATATCAGATACAATTTATTGTCTATATGCTTATCAGATAACTAACTCGACAACTTTGAGACAGAGTTTATATAGTCCTAATCTTCTCTCTTTCTCTGTGATGACAAGAGTAGTAAAATTTTCCATATATCTGGGACAGATGTACAATCATTTCTATTACTGCATGTATTTCATGTCGATTGGATAAACAGAGATTCAGTTGGTTATCAATCTCTCCCTCACTCCATCTAACGAAGTTGGTTTTCAATAGCGCCGCTCTATCCTACCCTATTGGGTGTAATTGGGTGCAGAGCTATAGCCAAGCTTTTCTCTCAATTTCTTATCTTATTAGGATCTACTAATCATGATTTAGCTAAGTTTTTGTGCTTTGTTATTATAATCGACTCCAGTCGACAACTTTGAACTATGTATTCAACCTTGCAGTCATTGCAAGGGATTTCGTAAAGCAGATTATTTTGTTGAATTGAATCAACAGGATCTGTCAACCTACAAAGCTTATTTTTAAGCGAGTTTGATGGTTTAAATGCGGATTTAATCCCAGCCAGCCTTATTTAGAATTCCTCGTAATGCTCTTGAGGTGCGCCTTCCTTGTATGCTAACACAGCAGAGGCTTTAAATTCTCTATCAACCCTATCACCATTTTTACTATTGGTAGTAGGATTAATATTAATAACACCTGTATTACTACTACTACTACTACTACTACTACTACTACTACTACTACTACTACTACTACTACTACTACTACTACTACTGCTACCACTACTACTACTACTACTAGTAGTAGTAGTAGTATTTTTCTTTCGAAATTCTTATAAAGTTATTTATTGATAAGTTTAAGTGGGCAATTATTGAGACGTAAGGTATTCTTGATATGCCTAATATCTTGTCATAGATTTTCTGGCCTGAATTAAAGCATAGATAACACGACATACATTTAGATGACAATGAACAAATGCTTAGTCATGATACGACTAGCCTTTACACAAATATACCGACCAACATGCCTTCAGAGGCAGTTAGAAATGAGCTTATGGATGATAAAGAACTTACGCATCGAATTACGGTGCCGATCGAAGAGATCATACTAGGAGTACGATTGTGGCTCACATCTACTACAGTTTTTAAGTTTCAAAATAAAATATATAAACAAACTTAAGGGGTTGCTATGCGATCACCAATATCTCCTATCGTCGCAGACAGATGGATAGTTGGTAACAGATCAACCTTCAAACATTTAACCCTACTCCAAAGATATGGTTTCGATATGTAGATGATACGTTTACAGTACTGAAATCGGAACACCTCAATAAATGCTCGGTACATATAAGTTCAGTAATGAATGCAATCCAATTTACCTGTGACTTCGAAAGTGATGAAGGTGAGCTAGCAATGTTAGATTACAAGAAAGAAGTCTAGAGACTAGTGTCTATAGGAAACCTTCCCATTCGAATCGCTACTTAGACTTCAAATCCTTTCACCCGATTTCAGTTAAAGTAGGCTTAGTTAAATGCCTAAGTGATGGGGTGGAAATGCTTACTAGTAGACCAGAAAATCTACAAGAAATTAGACATATCAAGAATACCTTACGTCTCAATAATTACCCACCAAAATTTATCAATAAATTCATAAGAAATATGAAGAAAAATATTAGCAGTATCGCTAATTACACAGGTGTTATTTATAATAATTCTACTACTAATGGTAATAATGGTGACAGAGTTGAGAAAGGATTCAAAGCCTCTACTGTGTTACCATACAACGAAAACGCACCTCACAAGCATTACGAAGAATTCTAAATAAGGCTGGCTGGGATTAAATCCGCATTTAAACCAACAAACTAGCTTAAAAGCAAGCTTCGTAGGTTGCAAATAAGAGATAACTGTTGTAGCTTAGTAACCTTAGTGGTTATCACTCTAGAGTCAGACTGCTTAGAATTACATGTACTATTCAATTCGATACGCTAATAGATTTGAACGCTAACCGGGGAAAACACTCGGTAGTTGAAGTGACGACATGAACAAGAGATGGGCTGCGTCGCTCTGTTGGTACAGTATCAGAGAACGGTAATTTAGAGGCAGCTGGTTTCACTCTTACCATTGCCTAGGTTTTCATTTTATATACATCAACTCACTCGATTGCTAGGTAAAACCAAAAGTAAAAATTACAAAAAGAATCATCAAACGATAAGCAAATAGGCATTTGAAAACTATGCTATAGACATAGAGGTATGAATGTTCAACAGTTAGTTTATTCATCCACTGAACTTTGACCACTGTGTCATATAAACATTACAAAGTCAAGCGAGTAGTTATTACGAAGACAGCCTTCCCATTATTTCTTATTACACTTTGACTTCCGTGACTAACAGCTTGAAAAGTGGTCAATGATAACTGAGTAATATAGACTAATGAACGAGAGAGAGAGAGAGAGAGAGAGATGCGTTTAGCAAACTTGTGCATCTTCATGCAGTGAACGATTAGCCACACCTATTGTGTAAGAGCTAATAATACAACGACCTTGCTGACTGAACATCGATAGGTGGGTCGAGGTTCGAACACACGATCCAATGGTTGAAAGTCAACTCCCTAAGCCAATGAGATCAAACGTACAACAAATGCTACCTGAACGATTAACTTATCCCATTAAGATAAATGCAAAATGTAAATACTTCTTAGAAATTGAACCATCTATATTTATGTGATGCTGATTGAAACAGAAGTGAGGTGAAAGAAGACCCTAATATGACTAGATGTGTACACAATAATGGACTGTAATGATATTAGTCCTAAGCGGGGACCTTAATTGCTTACCTATCTAGTCAAATCCTTAAGATAATAGGAAACTGAGAGAATGAAGTGACATGGTTTGAAAGTGATCTGAAAAATTATGAACATCTTTTCACATCTTGATCAGACAACACTTGTCGATCTCTTTCTGTTAGTCACCGGTTCTCCTGAACCTTTTTTTTTTCTAGTTTAACAGTCGGCATCAACAGAGTCTGATGACACCAGCTAACACACTGTGTAGTATTTCGCCAACTATATTAGATCGATCTAAACACTGAGCAGCTGTTTCGAACGATTGGTCCCGAGTTCATTAGCAGTGTTCCACGACTAATTCAGTTCATAGAGCCGAATCATTTCAGATTATCTGAATCTGATTAGCTGACTTGCACGGAACGGTATATCTAGAGTAGAATAACCAATTTGTATATGATTTATAAACTTCACAATTCACGTTGAGCTTTCTGACAATTGAGTAGTTTTTCAACTGTTCATTTGTTATTGTATCAACAAGCGTTCCGTTAGAAACCAACTCGTAGTCAAGATCGCAAGGTATGATCTCCGATAGAGAAGCAACATAAACTAACAAAATATACCAGTGATCTGCTGACATCATCATCTTACCAGCTAACGACCATTTTCCAGTTAATTACTTCATTTCTAATGAATAATTCTCATTGTATCAACAGAATTCTTTTTTTTAAAACAATTTAGTGACTAGCTTCGAGAGGCATTCCCGAAGCTCCAATGAGAAGTCGTGGACCAGTGGGGGGCAAGGCCTGATGGTCGTGAGGACAGTTACTCAACGATGACATTGGGTAGCGGTTGCGCCATATCGTGAGCTAACAGAAGTTGGAAATATGAACCATTGGATTCTGACCCAGTGGCTTAATGGTAACGTGCTGGCCATGGAACCTGAAGGTCACGGGTTCGATCCCTGGAGTTCGGAGTCGTGGGTGTGCACTACTGAAGAGTCCCATGCCAGGACGAAACAGCTGCTGTTCAGTGCTCCTAGGTTTTCATTGTACCTCCAACTACGATGAATAACAACTTAAAATAGATTCTTACCGTAATTTCTCATCAATCGGTTTTACATCTAAGAAGTCAAGAGGTAGAAATGTCTCTGGTTCAATACGCTGATCTTTCATGTATTGAATGCATTCTTTAGCAGTTTTTTCACTATCGCATACAATAGCATCCATATATTTTCCAAGGACTTTTGTAATTGCCACCTGATAACGACGATGTGATGGTTGACACATTTCTAATAATCGACCATGCTGGAAAGCAATAATAATAATAATAATAATGATAACAATAGAATATGAAAAATTTTAGAACGACGATATAACAAAGTACAAACCGAACAGGTAAGTGGTTCAAGATGATAAGTCCTGACCGGACAGCCAATGTGAACGCGTGTAACGCTTCATGAATTCATATGCAGGTAGTTGAGTTGAAGTGAAATAAACATTTGGTTTACAGATGGGTCAGGTAGGTTCAGTTGGTAGGTAACTCAGAAGTTACTGAATCGAATCCTACTGCCGCTGGGATTTTCATGCCACCTTCAATCATTGTGCATTGTGAAAAAACGAGTCTCCCAAACCAAGGCAATTTCAGATAGTTAAACTGATTTTCTTTTTAAGCCGTTAAACTCCATAAGCAAACATATATTCTTTTACTAGGAACAATATCTAACTTCGTTGAAGATGTACTCTGATGGAAGTAACCTTCCGAAAGTCTGACTTCACAGGGATTGACCTACTCTCCGGAGGTCATCTAGTTGACTTGGAGCATGCATATGATATGGTCCTGCTAGGCGGAAACGCTGTCAAAGTGCAGAATCTTCTAAAATCCGTTGAGCAGAAATCTGAGTAGGCTTGGCGTGCGTCTCACTGGCACCTGTCAAATATAAGATGATGTTCCAGAACTGGTTTGCTGCAAGTACTCCCAGTTTGACAATAGGGAGTGAAGTGGAGGAATATGTCGACTACTTCACTTACTTGGGGAATTGCATCAGCACGAACGGACTGGTTGCTGACAAAAGCTTAGCTCGCATACACAGGGATCGCTTGCTATCTGCTGACTTACGTCATCTGTGGCGCTGACAATCGACATGTCCGACTATCCATCAAAGGATCAGTATACTTCACTTCAGTCTATTTTGTCCTGTTATATGCCTGTCGGATAGATGTCTTCGTGGCGTCCCTCCCCTTTGGTGGAATCACTGTGTTGAAGTCAGGCGAAGAGTACTGGGCTGGACAGGCAAGTCGATTGTTGAGGTTGTGAACCTTAGTCAACTGAGATAACTTGATCATGCCGAACCACGGCCTTACTTAATTCACCTGCTTTTTTGTACTACTATGAAGTGTGGCAACTTGAGCTGATACACTTGTGCGTGATTTCATCAGTCAGTACTAAGAACAACGTATATTATTTTTAGGCTGATGATACTAACCCCCACCCCGCCACAAAGTGTTAGCAAAGGAAACTATGTTAGTTAATGGGGCTATGTACCTACCTACCTACCTGGTCTGATATAGGATACCTAAGATATTTTCTTCTCCAGTACACATGCTATTTGACAAGCAGATTAGGTTGAAGAGATGATAAGCGTGAGCATAGCAACATAATAATATCAACTAATGCTACAGATTTTCTGTAAAGTTCCACGTTTTGTGATCATTTATCCCTTAGAAAACTTGAATTAACTGGAAAGATAGTACACCTATAGTGTTTGACAACAACAACAACAACAAAAAATCTACATTATGCAATCAGAACGCATTTCAATTACTCATTGATATTTGAAAGAATAAGGGAACTTTATTTTCTGAGATACTTTCTCAATTAAACTACTTCATTCTTAACAGAAGAGTAGTAGTTATCGTCAGTCTGTGGAGTTTTAGTAAAACTCTGTCATCCAGTAGTAGTATATACTTTTATTCAACTTTAGGGAATATATGAATACTTCCCAAAGTGAGAGGAGTTTAACAACCATTCCATTGCGGTTATAAACGACAAATCAAGTTCCGTGGTTAGCACTAAAGCCACAAGTATAAGTTCAACAGAACAGGACTATCGGTTCGCATTCACTATTGTAATCATTGAGAAAAGAGTATCATTTGATTACTTTTGTAGAATGAATGTTTTCATTTAAGAATACCACCAGAAATGTGTTACTTACAAGAGGATCGAATCATTTCACCCAGAGACCAAATTACAGGGAGAAAAAAAACGTGAAGTGGACAACTTATCAACTTATGAAATGATGGCCCTCTTATTAGCAAACAGAATAATGTTCAACGTAGATGTGTTCTGAAAATACACTAGATAGTGAACCAGGACTTTCACATAAATCACAAGTGTGATTTATCTCCATGTGCGATTTTCTTTGCACCACTCCTAATCCTCCCATATCTAATTGCTTTCTGAAAGAATTTTCCGCCTAACTTTCAATATTAGAAGCTAAGAGTATCTGGTATTACTCAGTCCCACATCTTGTGTTTTATAAACTCCTACATCTTGCCTGTTCTCCTCTATTGTTCTCGTTTATTCTTTTCCTGGTTGCTGAAAAAAGACTATGCTATGTATGTATTGCGTAGAACTTTGAAGATAATCAGCAGAACTAGTGGTGTACTTCGAAATCTTCTACTTAAAACTGTTGTGGACAAAAAATATTAACTCGTGTAAATATCTGTGAGGAGTTATTTTATCAGATGACCAGCTGTCTCTTCACTCAAACCTCTCTGCATTGTCGGTCATCTAGAATGACAAGGAACAAGTACATCTAACTTCATGCATGTACTACAAAATATAAAAACTCTATAATACCGTAAGTATTTAGCTCATCTTCTGTGTGATGAAGAAAGTATTCAAAATAAACTAACTAATCAACTTCTGTGTTTGACATCAAACTAACTGATGATGAGCATGTTACTATTTACGTCAAGTCATTGCTCATGTATGGTTCAGAAACTTGACGCGTTATGAAAGGCATTTCTAACAAACTACAGACATTCATCAACAACTGCCACCTACATTGGCTCGTTACTGAACATCAGATGGCTAGAAACAATAAGCAACAAGGAACTCTAGCTGGCTGGCAACCAACTAACCAACAACCTGTAGCTCAACAAATATGCAGAAGAAGGAAGTGGAGATGGTTTGGATTGGGCATACACTGAGAAGGCCAACTGGGGACATCACGGCGCCAGGCCAGGCACTCGAGTAGAACCCAGATGGGAAATGACGAGTTAAGCGTCCGAGGGTGACATAGAGGAGATCGTGCAAGGAGGAAATGAGAGCTTCTGAGCTGTCGTGGAGCCAGGTTCAAAAGATTTCAGAGAAGAGAGTTCACTGGAGACGTGCTACTGAAGCCCTATGTTCCACTAGGAACCCAAGGGACAAATAATAACAATAACAATATAATTATTATTATTACTACTAGAATTATTCATGTAAAGCATGAGAACAAGTGGAGTATATTAATATTAACTAACAACAAAACACTTACAACTCCAGGAAAAAGACGTTTCAAATTTTCAATAAGCTCTTGTTTTTTTGCAGCACGTGAAGATTCATGTCGTTCAACTTTTGCTTCACCCAATTGACAAACAACTGTTTCCAATTCAGCATTAATTTCATCAATACGTCTTGTGGCAAGTTCAACTTCTTCACGAATAGATTTTTCAGTTTCACGTTGTTCAGTAATAGCACGATTACTTGAACTTAATATGTAAATATATATAGATATATGGTCTTAATGGTTGTTATATGTGGTATATTTCACAAGAAAAATGTTCATACCTTGCTGATATATGACAATATAAAGATTTAAAAAAAAGGTTGTAGTCACTACGATTCGACATCGGTTGCAGAACTATTGAAAACATGGGAAAACTCGACAGTTAATTCGTCCTGGTATGGGACTCCTTAGAAGTACGCACCCAGAAACTCACTAGGGATAGGAATCAGGACGTTTGGGTCTCATACCGAATGCGCTGGTCACTCAGTCACTGAGTTTCCGGTCCAATGCTCTACCAACTGAACTACAAAGTTCAAATTTGGACTGCAGCTGAAAACCTGATGGCTGCTGGTTCGAATCCGGCCGCGGATCAAATGTTCATTTCACATTCAATCATCACCAAGTAATAATAATAATAATTGTCGCTTTGTTTCAAACAATATATATGACAGAATAGAATTCTCAGCACGCAATTTTTCAAGGTGACGCAAGGACAATAGCGGATATGCTAACACCTCTATTGCAGAAGGTCTGGAAGAAAAGAAACGTGCCTGGCGATTGATAGAAGGCGTACCTTATCAAACTACCAAAGAAGGGAGACCTGAGTCTTTGCAAGAACTGGCGCAGAATCATGCTCCTGTCCACCCCAAACAGATAAGCCGCATCATCCTGCAGACAATACGAGCGGAACAGGCTAGCTGTATTCAGGAAGTACAAGTCATGTGCGGACCAAATTGCAACGCTACACTAAGCATCATCAAAAAACAGAGTACAGAATGGCAATCAACTGGATCTCTACCCCAACTTCATCGAACTTGAAAAGGCCTTTGACAGCGTCGACTGACAAGAAATTTCACCACTGCTTCAACACTACGGAATACCACAAACCTTTATCAGCCTCATTCAACAACTATATGAAGACGCCACATGCCTAGTAATTCACAATGGGAAGCTCAGTGATGCTTTGAAGTGAAGACAGGAGTAAAACAAGGCTGCCGTCTACTATCACCCATATTATTCCTGATTGCGGTGGACCAATGAAAACATCCTAGAACATTTGGATTTCGCCAAAGATGACTTCTGTCCGATGTCACACAAACTTGAAGATCCACAGGCAAAAACTAACAAGCTGACAGAAGACGCAGGACAGCAAATACGGGACACCATTCAAGTGAACATAGAGAAGACAGAGATGATGATGATGATACCCAACCAACAACAACAACCTCCAATCACCATCAACGGAAGAAACTTAAAGGACGTAGCCTCTTTCACCTATCTAAGCAGCACCGTTTCAACTACAGGCGACACAGGCACAGACGGGGATGTCAAAGTCAAAATCGGAAAAGCAAGACAGACGTTCATTATCCTGAAACCAGTGTGGATATCTACTGCACTGCACTCAGCATAAAGCATCAACAACATCCGGATTTTCAACACCAATTCAGTCAAGTCAGTGCTTCCGTATGGCTCACAGACTTGGCGACGCGTTACGAAAGGCATTTCCAACAAACTACAGACATTCATCAACAACTGCCACCTACGCTGGCTCGTTACTGAAGATCAGATGGCCAGAATAATAAGAATAAACAACAAGGAACTCTGGCCTGCTAACGAACCAACCAAGAACCTATCGCTCAACAAATATGTAGAAGGAAGTGAAGATGGATTGGGCATACACTGAGAAGACCATTCGGGGATATCACGGCGCCAGACCAGTCACTTGAGTGGAAACCCCGATGGGAAGCGACGAGTTGGACGTCCGAGGGTGACATAGAGAAGATCGTGTGAGGAATAAACGAAAGCTTCCGGGCTGTCGTGGAGGCAGGTTCAAAAGTTTGCAGAGAACAGAGTGCACTGGAGACGTGCTACTGAAGGCCTATATTCCACTAGGAACCCAAGCGACAAATAAATAATAATCATTTTTCAAGGAATTCACTCCGTGAATAATACTTTCAGATGAGATGGTTATTACATCTGCATGATGTTAATAATAACAAAAGTATTCAAGGCACTAAGGTGAAACAGCCAGCTGGTTCTGGATGGACATCCGATTCATACTGAAGAATCAAGCGTAATTTTGATGGTGGGGGGTTATTCCAGCGGTACAAAAATCTACAACTCAAGCTAAACATCTGACGGATAGAAAACTCCATTTCCATATAATGTAACATTTTTCCCCTGCTTTGCTATTGACTCGAGAAATGGAGAGTTAGAAACAGTTTAAATATGTGCAAGAGTATACAATGCATTCAAAGGAGATATTATTTAAATGATTAAAACAAATTGAAAGGAAAGAATTTGATGAAGAATGTTCAATGGATAAATTTAGTAGGTCAAAGTTCAAGCAGGCCACCGTAAAGAGTATATGATAAGATGTTTCACCTTGAGAAAAGTCTACAATCAAATTTTTAAAAGTAGTAATGGTAGATCTATTCTAAAACAAGAATTTTAGGTGGTAAATTACTGGAAAAACTCTATTGATCCATCAAAAAATCGGAATAAATACACAAATATGATCTTTGATAATGATTCATCACAGTGTCACTTCCTGTATCCTAGTGGCGATATTACAGTTGACAATTATCATCATTCAACATTGAGAGTACTAGACAGTTAGATCTGTTAACTGTTTACAACTGATTTGAGCAATAATATGTCGAATTTGAGAATCAAGACTTATAAAAGGAAAGCGCTGGATGATGGCCAAGCCATACTGTGAATTGATAGAAGTGAGAAAATGTCAATTGATTAGACTTAACTATGTAGCTGATTGGTGATATAATCATTGCCATATTTGACAGTCCGAGGGTCCATCCTATGTGGGGGATTATGAGTGTTAACTATCAATGGGATCTCAAACCACAAGGAAACAGTTTGTTCAATGCTCTAAGGGTTTCAATAGTTTATTTTGTGATGAATATATATTACTGAAATCGATGACTCTCAATAATTCACTAATTGAAATGCTACACATCTGAGCAACAACCAAGCTATTATTCTCTTGCTCACAATCACTTCCTTAGTTCACATTTAGGTATTTCAAAATGCATAACTCTTATTAACTAATTGTCCGTATACATTTGATTAAAGCGCTCAAGAAATATATTACCACGTTAAATATTCAGTCTATGAACTTTTAAGAACATACAGTGGTGCCAGGTGAGTTATGTGTGTCAAGTAGTGCCTATAAAGGATATCTTCAATCTTCATTCATACTCAATTTTTTCTATAGACGAACGTATGGATATCTTTCTGTACTCATCTAACTGAGAATAACCTTATTTCAGTAGAATTTATCGCACACCAACAGCACTCATATAAAACATTGTTCATAACGAACACATAACCCCACTCATACATTAGAAAATATGGGACAGGAACTGAAAAATATATCTATCATATTTCTAAAAGGTCTCATCTTGTTGTCTGTAGCATGTTGCTCCCTATACAGCCGTCAAATGTCAAATAACCATAGAATGATATTCCATAAGGGAAGCAATCATATCACCACTTCACTTCTGAATAATATTAAAGTTAAGGAATTACTGGAGACCAATAAATTTCATGTTATCTAGTCCGTTAGCGTTGACTGAATTCTATCGAACATGTTGCACTGTGGTCATGAAGTTAGAAGATCCAGTATACTTTGAGAGATGTTAGTTCGTCTACGATGATCAGAAGACATTTTGCCGATCACCATCAACCAATGAACATTTACACAAAGACTTCTAGGCATGTGTTTATGAAATACGTTATTAATCCTACTAAACAGTATATTCAACAAAAGTTTGGAGGAAATTACATCAAGAATTGATGACACGACCATGAAATGATGGGGAATATTTGTAGTTGAGGTGGATGATCTTAGTGGCGGTGCGTTCTCTAAGCTGCATTGATTTGTTCGTGAAACCATTGCCTTTCTATACACCATCTTCAATACTCACTGCAAAATGAAGGGAGGTAACCGGATTTTTCCGTGACTGTTTCAGTAGTTTACCCTGACGAAGTGGTTTGTGATAAGAAGTTTCCCCAGATTTTTGCATCACTGACTGCATAGGCTTTTCTATTGGCCGTTTCTCTGCCTGGTCCTGTAGCAGTTTGTCATTCTTCTGATTGGTTGCTAGATTGGGTCTGTGTCTATCTCCATATTTATGGCTGATCGACCTGGATACCTAGCCTCTTGAAATTCAGAGGTAGTATTCATCACTGAGTGATATCAGTTGGGGAACCATTGGAAACCTGGGAGCACTGGAGAGCCGCCTCGTCCCAGCATGGGACTCCTCAGCAGTACATACCCACGACCCGGCTAGGGATCGGACTCAGGGCCTCCAGGTTTCACGGCCAACATGTTAACCATCCAGCCACTGGGTCGGAGTTCAGTGGTTCACAGTTTCCCTTCCGATTGGTTAACTCCACAGGTCACGGTTTCTCATTAGAACTTCATGATATCCATTCGGAAGTATGTCAGTAATGAGCACTATACAGTAATGTATTTTTGAGATGAATGGGGACCCTACCCGGGTCGTGGGTGTGTACTGCTGAAAAGTCCCATACTATGAAGAAACGGCTGTCCAGTGCTCCCAGGTTTTCAATGGTTCCCCAAGTGATATCACTCAGTGATGAATACTACCTCTAGATTAAAATAGCCGTTCATCTCAAAAATACACTTTGGAAATTTTGTTAGGGTTGCCTATATCCCTTATATTTCATACTTACAGTGTGGGAATATTTGAACTGTTTTACTTCGCGCGCTTTTTCCAGCGTATAGGCCATATTGTGTATGATCCGCTGGCGTTCTGATTGACTCCTGGCTCTTTAAATATACTAATTATTCCTTGTCTTTCAAGGTTACTGTGAAGTCTATAAATAGGGTCCGTTTTCACTAATAAACGTTTTCAGACGGAGATATTATAAACTCATCTGATTTCCAGTCTTTCAATTTCTCTTTGCGAATCACTCGGGTTGAATCGTCTCAACCTTCAACTATCAATCGGTAAGTATCTTCGTTCGTTCTCACAACTCCGCACCATAACAAATTCCCTGGTATTATTTATGCTTTCTCTGTCCAACATCTCTACGTTTTTAAAATTCAATTCATATCCACCACAGTTGTCCACGTGGACTGATATGAGCGATCTCTCGAGTCAATTGCAAAGGTAGTAATGCAGAGACTGGAAGCTATTATTTTCCTCGTAACTGGATCCAATTTTTTCGACGATACTTTTGTCATCATTGAAGAGAGAATGAATAAGGAAACAATTACAATGTGATCAACAACGTTCTTCACGACATCAACTTCACAATGGTAAACAAGTCGAACAACAACAACCAGTCCCGGAAAATTGGGCAATTAAGTTTACAAGAAGTCAACATATACTGATCAAATAATCCTCAACAATAGTGGTAACAACCCAACAACGGCACAAAAACTAGTTACCTGCAGACTCTATTCAAAAGAGAGCGCACCTACTGCCATATAAAAACTTTACAGAGAAATGAAGAAAATTACATTACATCAGTACTAAAGAAAAACGGTTATGCAAGAAACTTCAAATCATTATCAGTTACAAAGTTATCCACGAAAATCACCATACATAAAAACAGATTAGAGACCACAATAAAACTGGAATTGGTGGTGTGGTTTATAAACCGATGAATTGCCTTCAAGTAAAATAGTATGCGATTCAAAAGACGCAACAACCAAAGCATACACACGCACACACACACCAAATATCATTTGCAAAAATCAACTGCAACAACTGCGATTGTGATATGAGGATAGGGAGAAATGACTAGTCTGGAAAGCGGTCAATCAAAATATACTCTATGTCATCACGTCTCAGGCTAGACAGAGACAAAAACGGTGGATCACCCAATCAGTAGTATTATTTTAAACATCAAACTATACATATTAGATATATTTTCCTTTGTAACTGAATATTCGGTCTTTCGACTCCAATACACGTTAGTCAGGTCGGGAATCAACTAGGAATCTGTCGAATGTTGGTGTCTGACACTCGATGTCCGTGCATCGTTAGCGGCAATAGTAGCGTAACAATTTTCGAAATCATAACAGTGGCGACAGAAATGAGATATTGAGAAATGGTTTCTTCGAAGTTGGACAATTTCCTCAAACAATAAATGAGGATTATCGAGATACTTACTCAATCCGAAATTTTTAATAGCTCCTTAATTTGATGGCATCTCCAATAGCATCACTGAATTTCACTACGATCCTGATATGAATGAAACTTTCGCTGCTTGGTTCAGGCGTTACGCAGTCTACATCAAAGTGGATTTTGCTGACCAAAATGATTCCTGGAAGGTACGTCTCCTACTTTAAAAGCTTGGTCCACATGAGCTAGACCAATACTGCAACAAGATTTAGCCGCAGAACTCACGTGACCTGACTTTGGACGCCACACTTTAGACACTGAATGACGTGTCTGCAAAAATGTCAACGACTGGGTAACCTACAGAGTGATACGGGTTTAGCCCAATCCGGACATCAGAGTGGTTCTGAAGTACATACAGTTCGCCAGACATTTCATTCCACTGCATCACCCTCTGGCCTTATCGTGCCGGCTCATCAGAGCAGTAACTCATGCGATACCAACCGACCCCTTGAAGAAGACACCCCAATCGTTAGGCTGGCATTGTGGTGCTTGGCATTTCACCAAATCTTGTCCACCTAAACAACATCGATGCCTAGACGGTAATGCTGCATGCATCTGCCCGCCGAAAGAATGTCGAGGAGACTACTGATCCCTCAGTAAACAAGGTGAAACTCTCTCTGAGTCGGTCAGATAGACTCCAATACACGTTACTACACGTCCATCGTGTTTTTTCCATTAATTAGTCGGGTCAGGAATCAGCTAGGAATTTGTAGAACGCTAATGGCTGACACTAGATATCTGTGCATCATTAGCGGCCATAGCAGTTTCCAAACTATAACAAATTGGTACTTTATTTGAGAAAACGTTTCGCCCTCTTCACCTTCGTTTATATGAACATCAGTTGGCTACTACTAAACATCAGGATATTTCGTCGCTTACATCAGTGTATGTTGACAACTATGGGCATGAATTGAATTCACATCTTGGACAAATGAAACACAAAGAATATCAGAGAATTCAGGTCAATCAGGGATTAATAAATGTTTAGATGTAGACCCAATTTATCAACCAATGAGAAAAACGGCCAACAGAAAAACGCATGTAGCCAGTGACACAATAACCAAAGGAAACTACCAATCACAAACCAGTTGGGAAGGGTAAGCTACTGAGTCAAACTGACGAAGAAATCCAGATAGCTCACTTCATATTGAAGTGAGTAGTTATGATGTCTAGAAAGACAATGATTTCATATGTCAGCTATCCAGCTCAAAGTATGCAACATAAATAAGATGAAGTAGGTGGGTATCACTTGAAAATTAGCTAGTACTAAAAGCAACTCATCAATCATATAAAATTTCAAGGGTATTTTATGATGTACACCACGCCTTTTATCGACTGGTGCTACAAACCACCTGTCCATGATTCAGTGAGTTAAAGAGATTTACGATTGTATGCATTGGTACTTGTAATCTCTAGTTGCTATACAGGGCCGAATTGTTCAACCTCTGTTGTCAGATGCGGGCTCCTATGCGGATACCTCGATACTTCAGGATATTCATGATGTTATATTGATCATGTTGACCAACAGAAGAACCCAGCTTGACGCGCGTTTCATCCCATTTGGGACTCGTCAGCTGGATATATCTGCACCCCAGTGAAGCCTGAACCCCATAGCTTCCGCTTCAAACGCCACAGTGTTATACAATAAGATTTAAGATCAGCCAGCCCAAAGTTGGACACCTATACAAATGAAACGAGATAATAATGTCTGACATCCTGAACACAAGTGAATCTGTGGTACATTTCTCGTATCAAAGAGTGAATGCAATAGTGAAGTATACCACACATCGGATATAACCAACTAATATTCTCTTCACTGGTCATCTTAGTTCATTGTTCATGGTTATTATTTGTCCCTTGGGTTCGTAGTGGAACATAGGGCTTCAGTAGCACGTCACCATTTCACTCTCTTCTCTGAAGTCTCCTTAACCCGATCTGGCTCCACGACTGCCCACAACTTTTCATTTCTTCCTCACACAATCTCCTCCATGTCAGACTCGCTTCGGAGGCCCAACTCGTTATTTCCCATGCGGGTTCCACTCGATGACTTGGCCTGGCGCGTGATCACCCCAAACCATCTTCTCGCTGTATGCCTAATCAATCTCCACTTTCTTCTGTATATTTATTGGGCGATGATTTCTTGGTTGGTTCATTACTAGGTCACAGTTCCTCCTTGTTTATTCTTTCTCACCATCTGATCCAATCTTCAGTATCGTGAGGGAGCATGGGCGACAGTTGTTGATGTATGTCTGCAGTTTGTTGGAAATGCTTTTCATCTCTCAACCATCACATGGAAGGACTGACTTGACTGACATTAGTGTTCAGTATCTGGATGTTGTTCACACTTTATGATGAGTGGAGTGGAGTAGAGTAGATCTCTACACTGATTTTAGGTTAATGAAGGCCGCTTGTAGTTGACACGATGCTGTCTAAGTAGGTGAAAGAGATAACTTCCTTAAGATTTCTCCCGTTCATGATGATTAGTGCTAGTTGTTGTTGGCTGGGTATCTTCATCACCTCACCTTAGTTCAGTTGATATTAAATTAAAATAAAAACCATAGATTACCACTTTGAAAAGCTTAACACATAGAATTTTATTGTAAAGGCATTTGCGTAATAAAAAAAAACGATCTATGCACTTACTCAATATATTCTAATAATTTTTGTAGACGTTTTTTATTCTCATTCAATTCTGTTTCTTTACGTTTTAAAGAACTTTCAATTTCATTTTTACGTCGATACAAGGCATCATACATATCTTTTTGTTCATTATACTCACGATTTAAATTATCGAGTACAGCAGATAAGTGTGAAGTTCTTTCAGCAACTTTTTGTTTTAAACGATGATATTCTGTTAACTAATAAATGAGAATAGTGACAAAATATGAGGACACATAGGGGGAAGATTAAGGATACAAAATGATTCTCACATATCTTCTTATAATCAGTGAAATAAGCTTATGTTCATATACTACTTTAGTAGGCGTCGCTGATAAGAATGGATATAAGTAGTATATATTGAGAGAGTGACAGAAGTCATAGAGAATCACCAACAATGGGTTATAATTCCGCCAAGAGCAACGCAAGGGATAGGGCAGGCGTATTACAGTGAGTTTTACCGACAAAAATGTATGAAGAGTACATCAAGAGAGAAGCAGAAGAGGAAATGAAGCACATTTTGCAAATGACGATTTTAGTGCAAGGTGTACCATATCTAACGAGTACCGTTCCAGCGGTTGATAGTACGCATCCTTTCTTTCTATTTAAATATCTGTGGTAGACTAGTTGAAAACGAAATGACTGAACTAAAATGAGCTACAACCCCTCCTCACTCCATACAACTAAAGCATGTTCGAATATTAACTGAAGGATTACAATTTATAGCCAAAATGTTGCCGGTTTGAATTCCACAACAATTCAGCTTTTCGGTTGTCTTAAATCGCTATTTTCTCCAACAAATCAAATTAAAGTTTAATGATTGATTTCCCATTGAAAGAATATAGAATTATGACAGTTCTAAAGCATGAACAGTTCATCACGTGTAAGAACTTATGCTCATCTTGATTGTACCTGTATTGAGCCAGGTACAATGACTAATTGTACCGCAACTGTTAAATCAGGTGAATGATATGTTCTCAGCTTAAAAACGGCGTTTAACAACTACGAAATACAAATTCTATGATTAATATAATAATGATGATTTCAGCTTTCTCCTATCAATTTCGACGAAAAATATGCGGCGCTATGAATTGAACATTTGGATACCTTACAGTCATTCTGGCTGTTTTGACTAGTGATAAATTGTGATAAACGTGTTACACTTACGTACAACTTCGTGTAAATCCATCTATTTAGTTAGACTTTGAAAGTAGTTTTGCTTTTATGTTAGTTACTACTGACTTATTTTAAGCAATGGATTACGGGGTTCGAACCCGCTACATCCAATTCAGGCTAGACAACTGAGTATCATTTTAAGCTCACACACACACACGCAATTCATGTGGCTCCGACTAGTACTAAGTCGGATTACATCACATTATACAGTGATCTAGGTTTCGTGTTTGTTGATACTCATAAACAAGGCACCTCTGCGACCATGAGAAAACTAGTGTTTCCTTGGTGATTCGAACCTACATCACTCAGTGCTGATATCGCAAAGACTCAACCCACGACTCCCTCTACACGAATGGGTCACCAGTGAGTAACCGATGAACCTTTCTAGCAGTTAGTGCTCAGCACTGGCCCGAACTTAACCTATCAACGAGTATTATAGACATTAATTTAGACACAGATAGATAGACAAAATCAACGTAAAACCTCTCATACAAGTGCATAGGTTCAACTTGCCACACTTTACAATAGCACAGAGTGAACAACTAGATGGGGAAGAACCGACAGAAAAGTAGATAAAAGAATATGTGGAGAAATTTCGAAAAGAAGGTTGGAGAAAATATTCAAGCTTCAGAAGATTTCCAGTCAGATCACCAAGAGTTGTCAACCACTGGTTCTTATTGTCTCTGGAACCCTAGCCAAATAATCTACATACCCCCCCCCCCACACAGACACATGGTTCAAACCGACAGCCAGAGACTTGATAGATTGGAGCTACTTTTTGACTTGACTAACCTAAGCTCTCTTTCACGTAACCATTAATCTAAGTGTGATGAGACATTGTTTTACTGTTAGATGGTAAGAGTCAATGTTTTAAAGTATTGGACTCCGCGGTGTCACCATGTGAGTAATGCAGAAGTCAGGAGTAGAGTTTTAGGGAGTAGAGGTAAATCAGTAGACGAGGTTATGAACCTTCATCGATTGAAATGGTTGCGACACGTACTACGTATGCCCAGTCGCCGATTAACTCGTCACACAATGTTGGCTAAAGTAGGTTCAGGCTGGAAAAACGCCCTACGTGGCCACACTAAAACATGGCACCCATGTATGAAGTCTCTGACTGTTGGTTTCAGCCATGTGAGGCGATGCACACTAGGTGGTTGGGGTTGGCGGGACAACAGGAACCAGTGGTGGGAGACCGGCTTTAGGGATATGACGCAGATGTGTGCACACATTATCCTCATCTTAACAACGCTATACCGAATCTCATCATTTTGTCATTCCTCTTTTCTCTCTTCGAGTACTTTATATTTCTTCTGATTGTACTCTCTTATCTTCATCTTTCACTTCACTGCCTTTTTACTTGATATACTGATATGAGCTGCGGCAAGTCGGACCGTTACGCAATAATGCCTGGTCCTATATTAATATTGACCGATTGATTGAATCTATTAGCCAATAAGAAAGATGATAAACGCCAGAAAGTTCAGCGGTCAAGCAGTGGAACAGCCAACAGGAATATCTATATAAGTCAATAACCCAACAATCAAAGGAAACAACCAATCACAAACCAAATCGTCACAGCAAATCATTAAATCACTCATGTAGAGATATTGCCAGCTCACTTCATACTGAAGTGAATGCTGATGATGTCATCGAGAAAGACGACAACCCAGTTCAAAGAACACAATACAACCAAGAAACTTAGTGTACACAGCTGAAGGAGTCTCAAGACTAGGACAACTTTTTTTTTAAGTTTCACCAACTGATATCAATTTATTGTGAATCATAAGGTTCGGAAGAAATGAAAATTAACTAAACATAAAATTAAAACAAACTTGTGTCTCTTCCAATTCTAAATCTCGACCTTGTTCAAGTGATTTCTTAGTCTGTTGTTGTTCATATTCTTGTTGTAAATTGGAAATTTTCTCATATTCCACCTCTAATTGATCAATTTCTTGTAAATGTGTACTATGCAATTGTCTAGCATTCTCTAATGATTTTCTTCAATTTATAAGTAAAAAGAAAAATAATTGAATTATATAAAGTAAAACTATTTTACTTAGATTCTTTATGCTTTTCACCAACATGACGTAATAGTTGAGATACTTTTATATATTCAGGTTTCTTTTTACCAATTTTTTGCTCCTAAAAATATAATAATAATAATCATAATGTGATTAAAAATATAACATACACATTTTTTTATCTCTTGTTCTAAAGATGATTGATCACGATTAATTTTGCCTAATTCACGTCGTTTCTCTTTCATTTCTTCTTCAATTAATTGACGTTGTTCATGTTCTACAGCAATAGCCTCTTCTCTTTGTTTCAACTCTTCACGTACACGTCTTATTTCTAAATCATTATAATAAAGTCTGAATAAGTGAAGTTCAAGGCGTTTCTTTGTCTAAATAAATGTTTGTAGAAAGAAAAAGAATATACATATATACATATATATATATATACATAATTAGTAGTAATATGACAAAAAGTCAAAGTTGAATTTCAGTTATTTCACCAACAGACCTTAACTATTAATTCCTGTTGTCTAATGAACCACCAGTCGATCCCTATTGCCAATAAACAATTAAACCTACATCAATTATGACTATATTCCAGTTAGCTTTCAACATTTAACAAACAAGTCTAATATGATGTTCATCATGAATTGTTTCTGAAATTCTATTAATATTATTATTATTATTATCATTGTTTCTTGGGTTCCTAGTCAAACATAAGACTTCAGTTGCACGTCATCATTTCACTCTCTTCTTTACAGTCTTTCCAACCTGGATCCATCACTGCCTAGAAGTTTTCATTCCTTTCTCACATACCATCTCCTTCATATCATCCTCACCTCGGAAGCCCAATTCGTCGTTTCCCCCCTTTGAATTCCACTCGATGGTGTGGCTTGGTATGTGATCACTCACAAACCGTCTTCTCGCTGTATGCCTAATCCATCTCCACTTTCTTCTGCATATTTTTTGGGTGATAGGTTCTTGGTTAGTTCGTTACCAGGTCACAGTTCCCTGTTTCTTATTCTTTCTCGCCATCTGATCTGATCTTCAGTATCAAATGAGCGAGTGTAGACGGCAGTTGTTGATGATATGAGTGTGCAGTTTGTCGGAAATGTTTTTCGTAACGCGCCACATCTTTCAACCACCACATAGAAGCACTGACTTGACTGACATTAGTGTTGAGAATCCGGATCTTGTAGTGGAGTAGATCCCCACACTGAGAAGGTCTCAAGTGTTTGACCACCATTGCCTTCGTAGCACACACCGCATTCCATGGTGTCACCATGTGAGTAATGCAGAAGTCAGGAGTAGAGGTAAATCAGTTGACGAGGTTATGAACCTTCATCGATTGAAATGGTTGCGACACGTACTACGTATGCCCAGTAGCCGATTAACTCGTCACACAATGTTGGCTAAAGTGGGTCCAGGCTGGATAAACGCCCAACGTGGCCACACTAAAACATGGCACCAATGTGTGAAGTCTCTGTTTGTTAGTTTCAGCTATGTGAGGCGATGCTCACTAGGTGGTTGGGGTTGGCGGGACAAGAGGAACCAGTGGTGGGAGACTGACTTTAGGGGATATGGCTCAGAACCGATGTCAATGGCGCAGATGTATACACATTATCCTCATCTTAGCGCTATACCGATTCTCACCATTTTGTCATTCTTTCTTTCTTTTCTTCTCGTACTTCATGTTTCTTTGACTGAATTTTCTCATCTTCATCCTTCACCTCACTGCCTTTTTACTTGATATACTGATATGAGGTGTGGAAAGTCGGACCGTTACGCAGTAATGCCTGGTCCTGGTTGATCTGGGTGTATGGACAGTACACATGTTAACTAAGCGTTGTTTCCACTGTTCCTTATAAAACTCTGATGTCTGTTATTTCCAGTATTCTCCGAAGATAAAAAGTCGAAGTGGAGTCAGTAATCAGATGCACGTCTGTGCTGTAGGCAATTAGACACATACACTGTGTAAGGCCTTATGATACTTACTACCTGACGGCCCATATCTCAATAGATGGAACGTGGATCGAATCAGTGACCCACCAGTTGGACGTTGACAGCCTAGAGCAATGAGTCGTAGCTCCAATAATGAATGAATCGATTCGATCATATAATTTTATCTATTGCCCAAAAAGACAGTCTGTGATACGGAATGGTAAAATTGTAAGGAGAAAGTAGAAGAGATGTATTTTTCTTTTTGTTTGGTAACTTTTACACCTTTACCTATTACAAATATCATGGACAATAACATAAGAAGATAGTAGTGAAGATGTATACCTAAGTGATGATAATATTTTTGAAGTTTGAGAACAAACGTAGAGTATAATTTGAGTAGCTGGCACAAGTAAACTAGTAATATATAGAATTCATATAACACAAATAAATAAATGTCAGATATATATTCCGGGTGGGAAGCTCAGTGATGCTTTGAAGTGAAGACAGGAGTAAAACAAGGCTGCCGTCTACTATCACACATATTATTCCTGATTGTGGTGGACTGGATCATGCAACAAACAGTGAGGACCGAGAAGAGGGGCATACACTGGCTGGACCAATGAAAACAGCCTAGAACATTTGGATTTCGCCAAAGATGACTTCTGTCTGATGTCACACAAACTTGAAGATCCACAGGCAAAAACTAACAAGCTGACTGAAGAGGCAGAACGGCAAATACGGGACACCATTCAAGTGAACGTAGAGAAGACAGAGATGATGATGATGATGATACTCAAACAACAACACTACCACCACCAACAACAACAACCTCCAATCACCATCAACGGAAGAAACTTAAAGGAAGTAACCTCCTTCACCTATCTAGGCAGCACCGTTTCAACTACACGCAGCACAGATGAGGACATCAAAAGAGCCAGGATCGGAAAGACAGCAACACAGGTGTTCATTAGCCTGAAACCAGTGTGGAGAACTTCTGCACTCAGCATAAAGCATCAACAACATCCGGATTTTCAACACCAATTCAGTCAAGTCAGTGCTTCCGTATGGCTCACAGACTTGGCGACGCGTTACGAAAGGCATTTCCAACAAACTACAGACATTCATCAACAACTGCCACCTACACTGGCTCGTTACTGAAGATCAGATGGCCAGAATAATAAGAATAAACAACAAGGAACTCTGGCTGGCTGGCTGGCTGGCAACGAACCAACCAACAACCTATCGCTCAACAAATATGCAGAAGGAAGTGAAGATGGACTGGGCATACACTGAGAAGACCATTCGGGAATATCACGGCGCCAGGCCAAGCACTCGAGTGGAACCCAAATGAGAATCGACGAGGGTGACATGGAGGAGATCGTGTGACGGAGAAATGAGAGCTAGTAGGCAGTGTTGGAGCGAGATTCAAAAGTTTGCAGAGAACAGAGTGGAATGGAGACGTGCTACTGAAGCCCTATGTTCCATTAGGAACCCAAGGGACAAATAATAATAATATATCCCAGGTTACTCAAAATCGAAGCACAAGTAAAGTATCACAGAAGCTGACATATCCACTACATATTTCGTGTTGTTACAGTAAGTAAACAATCAGAGGACATGGATAATAAAAGAATGAAACGACTACCATATGTTCAGTTTTTACAGTCATAAAAAGGTCGATACGGTCGTCTAACTAACATCGATTCTAAAGGATATATATCACTCAAGGTTGTGAATCGATGATCACTGCTTCTCCTAGATATTATAGTTAAACTTAGAACTCTGCTGATTTCACGAATCAGTATAGCATTGCAAGTTACTGAAAAAATACATAAGTTAGTAACTCTAAAATGCAAAACGATAGATGCTTTCATCTTTTCTAGTTAATAAACCCAACATCTCTTTTGTTAGGAGAAAGAATAGTCCTTCGCTTGTCTTCATCTTATTTTATTTCTTGTAGTATATTTTAATCCTTCTAAGGTGTACTGCCATCAACACTCAAGTTATTCCGATTGCAGTTACAGATGAATAGTCCACGTACCTATCTTATTCACCAGTCATATAAACATCTCTTTCATCCACCTTGATGATAATAATAATAACGTAACTCAATTAGGTAAATGTTTATGTACTAAGCTAAGAGCCACACTATCTTTACGAGGGTTTGATACTACTTCATCATAGACGTACTAATGGACACAACCCTTATGTACGTCTGAAAGTGCTGAAAAAGGCAGGATTTTCTGAACTCCTTGAGCAAAAATCTGTGTATGTTCGGCATGCGTTTCACTGGCACTAGTCAAATGTAAGATGACTCTGCAGAACTGGTAGGCAACAAGTCCCAGCTTAATGACAAGGAGTGATATGGTGGAATGTGTCGACCACTTTACTTACTTGGGGAGTTGCATCAGCCTGAATGGTTGCTAACGAAAGTTTAGCTCGGATACACAAGGCCTATATGGCATTTGCTAACGTACGTCACCAGTGATGTCGGCGAGATATCCAGCTATTTACCAAAGGACGAGTATACTGCGCTGCAGTTCGTTCCGTCCTGATGTACGATTGTGAGACATGGCCGTTGAAAGCAGAAGATATAAAGCGGTTACAGGGTTTTGATCACAGGTGTCTTCGTGGCATTGCTCGCGTTTGGTGGAATCACCGTGAGAGTAATGTTGAGGTCAGGCGAAGGGCACTACGCAAGTCGATTGACGAGGATGTGAACCTTAGTCGACTGAGACGGCTTGGATATGTACTGCTCATGCCGAGCCACCGTCTACCTCGACGTGCAATGCTGATGGGAGAAGTTGGATCAGGTCGGAAGAGAGTTCAGGGTGACCAGACCAAGACCAGGCACTAGTCGATAAAGCCTCTTACTGTTGCTTTGAGTCGTGTGGGGAGATGTAGACTGACTGGTTAGGATCCTCGAAACGAACGAAATCAGTGGTTGAGAACTCTTGGTGACATGGATGAAAACCAGTCAATGGCACAGATGTTTTCACTCCATGACATCGTCTAAAGCTTTAATATTTGCATTAACCGATATCCCTACATTGCTTATTCTCCCACACAACTTTGTCGATTTTGTTATCACTCCTTTTTTATCCACCTGTTCTTTCTATACTACTGTGAAGTGAGGCAAGTTGAGTTGATGCACTCCTGTGTGAGGTTCTACGTTGATTTTATCAGTCAGGCAGTTGGAATACTACCCAATTTCCTACGTCAATGTAGGCGACTCAAGACTCGAATTCGGGACCCACTGCTTGGAAGTCTAGTGTTAGAGCCAATAAGCCATATCTCTACCGCCTCACCTTACGATAAGTGGGTTAACTGTGTATTTTCAAATACCAGAATCAGATACTATACATAGCTAACAACTAGAACTATAAGTTAGTTGAAAATCAAAATACTGTACAGCAGAATGAAGTAAACGGACTTATAAGTGATAAAAAAACTGGGAACATAGTTGAATGAATAAAGAATACTCTTTTTGATAACTTCTTTCTAAGGCTCTAACACAGTTACATATCAATATTGTTTACTTAAAGAATTCAACTGAAGGAAAATAAAATATTACTGTAATAAAGACCTATCATCAGAGGTATATGAAGATATGAAGCCACGACTGATGTAAAGGATCCCAACAAAATCGCAGTTATCTAGCTTTGTTGGCATATTCGTAGCCATGATGACCGAACATATATATCAAAATCATCTCCATAAAATGAATGAGTTTTTTCATTTAATATGTCATAGGTTTAAACCCAGCTTCAGACAGACAAAATCAACGCAGAACCACGTACACAAGTGTATCGGTTCAAGTTTTCACTCTTCATAGTAGAACACAACAGGTGAATAAAAAAAGCACAATATCAAATTAGACACCCGTGTATGCAAGGGGACAGAATTTAAAAATCAAGGTTAATCAAAGCACTCAAACTTTAGATGTCAAAGAGTGAGTATATTTGCACCACTGAGACCGGTTTTCAGCCACCTTACCAAGAATCATCAACCACCGGTTCATTTCGTCTCAGGGACACCAACCACGCAGTCTACATCTCTGCCACACAGCTTAGGTCAACAGAAATAGACTTCTTCAACTGATGTCACATCTTGGTCTGGCCACCCCGAATCCTCTTCCGACTTAATCCAACTTCCTCTAGCATAACACATAAAGGTAGGCGGAGGATAGGCACGAGCAGCAAATGTACAAGGCACCTTAGTCAACTAAGGTTCACAACCTCAGCAATCGATATGCATTTCTTGCCTAGAACCCTTTTCTTGACTTCAACATTGTTCACATGGTGATTCCACCAAACGCGAGCAATGTCCCAAAGACATCTGTGATCAAAATCCTGTAACCACTTCATGTCCTCTACCTTTAACAGCCATGTCTCAGTCGTATAACCTAACGACACTTACTTCAACCTAGTCAACCGGGTGATGGTAAGTCGTCTAACAATAAGTATGGCTCATAGCCTAGCAGTATGTAAACATTTGTATCAGGCTGATGTACATTAGGAAAATGAATGAAACTACAACACTAACCAATTCATTTTGAAGTTTTTTGTACCTTTCGGCCTCATCTATTTCAATTTTCGCTTCTTTCCGTTCTGCGACAATACCCCTTTTCTTGTGTAAATTGAAAGTTGCATTTTCTTCTAGCTTTTGCATTTCCATTCTTGACATATCATATTCCTCTTTTAATTCAGCAGACCTCAAAAGTAAAATGTAATAGAATAAATATAAAAGATTACTTGCTAATTTCTTCAAACATTTGACATCTTTCACGAGCATTTTTCATGGCAATACTCTCGACAGCACCTTGAAAAACAAGAAAATTCTTGACCTTCATAAATATATGTATTTGTTCAAGAGCAACAGCATATTCATCAACGCGTACAGACTAAAGTAAAAGTCAAGTGTAAAGGTGAGCAACATACAACACCATTTATTCTGTACTCAGATGTATTACCATGAATAACACGACTAAAACGCTTTTCCTCTCCATCAGGCATTTCATATACTGCTGTAACTGATGCTGACTTAGCGACAGGCCTTCCAACAACTGCGCCATGGATTAGATCCTTTAAAGTAAATAAAATGTTGAGTCAACAATACTACAATACTTACATTCAATCTGCGAACGCGTAAATGTCGAGTATTTTCACCAAGAACAAAGCTGATAGCATCCATTAAATTCGACTTGCCTAGATAAATATGAAACAGTAAAATGTAGTAGTGCAAGCACGTTATGAATCCCATAACACAAAATACATAGTCATCCTAAATAAAAATGGTATCTAAAAGTTTCTGTCCGGATATACAGGTTATTTAAATCAGATGGAAAAACCAAATTGCTGCATTTCACAACATCATATCGAGGAAGTGAATGGAAAAATGGCAATGAAGTAGGTGAATAAGAGAATGGAAGATGAATAAACAAAGATAGGACCTTAGTTTGATTAAAACAGGAATTTGAAATAAACCATTTCATTGCTACATCATTGAAGCATAATAATGCACAAGTGAGAACAGACGAGTTTCTGTGCTGTTTTCATCGCGCACAAACAATCACCGCCGTACATCAGAACTACCTACAAGATGTTTCCACTTGATGCTGGCAACTGTAAAGAGACAACGTTAATGGAATAAGGTGAGTTGTTGGATATCCTCAGCTGCGGGAGGTTACCTTTGATAGGCATAGACCAGAAATGACCGGCAGGCTGTACGCTTGATCTTCGACATCACGACTGACTTCATGACGTCACCAAAGGCTACCCAGATTGCCATATGTCACCGAAGCAATCTGAGATCCGATACAACTTTGCATCAACCTGAATTGTTACACTTAACATTGGCATAATAGACAGACAGATTGACAAAAATAAGCGTAGACTGGCTCTGCCGTGACTGACTTTCAACCATGTCCCCAACAGTCCTCAAGTGCTGACTCATATCACATCAAGGACTCCAACCACGTAGTTTACACCTCGTCAAACAGCTTAGGTCAACGGTTAGACAATTCATGGACCTGTCTTGTGAAAACATCTGTAGTCAAAAACCTAGTCACAAAATGACTACTTTTAACAGCTGTACGACGGGATATAAGGAACTGAAGCACAGTATCCTTTTCCTCTAGTAAGTAGTGGGATATCTCGCAGGTGCCAGAGATGCTGTAAGCTGACAAATACGATACAGGCATTCTGTATCTGAGCTGACAGCAGTCAAACTAATTGGGTTGATTTAACTCTACAACTAAGTGAAGTGCTTAACACAGTCTACCGCACTAAAAATGAGCAAACCAAAGAAATGAAATTACTAATAGTGGACTGAAGGGATAGCAATAATACACTCAAGATCTTCAGAAAGGTAATCTGCAAACGTAAACTTATGACTCTGGACAATCATAAACTACATACTCCTAAATCCTTAAACACTGACTTAAACCTACTGACGTCAGTCAGCAGGCCTGCAGCTCCATACAATTCAATTTGACAGTTAGATTAATAAGTAATTACATAGTGAGACAAGCGTAAAGCATTCAAGACAATGTGGTAGAGTAACTCAAGGGACTAAATAACTATCCTTATTACGCTAAATGGTAAGACGTCAACCACTGTATTTAGGATTTCTTTTTCATCAAACTACGGGGTATCGGCTTATAAGTTCGACTTTCACATAACCCAAAATCACGAAGTGAATAATGCACAAAAAATTGATGAATGCTGAGTGCCAAAAGATTAGGTACTTTTGTTCAGATACGTCGTCACAGCTCAAACACTTTGTTTATAATCCCGATGTAAAAGACCACTCCTTAACATAGGGTTGAAACCACTGACCTTTTTGATATTTTAAGAGCACATCTGATGCAAAAATATGTGGGAATAGAGAACTTCTACAAGGTTTCTAAACTACACTACCTGTTCTGAGCAATACTTCTCGTCAGATTGCACTGCGTGTTTTGCTATCACGTTCATCATTATTCAAGCTTTGAATATGAGAACAAACTTTTGCATTATCGCTCCAATGATAATCCCACATGAATATTGCGAAGTATTCACGAAAAAAGGCATTAATAACGCAAAGTCCATGCCAGTGAATCCAAGACCTAGGTGAATGATAGGATTATACCTAGCAAAAATACGGTGCAGACAATATTCAGCTAACCTTCCGTTCAATTTTTTAACGATCTCATTTATAAATGTCAATTAACGTGTAAGACGAAGACTTTGGCATATTTAGGAATCCATAATACCCTCAACCTCGAAAAAAGGAGGCACATTTTTATGGAATTTGGCAAGTGTTTTAAGTCTATTAAAAGGTTTTGCTTGAACTCGCTGGAAATTTTTAGGTGACCGGGAATGTACATGAAGCCTTCACTACGCTGTGTCGTGTTTTCACAGCAAGGTTGACATGAAGAACAATTGGAGGCAGCACAACAACACTTTTCCAGTCTTCAGGGACAATGATTGAAGGTCAGAGATACATATTTATTCTAGCAAATGGTACCACTTGGGAGCTTGTCTCATATGGAGACTGCATCTACACGTTTGAAACATACCATGCAACGAACATTAAACAGATACATAGCAATTAAAAATCTTGAAAAAGTAAAAAGTTATTTCTTTAACAACGGGCGTTATCCTTAGATTTTCATAAGTAATCTAGTTACGCAGTAGTTAGCACTTCAAAATGTGCACTAAGACTAAATGACATACCTGAACCATTAGGTCCTATAATAGCTGTAAATACACTGAAAGGTCCGATAACTTGCTTTCCTTTATATGACTTATAGTTTTCCAGCTCAATATACTTTAATTTTCCACAGATCTCGTCCATCTTTTGAATCACCTACCCATTATATGAAGGACATGATACATTTTTCAATACAAATTCAAACGCCAGTTCGAAGAAAGAAGGACATGAGTCTGTGTTCTTCCTTTATCGAAAATTCAAGATGGTTTCCTAGGCCCTCCTCAAATCATTATGTTGATGTTGCACACCCTACTTTTCCCAAAATCAGTGTAAAGATATCTCTTGACTCGAAAACGAATCATACAAATGGTTCGGATGGTTCAAATGGTTGTTGACGGAAGAGAAGCTTTCGCTTAACTGGCTTCCGCGTCTACGGTCCGAGGATCACTGCTCCTTTTGGTTGTTAACTTGTTGTACAAGTAAAGAAAGGTGAAAAAGTGGCAATTAAAATGTGAAAATTCACGTAGTTCTGGGCAGATCCTAGACATACATCAGGTGGGTATCCAGTCGACGTTTAAAGGATTCGGACGAAGGAGCCTGGATCATATCCTCAGGAAGAGTGTTACAGGGATTGAAAACTCTTAGGAAATAGAAGTTGTGCCTGATCTCCAGCCTGCTATGTTCCAGGCTTAGTTTCTGTGCATATCCTCTAGGATTAGCGTTGCAGGTAGGATTTAATAAGTGTCAGAGTGGATGGCCAGGCATGCTCAGAATGTTGTAAGTCATTGTCAAGTCACCTCTTAACCTTCTGTATTCCAGAGGATACAGATCAAGCGCAACCAGCCATTCATCGTATGTTTTGGACTTGAGTCCCTGAACAGGTTTTGCCGAACGCCTCTGGAGGTGTTCTAAGCTCAGTTTGTCCTCCTGGAGATAAGAGGAAAGACGATGGTCCCAAACTCCAGGTGAGGCCGTATGAAGCTGTTGAAAATTTGGTGGAAGCATCTTCGATCGAATCGCCCAAAATTTCGTCTAAGAGTTACTAACGCCAAGTTCCTACGAAGTGCATTTCTGTTACAGTTGGCATAGGGTTTCGGGTCCTGGGGGACCAACACCCCGAAATCCTTTTCCGTCAACGTTGCTTTCCGTTATCAGTTTTCACTCACTGGAAGTTAACTTTATTAGGTGTTATCGTGTATGTTGAGGGGGTTAAAGTAAAGACAGCACTAGGTCATTCTTCTGATCTGTTTTCAGAAGTCCATAGTCACTTGTAAAGTAATGTCTTTCTGCTTGTGTACAGTTGACCCTTTTTCATCTGGCTAAGACTATTTGCAGGACCGTCGTCTTTGTTCTACTAATTCTAGTAAAGGTCCAAGATATTACCGAAATTCTGAGTCTGCGAGTGTTAGCCAATTGTGAATGGGCAACTATCCTTGTAACCTACCTTGAATTTTAAGTCATATTGGGTAAACACCGAAGTCAGAGAAGCTGTATCTGTGTTACATGCGCTCTCAATTTCACACCATATACGTGCGACTGAAACGTTACTTCTGTTTCTGGATATTAACCAGTACTACGAGACAATGAAAAAATCTTTGAGCTCTGTCTAAAGTGTTCATCAATCCATCGTACACTGATTCTCTTCAGATTCTAGTACTGAGATAGGGAGCCATGAGAAATGTAACGGTGTTTTGTATGTCTTCAACTTGTAGGTAAAACATCAAAGTAACTCATATAGTACCTTGAAGTACTCTACTATTTATCGATTAGGTGTTCATGTTCGTTCCCAAACTAAGCTTCATCGATACACATTTCTTAAAGTCCATGAAAATGACATCAAATGGCTATATGCCACCTCTTATTAGACTCGTAGTGGCCATCGGGTAAACCATGCAACTGAAGTATTTACGACGACCGTACCGTCATTCGAATAGTAAGCTCTTTCCTCCTCCTCCTCCTCCTACTCCTAATAATAATAGTAATAACTTCGATTGAGTCCGGACTGCAATACCAAATAGGCTTTTCGGCCTATAACTTTTTGACTGCTTTCAGAGCCGCCTTTGTAGGTGGGCATGACCGTGGTGATCTTCCATTTGTACGGCAATACACCCTGGCTTAGGGGTGGCACAATTGTAGTAGTAGTAGATGGGCCGGCTACATTCGTTCTAAACTCTCTGGGTATTCTTGAACGCACATCATTCAAACACTATCGACCATTCCTGTCTATTGCATTTACACTCCGAAATGCCGTTGAAAATTCACCTAATCCCCACAACCTCCCCCCCAAATTAGGCCGCAGTTTACGTCTTACCACGATTCAAAAGTCGAGTCAACTCGAATTTCATTTCTATCATTATAATAGAGAACTGGGCAAGATTTGCAGACACCTCATGGTCCAGGACTTTCTGATAAATGGTAACATTCAGCTTTACTGACATTAACCACCCAAATTCCAGTCAGTGAGCTAAACATGAATGATCTATCAGACGAAATAATTCTGGAAAAGCATCACCGCATCTTTTCGATTTCTTGGCTGTCAGTAGGGCGAAGGCGATTATGGATTGTGGGGCAGTGTTCTGATATTTTTCGGATGTATATTTTGTGTGGAAAATCCTTGGTATCATTCAGACAAAAATGGCGGTGAGTGAAGTCTATAGTAAGGTATGATTTGGACTGGTATTTTGTCGCTCATTCTGCAGAAAGAGACTGCTGGAGTGCTGGTTGGTGCAGATGACGATTAATCGTACCTCTCTACTACCCCAGTCTTTGTGTTTTCAGTGGAAGCAGTAATGCATAACATCATCTCTTAAGCATACTGTGGTTAGTTCGCGTAGTGAAATTGAGACTGCCATATTTGTCAGCTTAGGTGCTGGTTCCACTGTGGCCAAATTTCAACTGTCTCCAACCGTTCATCATCGCCAGCCAGAGACTTCATCGACTGGGAACGAATTTTTGCTTAGCAACGTTGAGCCTCTTTTTAGATCAATGCTACTTTGGCTAACACAGCACGTCAAGGTGAAGGGTGGAACGGCACGCGCAATAAGTCTAAGCGACCTAAGCTCCTGAGGGTTCAAAATCACTTTGACTGACAAGCCTTTATCACTTGGTACCCTTCGTCCGACCTCAATGCTTCCGACGTGGTTATTCTACATGACTCGCGGCCGTATATCGGGACAAGACTGCGGCTTAGTATACTCATGCTTCAAGAGGTAGTGTGATGTTTCGCGGATACGGGAGATAACACAGGCTTGCAGATACTAGACAGGCATTTCGTATCCGAGCTGAGATTCATCCAGCAGCTGGCGCATCTGGGCTGAAGTGACCCCCAAGTAAGTGAAATGGTCAGAATATTCCACCATTGTTGGTCAGTGTGATAGATGTACATTTCTCTCAGATCATCAGCAAAGGTGAAAGGTTTACATGACTCCAATAAGGCATAAGCATTACATAAATCTATAGCAAAGAGAAAAGATTCTACAATGCAGCCGCGTATCACTTCATTTTTAACTATAAAGGGGTGGTAAGACCGCATGCCTATTTTGAAATCTCGAACACATTTCTCCAGTAGTGAGGTGACCTGCCTGTTCAACTAGCCAGTTATCACATTTAAATTTGGCTCAAGAAGAAGGGAAGGGTGATGCTCCCTATCGAAAGTCTTGTTGTTGCTCGGGTGAAGAGAAACGAGTTTCTTCCCCTGTCTTCGCTATTAGCTAGGTGACTGAAACTGTAGGTGATTCAACATGGTTGGGCGACAATCCGTTCAGTAAAGAGCTGAAAAGGGTGTGAAAAAGGCGTGAAAAGACTGCTTTACACTCCGCCTTCATAATCCATGAAAAAACAGATGTTATTTTAATTTGGTCATTGTTTTCCGGGCTGACTATTGACGTCAGTTTAAGTGCGGAACAGTGTGGCCCGAAGGCAAAGGAATTTATGAACAGTTTGAAGATTTTGGGGACATTTTAGGGCACATTCGGCAAGCTAGGGTGGTTCCAATGCCCACTTTTGAAATAGGTGGTGGCGAGGCTAGTTCCGCGTTCATGTCCTTGTGCTTCATTTTCAGCCAAGATTCAACATTCACACCTTTTTTCTTCAACCTCACTGAAAACTGCTTGGGTGCTGAGGATAGGGGGACAAATCATAAGATAGAAAACATTGTTTCTTAAGCTTCTCACCTTTCGCCTAAGCGTGACAAGGATAAGGTTCTTACCCAAAAAGCGTGAGTTATGTGTTTAAGTGCACTTGTGAAGATGACGTGGGGTTGAACCTGCACGGACGTTATGTTATGTGTCTGTGGCCACTATTATGTATTCAGAACAAACATAATTTGTACTGCTAGCTGACAGCCAACTTAGCACACAAGAGTCGCTGACTGCAACCCCGGGACGAGTAGAGGGAAGCCAGAAGCTAAGTGATGGGAGAGTTTGTTCCTCTGAGAATATAATGATAAATCAACCCCAAAGCACCTGAATAAGTACACACACGAATGTGGCCTTGTCCGAAGTTTGAGACCTTGGCATAGTAAGGATAAAGAGTAACCAACCAGCGAATTGCACCGCAATGGCGGGAGAAAATAAACCACTAGTCATGCCGTAAAAATAGTGTGAGAATGCCGGGTAAATTGTTCAGGTCAGTAACAATCTTTTATGCAAACCTAGGGCCTAACAACAGCTAGCGATGTAGTTGCTCACGCCCTGAGCAGTAAAGATTGGCTTCAGTGCAGAGAACGTATCAAGTTTAACGATTACGGCCGGCCCATTTCAACAAGGCTGTTGGATCTTGAGATGATGGGCTTTAGTAATGTTAAAGTGCACCCACACGGCTAAGTGAATTGACCAACCACAACCATGCGACTGCCCTTATGCAATTCTCTCTCATCATCTGTGTTGAAAGGTGGTGCAGTAAGTAAACCAGTAAGTCTGTCACATCATTTCTTTTATTGGGTGGACGGGCTGCTAGCACCAATGCGTTGGTTTCTGAAGTTCGAAACGGTGACACAAAATTAATGGCTGATGGACGAGCTTCGGTAGGAGTCGAACATGTTCCGTTTCCCAGTGACTTACCTACTAAGTTTCAGGGGGGACAGAGATTTGAATTTTTCCTTGATGTGTTCATAGACGACAGATTCAGCCTCCGTTGGCCTATAT